GATTGCCGACAATCTGACGCTGTCCGCTCTGGGGCCCTATCGCAAGCTGGGCCTGCTGGCGTTGCGAAGGCGCGATGAGGAAGTGAAAAAGTGGATGCAGCGAATCGCCTGCAAGGCCAATCGCCCTTCGCAGCCCATTCAGGAACTCTCCGGCGGTAACCAACAAAAAGTGGCCATCGCCCGACTGTTGCATCAGGGCGCAGAAATTCTGCTGCTGGACGAACCCACGCGGGGGATCGATGTGGCCACTAAGGCCGAAATCTACCGACTCATAGGTGAGTTGGCAGCTTCAGGGAAGGCCATCCTTATGGTCAGTTCGTACTTGCCGGAATTGCTGAATGTTTGTGACACCATTGGCGTCATGTGCCGCGGAAGTCTACGCGAAGTGCGTGCGGCCAACGATTGGACCGCTGAAGATATCATGCATGTGGCCACGGGAAGGGAGACCACGGTTTGAGTAATTCTGGTGGAGTCACTGAACTTGAAGCGAGAAGCTTCAGACGCACGATCGAAATGGTGTGGTCGATCCTGGCCCCCTTCGTTGGGCTGAGTATCGTGGTGATTATCTTTCTCATCTACCAGTCTATTTCCTCGCCAGATATTCCGTTTATATCAGCATCACGCCTGTCTTTGATTGCGAAGCAAAGCACGATCGTGGGGATGGGTGCGGTCGGGATGACGGTCATCATCATCAGCGGGGGGATCGATCTCTCGGCGGGTTCGCTTCTGGCCCTCACCTCGGTTGTCTTGGCCGTGTCGCTCAAGGCCGGCTACAACCCTGTGCTCTGCGTTTTCCTCGTCTTGGCCGCGGGGGCTTTCTGCGGCTTCATCAACGGCCTACTGATAACAGGATTGCGGTTGGTTCCGTTCATCGTCACGCTGGGCACGATGCTGGCGTTTCGGGGAGCGGCAGAAATCATTTCTGATCAAAAGAAGGTTGCCGTCTACGATGCCCCAGATTGGCTGTCGACCTTGCTGCGACCACCCGCCGCAGACAGCTACCAATTGGTTTGCACCGGGGTGTGGATTGTGTTGGCACTTTCGCTAATTGTGGCGATTGTGCTTCGCTGGTCGGTGTTCGGCCGATATGTGTTCGCGCTCGGGTCCAGCGAACCAACCGCGCGGTTGTGCGGAATCAACGTGCCCAAGGTAAAGCTAGGCGTTTATTCGCTGGGCGGATTGTTCATGGCCGTGGCGGGGATATTTTCCTTCAACGACCTTGGTCGCCAAGGCAGCCCCACCACCGGGGTTGGGCTCGAACTGGAGATTATCGCGGCAGTGGTAATTGGCGGAGGGAGCCTCAACGGAGGCCGAGGAAGCATCCTCGGATCGCTGTTGGGTGCACTGACGATGACTACGTTGGAGAGCGGCTGCTCGTATGCCGGGGTCAGTACCGCGATTCAGAAGGTGCTCGTCGGAGGAATCATCGTACTGGCCGTAGCCGCCGATCAATTCGTCCACCGCCGCCAGAGCTGATAACTCGGCAGAGATCGCTACTTTTTCGAGGAACTCTTTCCGCCTCGACGTCCACGCCGGCGGCCACGATGTTCGCCACGTTGTGGTTCTTTGGCCCGATTCTCCCGATTTGTAGCCAAAATCAACTCGATGGCTTCGTCCCAGGTGGGAATCGATCGATGCGACTTCTTCCCAGGCGATCGCTTCTCCTTGTCGCCGTCTTTGTCCCCGGACTCCTTGCCCGACGAAGTAGACTGCTTTTCTGACGAGGCATCGGACGATTCATCATCGTCGTCTTCATCGTCCTGGAACATGTCTACTGGTTCGTCGTCCTCATCATCCTCGTCGAGGTTTTCCGAACGTTCTTTCTTGGCCGCGGCGCTCTTGCGTCGTGGGCGTCGTCGGCGACGGCGTTTTCCGGTTTTCTCGGTCGAAGACTCTGATTCGCCTTCGGTCTCTTCCTCTTGCTCAGCCTCGACTGAGGAATCTTCCTTCTCGGCCTCGGTGCTCTCTTTCTTGCGATCCTCGCGTCCCTTGCCTCCGCGTCCACGTCGTCGCCGACGGCGGCGAGGCTTCTTCTCAGCCGGCTCTTCATCGCTGGGCGAATCGATCTCAGCCGTATCGGTCGAGGTAACTTCTACAGAAATAGACTCTACCTCGACGGTAGCGCTCTCGACTTCCAGAACATCACGGTCCGAGTGGGCCACATCGCTGGCCTCAGGTGATTTCGGTAGCACCGTCTCGGTTGTTTCAACTTTTGACTTGACCTCGTCGGATTTTGGCTCGGAGGACGGCGAGGAAATTCCCAAGTCTCCGGCCAAGCTGCCCCAGTCCGATTTCTTCTGATGCGTGGGCGAAGGAGTCGAACGGCGGCGCGGCGGCGGGGCAAAACGGCCGGCAGGCCGGGCAGCTTCTGCTTTAGGAGGCGAGGGCGGAGCCGCAGGAGGGCTAGCGCCCAATTCTTCGGCTAGTTTCTTCCAGTCGGTCGATTTTCCACCGTCGCTCATCCGTAGTGTGCCCGTTTCTGCAAACGTTCTAAAAGGAATTGAAAGAACACGCTTGGGTCAAAACACCTGACCGCCATCTCAGTATAAGGATTCTCGCTAAGATTGTGAAGTCGTGGCTGCCATTGGGTTTACAGCGGCAGCCGCATTCAGGCTTTCTGCCGAAATGGCCTCGATTCGCTTCGTCTCCTAAGATTCAGAAGAAGCCTCGTCCTTAGATCGCAGTGAAAAATTCGCAGGGCCACGGTAACTTCTCTGAGGGAGTTCGGGTTTTCAGCCCGGATTTCCTGTCGGCCTGTTCGTGAGAAAGGAGCATCGCGATGGAAGGCCCCAATGCCAAAGATAAGGCCGCCGTGCATCCTCACGTCGAGGACGTCGAGGTCAGCGGCCACATCATCGATAGCCTGATTCTGCCCAAAATTCTCGATAACATCACAGGGCTCGGTGGCTCTTTTCATATTAAGAAGATCTCCATCGGCCACGGTCGGACCGATCCGAGTTATGCCCTGGTCGAGGTTCGGGCCGCGACAGAGCCTGATTTGCAGGAGATTTTGGCCCAAATCTCTGACCACGGTGCCACACCCACGGGAAAGCACGATTGTCGCCTGATCGAAGCCGACATGGATGGGGCCTTTCCCGAGGGGTTCTACAGCACCACGAACCAACGCACCGAAATCAGGCTCAACGGGTCTTGGTTACGAGTCGACGACCAGGAAATGGATTGCGGTGTCGCAGTCGATGAAGCTAACGGCACTGCGCGGTGTTTGCCGATGACCGACGTGCGTCGGGGGCAAAAGATTGTGGTGGGGCATTCCGGAGTGCGTGTGTTGCCCCAGCAGAGGGCCACCGACACCCACATGTTCGAGTTCATGACCAGTCGGGTCTCCACGGAAAAGCCGAAAGGAGTCGCGATCCGTGAGATCGCCGCCGAATTTCATCGGGCTCACACCGAAGGAGGCAAGACGCTGATTGTCGGCGGTCCGGCGATCGTACATACCGGCAGTGGCGAGCATTTGTGCAAGCTGATTCGAAATGGCTACGTCGATCTGCTTTTCGCTGGCAATGCGCTGGCGACCCACGATATCGAGCAAGCCATTTTCGGCACGAGCTTAGGCGTGCGGTTGGACCGGGGCGATGTCGTTGATGCGGGCCACGAACATCACCTGCGGTCGATCAATCGCATCCGTCGTTTAGGTGGGATCAGGAATGCCGTTGAATCGGGAGATTTGACTACTGGCATTATGCACGACTGCATCAAGTACGGGTGCGATTTCCTACTGGCCGGCAGCATTCGCGACGATGGCCCTCTGCCTGAAGTCATCACTGATGCCATCGAGGCTCAGCGCTTGATGCGCGAAAAGCTTCACGATGTGACGTTTTGCTTGATGATCGCCACCACGTTGCATTCGATTGCCGTGGGGAACCTATTGCCCGTCTGGGTGAAGGTCGCGTGCGTGGATATCAATCCTTCAACCGTGATCAAACTTAGCGATCGAGGTTCGTTTCAAACCGTAGGCCTGGTGACCGACGTGGAACCGTTCCTGCGTTCTTTGGTGCACGAAATTGCGCTGCTCGATCAAGGCGTTGAACCGGGCACCGAGCGGCGAGCAATGTTGTAAGCCAGAACTAAAAGTAGCCTGCCTAGTGACATGGACGTTTAGGGAAGCGTGACCTCATGACTAAGCAACCGAAAATCTTAATGTGCCCACCCGACTTCTATGGAATTGAGTACGAAATCAATCCCTGGATGGACCGGACCCGTCAGGCAAATCACCAACGAGCCACCTCTCAGTGGGATGCACTACGAGGGTTACTCGAATCGGCCGGGGCGGAGATCCATCTGCAACCTCCCGTAAAGGGGCTGCCTGACTTAGTATTCACAGCCAATGCGGGGTTGATCCATCACCAGACCGCTATTCTGTCACGGTTCCGGCATCCCCAGCGACAGGGCGAACAAGAGTGCGATGCGGCTTGGTTCCGCGATTTCGGGTTCGAAGTCCGTGAGATTCCCGGCGATTCCTCGTTCGAAGGTGCCGGAGATGCGTTGTTCTGCGGAGAAACCTTATACGCCGGGTACCGCATGCGAAGCGATGCACATGGCCATCAGCTTTTGGGCGAGATGCTAGGGGTTCAAGTCATGCCGCTGGAGTTGGTCGATGCGTATTACTACCATCTCGACACTTGTTTTTGCCCGCTGAATCAGACAACGGCCATTGTCCATCGCGAAGCTTTCGATGACTACGGGCTCCGAGTCTTGGATGAGAACATCGAAACCTTGATCCCAGTACGCGGGGAAGAAGCTCGAAACTTCGCCTGCAACGCAGTAGTTGTTGGCAACGTGGTGGTGACCAACACTGGTTGCCCTGAACTACACGCGGCTCTCAAATCCCATGGGTTCGAGGCTTGGGAGACCCCATTGGACGAGTTCGTCAAAGCGGGCGGTAGTGCGAAGTGCCTGACGTTGAGGCTCGATGGTGAGGAGGCCGCCGCCTGGCGAACGGCCCCCGCACCCGTAGATCGAACCTAGAACGGTCAAGTCCCTTACGGGCTGACAGCACTGTCGGTCAGCATCGGCACCATGGTGGCGTTGTTCGCCACGTTGAACAGCGGACGCCAGCGGCTGCATGAAGCCGTTTGGGCCGAGCGGCCGGGGTACCAGACCAGGTTGAGGCCGAGGCCCCAGTTTTCTTCACGGGCTCCGATCTGATTGGCACCTTCTTCGGGAATGATGTAATTGCCGATGCCCACAATCGCGAAGCGGTCGTTGAAGGGCAACCGGAAGTCACCACCGACGATGCCGTCGCTCTCACCGGTCACACCACCCCAGATCCGCATTTCGTTTCCGGTGCAACTCGTGAACCTGACGAACAAGTTGTACTGATCGACGGTCTCCCAGGTGCCAAAGTTCGTGGCGGTCACCTGGTTTACGAAGTTGTTCAAGACCGAGTCGTCGCCGACATTCGCACTGGCCCACACGCCGAGTTCAATCTGCTTGGGTCCGCGGAAGCTGATTTCGCCTCGCACCTGACTCAAGCTGGCTTCGGTGTAGTAGTCGTCGCGAAGGTAGTCATACACCACACCCCATTGCAGGCCGGTGCAGTGGCGGAAGCGACGGAAAACACCCGCAGTTAAGAAGTACTGGTGTCGACCATCGTCGTCGAAGAGCCCCAGCGTGTTCATCTGGTCGTAACCCGAAAGGTTACTGTGGACCACGCGACCACCGAGTTGGTAGCCCAGTCCCCATTTGTTCCAGAGCGGGCCGGCCCAATCGATACCGTAGTCGAAGCCGAAGTTGCCTTTGTTGTCGAGGTCCACCGCATTGGTGAAGCCGTCCATACCGCCGAACGCGGTCAGGTTTTCAGACCAGCACCAGTCGCAACTGGGGCCCATCAGCCAATCAAACAACCGGCAAAAGGGACGGCCGTAGCCACACTGGCCACCGCAGGAACCGCCACAAGAGTCGCAGCCACCATATGGGTCATCGTAATAGGGACCATCGTGCCAGGGGCCTTCTCCGTAGCCGTCATAGCCTTCCATGTACGAGTCTTCGTACATGATGTCACCTGAGGGGCCCGGTCCAGGAAGTTCTTCCGTATACGATGCGTCGTCGTAGAAGATTTCCGACTCGCGATTGCGATAGTGTTGTGAGCGATATCGGGCCGGCTCCACATTATGGTCAACGTGAGGAGCCGCTTGCGGTCGGCGGTTCGCCGGCGGGCGATGCGTGTTCGGGTGGTCTTGCGGGTGACGGGCGTAGGAAGGAACCGGGTTACGGGGCGATTGAACCGTGCGCCGCTGTTGAGTGATTTGAGGAGCAGGGTCCCTGCGCTGGCCGTAGGAGGTTTCTTCCTCGTAAGAGGCTCGCGTGTTCGTCACTTTGGGGGCGGAGCCGGGACGGTACTGTTGAGCCGTGGCCTCGAGTTGTCCGCAGGCGAGCAGGACCACTGAGCCCATTCCCCATGCGATCATCTTAGTGAGTGTTTTCCGCAGCCAATCTCTCATCGATCCGAACCTCGAATGCAGTGCGAGCAAATATGTAACCATCCGCGCTCCACGCCCGAATTGGTCTCCGCACCACATATCGGAACCCGCACAACCGGATCTTTCGTTAATCTTCAAATAATCCGAAAATTTTACCCATCTTCGCGCAGCAGTGGAGTTGATCGACGCAGCAGGGTGGAATTGCCTGCGATTTGCAGGGCCAATCAGTCAGATCGACTTCGAATGCGACTGGGCAGCGATGCTCTCTAGGCTACCCGGAGGTGCGTTCGAGTGCTTGCTTGAGGTCTGCTATCAGGTCTTCAGTGTCTTCCAGGCCGACGCTGATGCGGACCAACTCATCGCGAATGCCAAACGCCAGTCGGGCTTCGGGATCATAGCTGGCATGAGACATGGATGCCGGCTGTTCGATCAGAGATTCCACCGCGCCAAGGCTTACCGCAAGCTGAAAGAGTTCGGTTGCCTCGCAGAAGTTTCGAGCCTGTTCGAAGTCGCCTGCGAGTTCGAAGGATAACATCGCCCCGAATCCACCGTTCATTTGCCGGGCAGCAATCTCATGCCCCGGGTGATCGCTGAGCCCAGGATACAGAACTCGCTTAACCCGTTTGTCCTGCTGTAGAAACTCAGCCAGCTTGGCCGCCGAGCGGCATTGCTCGCGAACCCGCAGGTCAAGTGTCTTGAGCCCTCGCGAGCAGAGGAACGACTCGAAGGGGCCCATTACCGCGCCAGTGGCGTTTTGGATGAAGTACAGCCGCTCGAAGAGTTGCTCGTCATCGACGACCAGGGCGCCGCCGATGAGGTCGCTGTGCCCACCGATGTACTTGGTAGCGGAATGCATCACGATATCGGCCCCCAATTCCAATGGCCGTGTGAGCACGGGGGAGGCGAACGTGCTATCCACCCCCAGCAGGGCACCGTGGCGATGGGCAATCTCGGCGCAGGCTTTGATATCTGTAATGGACATCAAGGGGTTGCCAGGCGATTCGATCCACACGAGTTGCGTTTTGTCAGTGATCGCTGCTTCTAGCTGTTCCAGATCGTCTGCGGGAACCAGCTTGATATCGATGCCGCTACGTTGAACTACCTTGTGAAGCAATCGATAGGTACCGCCGTAGATATCCGACCCGGCGACCACCTGATCGCCTGAGTTCAACAGCATGGTTACAGCGTGTGTGGCGGCCATGCCTGAGGAGAAGGCTAACGCGCCCATGCCGCCTTCGAGCGAAGCCAGCGTATTTTCGAACACCTTGCGGGTCGGATTGCCGCTTCGCGAGTAGTCGTACTCGCCCCATTCTCCGGCGCCTGGTTGTACGAACGTGCTGGCCACATGGATCGGTGGCACCACGGCACCCGTATGGGCATCGCGTTGGGGACCAGCATGAATTGCCCGGGTTCTAAATCGCATGGGTGTTCCGCTTACTCAATAGAAAGCAGCAAAGCGGTGCACGCGCCACGTCCACCGCTATCGCCGGAGGATAACGCTAGTTGCTGAGGCTAGATTTGGTCGAGTGCTTGGGCCAGGTCGTCAAGCAGGTCTTCGGTGTTTTCGATCCCGCAGGACATGCGGATCATATTGTCAGGAATACCAAATTCTCGCCGCTGCTCTTCGGTGCATTCGTAGTAACTCATTACCAGTGGCTGCTCGATCAGCGATTCCACACCTCCCAAGCTGGGTGCAATTCGCGGAATTTTTACGGCGTCGACCACGCTGGCCGTTTGTCGCCAGTCGGCATCCTTGACGAAGAACGTCACCAATCCACCGAAACCTCGCATGGTGCTTTGCGCAAGTTCGAAATCGGGGTGCGACTCCAGCCCTGGGTATAGCACCTTCTCAATCCGAGGATGTTCATCCAGGAATCTGGCCACCGCCAGTCCGTTGGCATTGTGCCGTTGAATACGCAGTTCGAAGGTCTTCAATCCACGTTCGAGCAGGTAAATGGCATGGGGCGAACTTACCGGCCCCATGATGCCGCGGAGGTTGCGCACCGGCTCGAGGCCCGCGGTGGTGCCGACGACCACTCCAGCCAGCAGATCGTTGTGCCCACCCAGGTATTTGGTGGCCGAGTGCAGCACATAATCAACCCCGGCCGCGATGGGTTGCAGGTTGTACGGGGTGGCCAGCGTCGCATCGATCAAGGTTTCCACGTTGTGGCGTCGACCAATTTCAGCGAAACGGGCAATGTCTACTACGCTCAGATGAGGGTTCGTCGGTGACTCGCTCACCAGCATTCTGGTTTTCGATGTGATGGCCGCTTCCATCGCATCGTAATCGCCGGTGCGCACTTGAAGCGTGCGTACCCCGTAGCGGGAAAGATGCTTCGTGCAGAACTCCCGACTGCGATGGTAGCATTCGTCGAAGAAGATGATCTCGTCGTCGGCCGATAGTTTTGCCATCAGCACTCCCACCAGAGCGGCCATCCCACTGGAGTACAGTACGGCCGATTCACCACCATCGAGTGCGGCTAGCTTGCGTTCGACCACCGCCTCGCTGGGATTGCCATAACGGCCGTACTCTTCCCGCGGTTGCTTCTGCTCGATGAAATCGATCACCGCCTGCGTGCTGGGGAAGGTAAAGGTGGCCGAGCTGAAGATGGGGTCGGTAATCGAATCGCCAGGTTTCTGACGTGCTTCGCCTGCATGCACAGCACGGGTGGAAAATCCAGGACGATCGACGTCGCACTGCACTGTGGTCGCATTCTTGTTCATCGCGTGGTCCGCTTTCACTTGACCGAAACTGGAAGGAGAGAGGATTCGCTTCCACCACCGCGAGAACGTCGGGCCATAAAAAAAGCCGCGACATTACCTATACCGGTCGCGGCTTTGCTTGGTTCAGTTAGATCGTCCCGACCGCATCTGCGGCAGGACAATGGCACTTTAGCAGAGCAAGGCTGCAAGCGGCCGCAAATCCCTCACCCAGGATCTTAGCCAGCAGTGACCCGGGGGGCAAGCATCTAAATGCAGAATTGGCCGTCGCTCGCCCTTGCTGCTTCTGCGCAACATGTTTCACTGCTAGCTTTTCTGGCCTCTACCCAAAGCAATATTGACCCCAGGCGTGGCCATCGGAATAATCTCGCCGCTCTTCGCTGAATGGCGACCCCCTCGCCAGTCCATAAATCCCGCACCCAACCCAATCCCCTGGGGAAGCGCTCTCATGAAATCCTCCGCCAAAGCCACGACCGTCCTTGCGCTGGGAACCTTGTTGGCCGCTACCGGTTGTGCCTCGCCGTATCATGCCGACCGCGGGGCCTTGTTTGGCGGTCTCGGTGGCGCGGGCCTGGGGGCCATTGTTGGGAATCAACTTGGCCACACCGGGGCAGGGGCGGCCATTGGTGCAGCGGCCGGGGCGCTAACTGGAGCCGCAGTCGGGGGATCGCTCGACGAGATTGAAGCCCGCAATCGGGCGATGATTGCCAGCCAACTCGGCCGGCAGGTTTCACCAGGAGCCGTGACCACCGACGACGTCATCGCCATGTCGCAGGCAGGTGTAAGCCAGGAACTGATCATCAACCACATTCGCGCCAATGGAGCCGCCGCACCGCTGCAAACCGATGACCTCATCCTGCTGCAACAGCAGGGCGTTAGCAGTCTAGTCATAACTGCCTTGCAGTCGGCGCCTCCTCCGGGCCCAGTGGTGGTGGCCCAGCAACCGGTTCAGACCGTGGTGTACGAAGAACCCTATTTCGTGGCTCCCTATCCAGTTCCGCATCGCCATTGTTACCACCCCCGCCCGGTTAGCTGGGGCATTTCCGTGTCCAGCGGCGACTTTTAGTCGAATTGAAAGGGCACCCTTAATTCGATCCTCACGGTATCCGTGGTTAGACTGAACTAGATGTTCAGCCCCCGCCATCACCTGCTTCCGATTCTGCTTTGCTGCGCAGCAACTCCCTGCGCGGTGTTCTTTTCAACGTTTTCGACGGCCGCTGCGACGGACATTGGGCTCAGCGTTCCGGAGGGATTTGAAGTCACTCGCTATGCCAGTGACGAGCTAGCCCATGACATCTTTTCGATGACCATCGATTCCCAAGGTCGGGTGGTTGTCTCGGGGCCTGGCTATGTGCGAACTCTTATTGACGACGACATGGATGGGCAAGCCGATCGAACGGTGCAGTTTTCCGATCGTCCGCGTAGTGGAGCCCAAGGATTACTGTTTCTCGGCGACGACTTGTTGTACACGGGCGATGGTGGACTCTGGCTCCAGAAAGATAGTGATGGCGACGGCGAGGCTGAGGCTGAGCCAACTCAATGGCTCGAACTGAATAACCGCGAGCACGGAGCACACGCCGTAACGCTCGGACCCGACGGCTATGTCTACGTGATGTGCGGTAACGACGCCGGCATGACTGCCGAGCAGGTTACTGACGCCGGTTCGCCGATCACCGATCCACTCGCCGGATGCGTCGTCCGCATCGCTCCCGATGGTACACAGGCCAGCATCGTTGCCGATGGGTTCCGTAATCCCTACGACCTGGGGTTCAATGCCCAGGGGCACTTGTTTACGGTCGACTCCGATGGCGAGCGGAGCCATCATCTGCCGTGGTACACCCCAACCCGGTTGTTCGACATTGCTCGCGGCGAGCAGCATGGTTGGGTTCTCTCTGGCTGGCAGAAAAGTTGGAGCCGCCCGGAAGCCTTTTTTGATAACGTGCCCCGCGTCTGCGAGCTGGGGCGTGGTTCCCCCAGTGGGCTGTTGGTGTACCGGCACCGTGCATTTCCCGCGCACTATCGTGGTGGTGTGTTTACTGCCTGTTGGACGCTGGGCCGTGTTTACTACTTGCCACTTATCTCAGAGGGGGCTAGCTACCAGAGTAAGCCCGAGATCTTTTTGCAGACCGATGGCGATACCGGCTTCGCACCGGTTGACTTGGCGGTGGGTCCACGAGGGGACCTTTTTGTGGCTGTCGGTGGACGCGGGACCCAAGGCGGCGTGTTTCGGGTGCATTATGCTGAAGGGCAAGAGGCTTCTTCGGCCGCTCACGCGGAGTTCCCGACATCGATGGGGAGGCTCCTCGCAACGAACCAGCCGCTGAGCAGTTGGTCCCGCGCGAAATGGCTGCCGTCTGCTCACTTACTGAATTCGAGCGATTTCGTGCTGGCAGCTCTTGGGACGGGGATACAGGGCGACGAACTATCCACCGAACAGCGCATCCGTGCCATCGAGATACTGGTCGAGCTTCGCCCTAAGCGAATCGCTGCACTGATCCATAAGATTGATTCATCAGACGATCCCCAGGTGCTCGCCAGAGTGGCTTGGGCAATTGCTTGTGCCCAGGCGAGTTTCAGCGGTAAGGAACTGCAGTTCGCTCAGCAGATGTTGGCAGCGTTAACCCAGCATGAGAACCCTTTCGTTCAAAGGGCCAGTTGGGAATCACTCAGCCAGATGAGCGATCTTCCGAAACCGGTTCTGCGGGAGTGCGACTGGGTTTCGGGCTATGGCTCACCGTCTCGCTATGTGCGTCACGCAGCCATCAGCGTGTCGAGTAGTTCTCGACAGGCCACATCCATCGCAAAGAAGCAAGTGGAGCAGACTGCAGAAGCTGTGAGCCAGGGGCGAGTGGCTTCCTCCCTGCTTTGGGCGCGATTTGCAGCTCGGCAGGCTTCCTCGTCTAAGAAACCGGCGGGCGAAATTCGCAAGTGCTTGTCCTTAGTGCAATCGAGTGACGACCCCGACGTGCGCTTGGATATGGTTCGCCTAATCGAGCTTCTGCTGGGGGATATTCAAGCCTTTGACGAGGAGCAACTGCTTGCCAGTGGGTACTCACTCGGTCGGCCGGATGCAGTAAACCCGAAGGTACTGCAGTCTGTCCGCGACACCCTGACCTCGGCTTTTCCCAGCGGGAATGAACAGCTCGATCACGAGATCGCTCGCTTGGTGGCGATGGTCGGCGGGAAGTACTCGGCGTTTCTCGACGCTCTTTCGGAGAAGTGGACTGCTGAAAGTTCACCAGTGGACGACGTGCATTACTTGACGGTGCTGGCCAAGCTCGAAGGTCCCCGTTCCTACGAAGTCACCACCCGCACCGCCGCCGCCTTGGCCGGGCTACACGAGAAGCTGGCCGCCGGCGATAGGTATCCTAGTCGTGAGTGGCCAATTTGGGTTGCCACCGTGTTTGATGAGTTGGTTGCCAGAGATGAAGCCCTGGCGACGGCTTTCGTGGCTGACCCGAAATTTGGTCATCCCGATCACGCCATGTTTGTGCTTGCGCTCCCGGAAGAACAAAGGCTGCCAGCCGCAACGCGTCTGTTCGATCAACTGGAAGGCGAAACCTACGAGGAACTGGCCGCCATCTGGACGCCCACACTCATCGAAGCCCTTTTGATCCTGCCGGAGGAAGTGCTTTTTCCCCGACTCCGCGAGGTATGGGACGAAGGAATCCTTCGTGATGCTATCGTCGAGGTGCTCGCAAGAAGTCCCCAGCCGGAGGACCGCGAGCGCTTCACCGAAGCGCTGAAATACTCGCAGCCCCCAGTAGTTGAGACCGTCAGCGAGGCGCTACTGGAACTCTCGCCGGACGCGAAGGCCGAAGAGATCGCAACGGCAGTCTCGCGTTTACGTCGATCGTGCATGGCCGCCGGAAGGATGCCACCGAAAGGCGACAAGGCGGCTCGGGCCAATTACCACCGTGCGGTAGCCGAAGAACAGGCGATGCGGAAGCAACTCGATCACTTGTTGAGTCATTGGTCAGACAACGAGATTGAGATCACAGAAGAAGCATCCGAAGATCTACTGCTTCAATATCAACCCTGGTTTGTCTGGTTTGGGCTAAACTACCCCGGCTATGCCTCACGCGAATCGGGCAGAGTTTCGTTGGGAGCCTGGGCGTTAAGGCTAGAATCAATCGATTGGTCGCAGGGCAACCCCGCGCAGGGTGAGGGGCTGTACCGGCGAACGAATTGCAGCCAATGCCACGATGGCAATGCGCGCCTGGGACCGGAGTTGGCCCCGGCCGTGAAACGTTTCTCCCGCAAAGATCTTTTTGCGGCCGTGATCAACCCAAGCTCCAACGTCTCGCCGCAGTACCAGGGGGTGCAAGTCGTCACTCAAGACGGCCGCATCTATCAGGGGCTCCCGGTTTACGACTCGCCAGAGGGGCTGCTGCTAAGGACCGGGGCAACCACCACAGTGCGACTCACCGGCGATGAAGTTGCCGTGCGGTTGCCGAGCACACGCTCATTCATGCCGGAAGGGCTGCTGGACGAACTCTCCGACCAAGAGCTGGCCGATTTGTACGCTTATCTGCGCACACTTCGTTGAGGTGCGAGTATTGAGACCTCGGCTCAGTGGTTGTCGCCGCTGATCATGTTGCCAAAACCGCCGAGGATCGATCCTTCACCTTTGCTGCCGCCCGATTGTGGAGCGTTCGAGACAATCCGTCCCGCGAGCCTGCTAAAGGGCAGCGACTGCAGCCACACATCTCCCGGACCGGTGAGGGTACTGAAGAATACGCCCTCACCACCGAAAAGCGTGTTTTTGATTCCGCCCACGTATCGCACGTCGAAATCAACCGTGGGTTCCAATGCCACCAGGCAGCCCGTATCGACTTTGATCACTTCATCGTGCTCCAGCCGCCGGTGCATGAGTGTTCCGCCAGCGTGGACCATAGTCAGCCCGTCGCCGGTGAGCCGCTGCATGATGAATCCCTCTCCACCAAACAGCCCGACGCCGACCCGCTTTTGAAACGCGACGCCGATTTCCACCCCACGCGCCGCGCACACGAACGAATCTTTCTGGCAGATCAACTCGCCACCCAGTTGTGCCAGGTCCATGGGTACAATTTTGCCCGGGTAGGGGGCCGCGAACGCGACTTGCTGCCGGTTCGATGAAGAATTGTAAAACGTCGTCATGAACAGAGATTCGCCCGTGAGCCATCGCTTGCCGGCCGTCATCATCTTGCCGAGCATGCCGGTGTGGGCTACCGCGGGATCGCCGATCACGGTTTCCATCTCAATGCCCGCGGTCATGTACATCATGGCCCCCGCCTCGGCGATGACCATCTCTTCAGGATCGAGCGTGATGCAGACGTACTGCATCTCTTCCCCGAAGATCTCGTAGTCGATTTCGTCCGCTATCTGGTCGGCGGGCGGAGGCGGCGGGTCGGAATCGCCCCGGAGTTGCTCGACAATCGCCGGCACATGCCGAGCTTCAATCCAACTTGCAGCCCCTGGGCCGTAAACCAGCGTGTGCAGCCCTTTCTCCGATTCGATCATCTCGATCAGCTGACCCAACGGCATCGGACCTTGAGGGTCTTTCCCACGGGCGAAGTACCAGGTGGATTGAGAAGTCATTGGCAGGAGTCTCCGGTGGCCGTTGTTTGAGAGGCCGTTACTATCGGGTGTTCGCCGCGGAACAGCGAATATTGTGCCTTGCTGCGACATCCCCCGCGAGCGGGTGTCTGCGTAATCTTGTCGCACATCATGGTGCAATGTGGCGTGCCGCCTGTTCGTCGAGCGGCGGTCGCCTACAATGGGAAAGTTCTTTCCGCCCTTCACGTTAGCGACCGAAGGTGACTTCAGAGTGAGTATCGAGCACCCCACTGCGTTTCGCCCCGAGGAATACGCCGAATTTCGACCTGACAAAATGGGCAAGGCGACCTTGTTCCAATCATCCCGCTTGCTGGTTGGGCTGAATTGCTTCGAACCTGGTCAAGAACATGCCCTTCATGCCCACGAAGGCATGGATAAGGTGTACCATGTATTGCAGGGGCGGGGGCTCTTCACGCTGGAAGGCAAAGAGCTGCCGATGGAGCCGGGCATGATGTTGATTGCCCCCGAAGGCGTACCCCATGGGATTCGCAACAACGGTGACGAACAGCTCGTTGTTCTAGCCGTGTTGGCACCCTCTCCGTAGAGCAAACAAAAGCGACTCGCCGCCTTGAGAAACATATAAGAGGTTGGAGTCTCGAGGGAGAAAACGATGCCAGAGAAACTAATGAACGGACCAATCGATCTCTTGGCGATTCTGGCCATCGTGGGTACCGTGCTCAATCTCATTGCCTTAATGCAGGGTGTGGCCGTACGGCGTCTTGCAGGGAAAACACTGGTCGACCTGGGCCAATCGAACATCGGCAGGGCTTGGGAGTTGGCCGTTGTAATCATCTTCCTGGTGCCCGTAGGACTTATCTTCGCTCAGCCGGCACCGAAAAAAGTTCCCACGCCGAAGTTTGGCGAACAGCGATTCACCCCCGAGAAAGTTCGCTCGAGTCAGATCAAAGCCGATCTCCTAACGCGTGGTTTGACTCATGGTCTCTTCATCGTGTCGATCTTGGCCGCCCACGTGATGGGTGTTCGCCCGGGGCGCTGCGAATTTGCCGAGAAGGGCCTAATCTACGGTGGCTGGCAATTGCGAACGTGGGACCTGCTGACCTCTTTCTCCTGGATCGAGGGCCCCCCCACGCGGCTCACCATGCGATTTGATGAGTCTTCCCGTCAGGCAGTTGTGCCGCCCGAGCACACAGCCGCCATCGATCAACTGCTTCGTCAGCACATTGCCGGAGAAGACAGTCTCCAGACGGTGGGGTAGTCGCCCGCTCTGCATCTGGAATTCTTGAACGCGAGGATTCCACGTTCTGTTTGTCGCCCAGGGCCACGTTAGCTTATAGTAGCTACTGGCTGGGGGGTGTGAATGTACACTGCCCGCCATCCCTCCTGTTGGCCGTACTTACCCAAGGCCGACACCACAACCCACGCGTTTCCAGCCACTACCGAGTTGCGTGCCTGCCGGCTATCGGTGAAGACCCCGCTCATGCACTTGGTCTGCCAGGAGAATCGCTATGCAGCGGTGCAATCCGTATTGTGATTGCCATAGGCCAAAGTCCGTCACAGGACTAGATGGATCGCCACGAAACCTCGCCCGTCGCGTCTGGTTAGCCTTCCTGGCTTTGATGGTCACCTCGCTGTGCGTGGCAACCACTCACGCTCAACTTCCCACGGCGAGACTCATGGCTACACAGCCAGTGGGAGGGCAGCAGGGGACATCGGTCGATCTGACGATTACCTCTTCCGCCGATTTAGACGGCGCCGATCGGCTGTGGTTCAACCATCCCGGGATTACAGCCACACAGAAAACTCAACAGGTTGAAGGCCAAGAGCAACCCCAACCGGTGGCCAATGCTTTTACTGTTTCCATTGCCTCGGATGTGCCCCCTGGCAACTACGAGATGAGAGCGGAAGGCACCTACGGTGTTTCCAACCCTCGCACGTTTGTGGTCGGCGATCGGCCGGAAACTTCTGAGACCGAGCCAAACAACAGTCTCGAGCAAGCGGGCACGGTTGATATCGGTTCGGTCGTCAACGGGGTGATCGGCGCAGCCAACGACATGGACTGCTTCCGTTTTAAGGCTAGTGCTGGCCAACGCGTTATCATCACGGCCTGGGCTGAGAGGATCGACTCTCGTCTCGATGCCACGTTGGAACTATTCGACCCCACCGGCTCGCTCGTACAACTCAATCGCGACTGGGATGGTCACGATGCGTTGCTGGATTACACACCCGAAGTCGATGGCGAATACGTGCTTCGCCTTTACGATTTTCAATACACCGGAGGTGCCGAACACTTCTACCGCCTGTGGATCACCGACGGCCCTTATGTCGATAGCATTGTTCCTCCGATGGCCGAGCCAGGCACCAAGCAAAGCTTCACGCTCTACGGTCGAAATCTACCCGGGGGAACAGCCACCGAATGGGAAACCCCGGGTGGACCGCTCGAAGCATTGACGGTCGAGTTCGAAGTGCCTGCCGCATCCGAGAACCCGGAACTGAATTGGGCCTCGCCCGTGCGACCGGCCGAAGCGGTTTTCGATGGCGTGGATTATCGGCTTACGACGGAGAAGGGCACTTCCAACCCGTTACGGATCGCTCGGGCCACCGCCCCGGTCGTTCTGGAACAAGAACCGAACTCCGAGGAAGGCACGGCTCAAGCAGTCGAGGCTCCTTGCGAAGTCGCCGGCCAGTTCCAGCAACTGGGCGATGTGGATTACTACACGTTTACCGCGACTAAAGGAACGGTGTACCAAATCGAACTCGTCTCTCAGCGGTTCGGCTTGCCCACTGACCCGCTATTACTTGTCGAGCAGATCGTGGTCGACGACAAAGGCAACATCAAGGTCAAGGACACCAAAGAGGCCGACGACGACGGGACCAATGTAGGTGCGGCTCACTTTACCAGCACAAGCCACGACCCCGTATATCGCTTTCAGGCTCCAGAAGACGGAACCTATCACATCGCAGTTCAGGACCTTTATCGGTCAACCCAGGCATCGCCTCGATTGGTGTATGGACTTGCGATCCGACCCGAGTCGCCTGATTTTCGGCTGGTTGTGCAGCCTGAGTATCCGCTCGATGGCCGCAACGCTCCCAACCCTTGGACGCCGTTCTTGCGACGCGGCGGCACCGTGCGTTTCGACTGCATGATCTTCCGCCGCGACGGCTTCGCAGGTGAAGTGGCACTTTCGGTTCAGGGCCTACCCGAGGGAGTGACCTGTGCCGGCAGTGTGATCGGCCCCGGGCAGTCATCAACTCGGCTGATTCTCTCCGCCGCGGAAGATGCACCGGTATGGTCGGGCGAAATCAAGATCATTGGGGCCGCGCGAATTGGCGATGTGGATGTCGTGCGAGAAGCCCGCAACTCAACAGTCGTCTGGGCGGGTACCCCGGCGGTAGTACGGGCGGCCGAACGAATTGTGCTTTCTGTGGGTGAAACGGCACCGCTTGGCATGACCGCTGGAGTGGACCGAGTCGATCTGGTGCAAAGCAGCCAACTGAACATCCCTCTCCAGATTGCCCGCCGCGAGGGCTTCACGGCAAAGTTCGTCGTCACCGGAGATCAACTCCCACCAAAGGTGACCAACGAGAGCGTGAATGTGGCGGACAATCAGACAGAGGCTACCGTGCATCTTTTCGTCGAGCCCGATGCCCCCACGGGCACCTACACGCTCTTCGTGCAGGGTGCGGGACAAGTGCCATCGCCCCGAAAGGATAAAGACGGCAATCCCGTTCAGGTCAATGTTGTCGAGGCCTCAACGCCCGTTACGGTGACGATTGGGCCCAGCCCGTTAACGCTGGAACCCCAAGTACCTGGCAACGGGGCCGTGAAACGCGGAGCGGAACTAAAGATTCCGGTCAATGTGAAGCGCCAGAATGGGTTTGAGGGGCCGGTAACTTTGGGGCTGAAGTTGCCCGCGAGTGTCACCGGCGTAGAAGCTGCGGAAGTGACTGTTGCAGGCGATCAAACGGCTGGCGAGTTGATTGTAAAACCGACCGGCGAGGCCACTGTCGGAAATCATGCCCACGTGGTGATCGCTGCCCGAGCGAAGTTCAACGACAAAGAGGTCGAAGTTCATCAGCGAATTCCCTTGAACGTCACGGAATAAGACGCGTGGGAAGATATTAGATGCGTTCGACCCAACCAATCGAATAACGTGAGAAAACATGAATCCACTGACGATCAAGATTCCTGGCTGGTTGCTGGCGCTGGCTCTCTTGCTACCTGTGTCCACCGCTCAAGCGGAAGATGAAGCACCGGCGGTCATCGAAGTGGCCGAGCTGCAGCGCGAAGAACCGGTTGATTTCGAAAAAGAGATTCTCCCGCTGCTTAAAAAGAGCTGTCTGGCTTGCCATAATGAGGCCGAAGCCTACAGCGACTTAGTGTTGGAGACACCGCAGACGATCCTCAAAGGTGGAGCGCTTGGGGCGGCCGTCGTGCCGGGCAAGGGAGATGAAAGCCTGTTGCTGCAGGTCGCTGCCCGTCGTGAAGAACCGATCATGCCGCCCGAGGACAACGACGTGGGAGCCCCGGTACTCACTCCCGAGGAACTGGGGCTGATCAAATTGTGGATCGATCAGGGGGCCACGGGTGAAGTCTCAGGTCAATTGGCCCCCTTGGCGTGGCAACCGCTTCCGGCGGGGATTAACCCCATCTATGCGGTCGCCGTGACTCCCGACGGGCAATATGCCGCCTGCGGTCGAGCCAATCAGATCTTTATTTACCACGTGCCAAGCGGCCAACTGGTCGAACGACTGACCGACCCAAATCTGGTCGAGGCCGGGCTCTACGAAAATGCCGGCGTCGCACATCTGGATATCGTCCAGTCATTGGCGTTCAGCCCCGATGGCAAAACGTTGGCTTCCGGCGGCTATCGCGTGGTGAAGCTGTGGAAACGCCCCGATAGCCCCATGGCCGCTGAGCCGCTAGTTCTGGACTATGTCCCTCGTCTTACGGCAGTGAGCCCTGGCGGGAAGCTTCTCGCCACAGCGGACGATGCCGGACATCTTCGCATCGTGACACAGGGAGAAGAGTCGAAGTCGGTCGAACTGGTCGGGCATCAAGGCACCCCGGTCGCCCTGCAGTTTACGCCCGACGGACAGGCTCTCATCACCGCCTCGGCCGATGGATCGTTGCGAGTGTGGAATTCGACCGATGGGCGATTGCAGTCGCGAGTCGATACCCCGGCACCGATTGCCGCTATGAGCCTGAGTGCCGATGGTCAGCAGATGCTGGCCGCGGGAGGCGATGCGAAGTTGCGAGCGCTCTCGGTTCCGAACAGTGGTGTTCGCCAACTACTGGCCGCCACCCATTTTTCGGTCGCTACCGCCAGCCCAGACGGGAAATGGCTTGCGCTGGGCAACACCGACGGTTCTGTGCGAACGTTGTCGCTCGGCGATGGGAGTGAACTCAAGAGTTGGAAAGCCCACGAGGGAGCCGTGACCGCGTTGGCCTTCAGTGCCGACTCCGGCGAGTTGCTTACGGCCTCAGAAGATCATCAGTTGAAACTGTGGAAGACCGGTGACTGGAGCCAGACAAGCAGCGTTGAATTGGCCGATCGACTTCCTTCGGCCGCTTGTTCTTTGACAGGGACTCGAAAATTTGCCGTCGGCGATTCGCAAGGAAGGGTTGCCATTTGGAATGCGGACACGATGGATGCCCCGGCGGCATTGATCGAGGGCGTCGAATCGGCCGAGCCGACGGCCAAGATCGTTGCGATGGCCGCCTCCGGTGATGCTGCCACGCTCTATGTCGCGAATGGGGTCGCGGTGCGAGCAGTCGCTACTGAGAATGGAGAACAGCGTTACGAGATTGATGGGACCGGTGTAGTGAATGCACTGACCTTAAGTCCCGATGGAGCTGTGCTGGCCACTGCGGGGCAGGATCAGAAGATTCGCCTGTGGAATACCTCCGATGGAAAGCCGGCTGCTCAGTCGGTGCTCGCCGGGTTCGATGCCCCAGTCACGAGTGTTGCCTTCGTGAACTCGGGACAAATTGTAGCGGGAGCAACGAATGGGCGTGTACTCGTCCTTGATGTCGCTACTGGAATAGCCTCGCAAGCGTTTGCCCAGCACCAGGGTAATGTGGCATTCGCCGTTGCCATTGCCGGCGAGCCACCACAAGCCGTGACGGGTGCGCAGGGGCACAGCTTCATGCAGTGGCCAATTCTGCCGCACCACATCGCTACCTTGCCTTCGGCCAATGTTGCGGCCTTGGTTCCATTGACTGGCGAAGGTATGCACATGGTGGTTGCCAATAAGGAAGGTCTCGCTCAACAGTGGGATCTGCTGGCCGGCACCGTCGTCAAAGAATACCAGCACGGCTCACCGATCACCGCTGCGGCAGCTTCCGGTGATGGTGCACGGTTGGCCACAGCAGGTGAAGACCAGATAGTGCGGCTGTGGAACATGGCCGATGGAGCAGCGCTAGCAGAGGTCCGCGGCGATCAACGCGCCAACCGAGAGCAAGCCCGCCTGGCCACCATTGTCAGCGTGGCCAAGACCAAGGACGATGCCGCAAAGAAGCAACTTGAGGAGGCAAGCAAGACCCTCGAAGAACGAGTGGCGGCACTCGAGACGGCGAACAAAGAACGCGACACAGCAATTGCAGCAGCTCAAACTGCCCAGGCGACCGACGAGAAGGCGAAAGCTGAAAAGGCTACCGCGGAAAAGTTGGTTGCTGACACCGATGCGGCGTCCAAGGCTGCCGTCGAAGCCAAAACTGCCGCTGACGCGGTGGTGCAGAAAACTACCGAGGCCGCCACGGCAGCCATCGAGACAGCCACGGCCGCGGTTACCGCCCACGATCAACTGGCTGCCGCCCTGCAGTCGGCAACCGCAGCGGCTGAGAAGGCGAAAGCCGCCAGTGAAGCTGCGCCAGAAGACAAGCAACTGGCCACTCTGCATGCTGCCGCCAACAAGACGCTTGAAGGCGTGAAAGGATTGATCGCACCTGCCATGGAGTCGCGTCAAGCGGCTGAAAAACTGGCGGCGGAGAAGAAGGCCGCCGCAGATACAGCCGTGGCAAACCAGAAGGCAGCGGAAGCCAAGGTAACCGAAACCGCCGCCGCCGCGAAAGAAGCGGCAGAAAAGTTGGCCGCCGTGACCAAAACTGCTGAAGAATCGCAAAAGGCGCTGACCGACGCCACGGCAAAGAAAGACACTGCCGAGCGAGCCGCAGGCGACGCTGAGGCATCCCGCGCCCGTGCAGAACGGCTGCTGGGAACCGCGAAAGAAAAGTCGGCTGAAACGGGGGTGTTCCTCGCGTCGCAAAACGAATTGGCCGAAGCTGCGAATCAGGAGGCAAGTGCGGGACAAACTGTGGTGCGTTCGCTGGCATTCTCACCAGACGGTAAGCAACTTGCCGCTGCCGGAGAAAATCGCCTTGTACAGACATATCGGGCCGACAATGGCAGCCCAACTGGAGTCTTCTCAGGGCACGAAGCAGCCGTAAATTCGATCGAATTCCTTGATGCAGGCCGACTGGTTTCTGCCGCTGCGGATAAGAGCATTAAAACGTGGGACTTAACCGCCCACTGGACTTTGGCTGGGCAGATCGGCCCTCCACAGGACACCCCAACCGCATTCGAGAACTCACCACTTTCCGATCGCGTGCTGGCGATCGACTTCAGCCCCGATGGCAATTTTCTCATCACGGGTGGTGGAGAACCTTCGCGTAGCGGAGAGTTGAAACTGTGGAACATTGCCGATGGCAGCTCGAAGCATGAGTTTGTCGATGCCCATAGCGACACGGTCTTTGGCGTGGCTTTTTCCGACGATAGCCGCTACTTGGCCACGGCCAGCGCAGACAAGTTCGTTAAGGTGTTCGATGTGAACTCCGGTGCTGAGATTCGTTCGTACGAAGGCCACACGCACCACGTGTTGGGAGTCGACTGGCAATACGACGGTACGATTCTCGCCAGCTGCGGTGCAGACAACGTGGTGAAGGTTTGGAACTTCGACACTGGCGAACAGCAACGCACCATTGGAGGATTCGGCAAGCAGGCCACGTCGATCACCTTCGTCGGCCAGGCGGGCGAAACTCTGACCAGTGCCGCGGACAAGACCGTTCGCCTTCACACCGTGGGCGATGGCAAGAATATTCGAAACTTCGATGGTGGAACGGACTACATGTACTCGGTTGATGTCACCGACAACGGCAATTTGGTTGTGGGCGGAGGGGCCGACAGCGTACTTCGACTATGGACGAAGGGCGACGGGAAGGCAGTAGCGAGTTTCGCTCCCCCGGAAGAGGGTGGGTCTTCGGAGCAGGCTTCTGTCGCAAAGTGAAGAGGCTATTATAGATACGCGTTTCTGCCACTGTGCGGTTTGGAATCGAAGCCAAGTCTCCAAGTGGGGGGAGATTCTGCCAAGCTTTTTTTGAAATAAATACTTAACAATTAAGAGGTTTCGGCTATCTTAGAAGGTCGTATTACGGGGCAGATTACCTAATCGGAACAGGCTACCCCTCCCAAAATTGTGACCTGACTGCAGTCAGTTTGCGTTCCCACCCCACGAAGGAGCAGCTAATGAATCGGATACAGTGCCTTAAGTACCTTTCTGTAGTGGTCGCACTTTGTGCGCTGGTCGCCACACCGGCGGTCGCCGCACCCTACACCTACAACATCAATCTAAATCAGAGCCAATTGAATCTGACCGCTGCTGGTTCTGTCCTTGGTGGAGTGCTCAACGTAGAAGAGCAATTTGCCAACACACCTACCCGATACCAGGGAACAATGGTTGCTGATTTCCCTGCTGGACCCGGTGCAGGCGGAAGCATTACCTTCCCTGGTGGTAGTTCTGCAGAGGCCGACACTCTACGTGGTCTCTTCAATTCCCAGCGACAGGTTTCGCCCGGAATCGGTGGTACTGGTGGAGCGGACCCGGCCAACTATGGCCTGATTCTAAATGCCCCTATTGACATCGATCTGCCAGCGATTCCGCTGCCTGACCCGATTGGTTCGATCGATCTGGGTGTCCTAGACTCGGTGCAAATGGACATCGCTCTGCGTGAAGTCACCTGGGACATCACCATGGCGCTTCTGCAAACCGAAAAGGGAATTGACGCCAATGGGGAGTTCGACGCATCGGGAGGCATCGGCACAGGAGTTCAGCTGGGTCTGACCTCCGGCTTCATTGACCTCACCGGTTCATTGGTGTTCCGACAGGACAACATTATCAGTTACGGAGCCACGCTGGCTGCTCTCACGGCTTTGGTAGCTGCCGTTCCAGACCTCGGTCTAAGTGTTGATGGAAATCCTGACGGCAACATCTTCACCACGGAGGTTGGTCTGGGAATTGGTACTAGACTCGACCTGAGCGGCATCCCGGATATTCTGACCTTGCCCAACGGCGCGACTGATCCCGGCTCGGTGACTTACAACCCGGTGACCGGTGCTTCCACACTCACGTTGCCTGTGGACATCACGCTGCCCGATCTCGGCATTCCGGCCGATCTGCTGGACCTCGATCTTAGCTTCAGTGGCCAACTAGTCGGTACGGCGATTGTTCCCGAACCGTCTTCGATGGCTCTGGGACTGATGGGCATCATCGGCTTCGTTGTTTACGGAGTCCGACGTCGACGAGCCTAGGAGAGCTTGGCTCAAAGTAGATGCTTTACCTACGGCGAGTGCACTTGGGCGATCCCCGGGTGCACTCGCTTTTTTGCGCATATGCTTAGCGGCTTGAACCGAATGACAGCCGGTGGCGACTAAACCAGCTCGCTGACAATCTCACGTTCCTCTAGCACGTAGCGGGGGCGACCTGCGTGGTCGGTGAAGGTGGCCTCGGTATCGATGCCCAAGTGCCTGTATGCAGTCGCCAGAATGTGTTCCGGTCGGTAGGGGCTATCTAGCGGCACTTCGCCACGGCTGTTCGAAGATCCGACGATCTGCCCGACGTTCAACCCGCCGCCGGCCAGCATCACACTCATCAGCGATCCCCAGTGATCGCGTCCGGCGGTTTTATTGAACCGTGGCGTGCGTCCAAATTCGCCCATGGCGATCACCAACACATCGCGCTCGAGGCCTCGCTCGTGAAGGTCATTGATCAAGGCCGAAACGCCGCGATCGTATTGGGGGGCCTTGGTTTTCATGCGCTTCACCAGCCCCCGATGGTCGTCCCAACCTCCGACGCGTACTGAGACGAACGACACGCCGGCTTCGATGAGTCGTCTGGAGAGAAGCAGGCTTTGCCCAATAGTATGCCGGCCGTAGAGATCGCGAACCTTGTCCGACTCTTGGGCAATGTCGAACGCTTCCCTGGCACGGTCGCCTGTGACCAACTCAAATGCATCGCGGGTGAAGGAGTCGAAAGCCTCTCCCACGCCACGGTTATCGATCACCCTTCGCGAGTCATCCAGCGAATTCAACAGGCTGCGACGATCGTCCAAGCGCTGGAGATTCAGATTGCCAACGAGGTCGAGGTTCTGGACCTTGAACTTCTCTTTGTTCGGGTCGCCGCCCGTTACGAATGGATTGTGTCCCTTGCCCAGGAAGGCGGCCTGCCCGTAACGCATCATCTGCGGAATAGCCACATAGCCGGGTACTCCCTTTTCGTTGGGGCCCACAACGTGGTCAACCACCGACCCGATACAAGGCAGTTCGTTATCACGGTTCTGCCGGTCGCGAAGGTAATAGCCCGTCTGTGTCAGGTGGCTGGATGTTTGATGGCTGCCCGAGTTGTGGTGCACCGAGCGAATCACCGCCAGGCGTTTGGCAATCTTCGCCTGCTCGACCATCATCTCGCTGAACCGCACACCACTCAAAGCGGTTTGAACGGTTCCCAGCGGCCCGCGATACTCGACAGGGGCCTCGGGCTTGGGGTCGTAGGTCTCGAACTGCGTTGGGCCGCCAGCCAATTCGATGAAGATCACAGAACGCTTGGGAATCGACCGGCCGGCTTCGGCTGCGCGGGTTTGAATCTTCAAGAGATCGGCCAGAGACATGCCTCCCAGGCCATGGAAACCGGCACGCAAGAAGTCTCGTCGTCGGATACCATCGCAGTAGTCGAAGCGACTTCCCGAAACCTGCAACATGGTGGGCACCTCCATCAGGGCGAATTGCAATTTTGGCGGGTCCGTGCAATGGGGGCACGGCATGCATTTCGTCGTTGGGCGTGAATGCCAGAATTGTAGTGCTTATTGTACGGCAACTGCAAGAAAAGATTCGATTTACGTCGATTCCTTCGCACGTACTGGTTGGCAAGTTGATGCATCCCCCTCGGTTGGTTATTAAAGGTGTTGGGTGCCGAACCTGCAACGAATGCATTTCAAAACCACAAGGGTGTTGCTTCGACCGCAGACCTACTTCCTTCCCAGGACAGGACCACATCATGCAAACTCTCGGACAATTGAAAGAGAACAATAGGCTGCTCGAAACGCCGCACGGCGTGGCCGTGGGGACAAGCTTCCGCTGGCCAACCGGACAATACTGCGCGATTCATACCGATCGCGGATTCATCGGTTGCGGGATCTACGACGTGCACGTTGCCGGTGAGTTCGGCATTGTGGTGGCCATCGCCAAAGGGACACCAGAGAAGCCTCTGTGCGAACCGGAAGATTTATTCGAAGCCAAAATCGTTGATGCCAGCAAGCCAGCTCAAGAAATAGGCATCGAGATCGGGATGACCGGTATGGAAGCTCTTGGAAAGCTTCTACAAAACTGAACAAACCTGGCAAACACATGGCCTGCGAAGGAACGGCACACCAAGGTGAGTACGAACAACATGCAGGTGGCAATCGTCACCGGTGGCTCGCGGGGCATCGGCCGCGCGATTGCTGAAGAACTGGCCCGAAGCGGCTTTCAAGTGGTGGTGAATTACGCCACTCGGGGTGATGCCGCGGAAGAAGTCGTGGCGGGCATCAAGAATGATGGCGGGGCGGCGATCGCCGTCGGTGGCGACATAGGCAACCGTGACGATCGCAGCAAAATCGTCGACGCCACGCTTGAAAAGCTTGGTCGCATCGATGTTCTGGTGAATAACGCCGGCATTACGTCGCAGGGCCGACACGATTTATTGGAAGCAACAGAAGATAGCTGGGACCGTGTCTTCGACACGAACCTCAAAGGTCCCTTTTTCCTGTCCCAACGGGTTGTCCAGGAAATGGTCAAGCAAATCGCGGCCGGGACCATTTCAGGTGGAAAGCTCATCAACATCTCCTCGATCTCAGCCTACGCTGTAAGCACGAATCGAGCCGACTACTGCATGACCAAAGCCGCGCTGGAGATGATGACAAAGCTATTCGCGGTACGGCTTGCCGAAGAGAAGATTGGCGTGTTCGAGATTTGTCCCGGTATTATCGAAAGCGACATGACCGCGCCGGTGCGAGAGAAGTACGATCAGAGAATCCAAGACGGTCTATATCCCATCCGCCGCTGGGGAAAGACCCAAGATGTTGCCCTGGCTGTACGGGCCATCGTCGAAGATGCCTTTCCCTTCAGCACCGGGGAACGCATCAACGTCGATGGTGGGTTTCATATTCGCACGCTGTAGAGTGGGCTTCCGGAGTGCTCTCACTCTTCCCGCCGCACAAACGCCGGGTGGTCTGCCTCGCCGTTGGCGATCATATAGGCCAGCAGGTCGAGTATTTCGGCTTGGGTCAGTGTGTTGAGAATGCCGGCTGGCATCATCGATTTTGGGGAGAGAGCACGCTCTTCGATCTCGGACTTCTCAATAGTGATCGGCTCTGTCAACGCTCCTCCACTACGAAGCGTGATGGTGGAGTCCGTCTCCCGCTCGATTCGACCTTCGAGAATCGTGCCGGCTGACGTCTGAATGATTGTGGTCGCATACTCAGGGGCGACTTTGCTCGAGGGATCAACCAGCGATTCGATCAGTTCAACCGGTTTGAGTCGCGTGCCGATGCCGCTCAGGTCGGGCCCTATTCCGCTGCCTTGGCCAGCAAAGCGATGGCATTGAGCGCAACCGACGGCCTCAAAAGCGGCTCGCCCAGAGTCGAACGAGCGGGTTGTTGTAAGTTCGCCTAAGTGATCGCTCAAGTCTTCTAGTTTCCAGTCGCGAACGAATGGCCGCTCAGGCTGCATTGTGGCAATCCATTCGTGCATTAAGTCCACTGCCTGTTGGTCCACCACACTGCTCACCAGTGGCGGCATCTGCCCACGGCCGCGGCGTTTGAGACGCTCGATCAACAACGATGCGTCTGGATCGCCCGGAGCGACGAGCATCGCGTTGTCGATTTCGAACGTTGCATGCTGCGGTCGGGCTGCGATGAGTTCCATCTTCTCCAAAGCGGTCGAGAACCCCAGCTCTATTTTGGAATTTCCCCCACCGGCCGATACGTGACAGACCGAGCAGTTGGTGTGCAGATAAGAACGGGCACGGGTTTCGGCATCCTCGCTAGAGTCATAAGGATTGACCAACTTGGTCAGTTCCTCCGGTGGCTTTGGCAAAGGGTTTTTGAACAGGCCAATGTGCTCCAAAGTGCGAAGCTGGTTGTCGATGATTTCGCCATAGTTGTGATCACGGTTTGTCTGCGCTTCGGACAACCCTAGCACGAAATTTGCCGCACGACTGTGGCATGAAAGGCACTCGGCCCTGGCCGGAAATCTCCAAGATCGCACCTCTTCGCCGGGAAGCAATACCGCGCGGTCTTCTCCATTCGCAGACACCAATGTTGCATCGGACTGGTCATCGTTCCAGCGGTAGGAGTAGCCGGCCCATTCGCCTTCTTGTCGGGTGAGTAGCCTGGTTTCGATACGGTGGAGGGAATTGTCTTCGCCGTGCTTGGTCTCGAAACCAAGCGTCTGGAGCAGCACGGTTCCGTTGGGAAAGTTCCAGCCGCGTGACGATGCGTAGTCGATTTGCCCATCGTCGGGGATTGCCAGATAGCGTACGGCACGCGCTCCGTCATTCCATCCGGGAGCATTGACTGAATAGGGGATGACGCCGGGGGCGACCTCATGATCTTCGACCGAAGAAAACAACCCCGTCTCGCTAAGATGCCGAGGGAAGTCGTGCTTTGATTCTTGGACTTCAGCAGGAACCAGGCGATAGAGTCCTCCCGTGATATCCACGATGAGCAACTCCTCACGAGGGCTCACGGCAAAGCCTGCGATTTGCAGCGAAGTGTCGGCCAGTTCGCGGTGCCAAGTCAGCTTCGTGCCATCGTGCCGGGCTCCCCAGATCTTACCGGTGGAGTAGTCGCCATAGATGTAGGCCCCATTCAGTTCGGGTAATTCTTTTCCGTAGTAGACCACTCCGCCGGTCAATGAGCGGGCTTCGACGTGATGATGTTCCAACGTCGGGGGCACGACCGGCGTGGGGCCACGCTGTCGATTCAAATAAAACGGGTGACTTCCCTCGTACACGCTCCAGCCATAGTTCTCCCCACGCCCCAAGAGATGCGCTGTCTCCCATAAGTCCTGCCCGTTGTTGCCAACCCAGATGTGTCCCGTCTCGCGGTCCACGCACATTCGCCACGGGTTGCGAAGTCCGTAGGCCCAAAGTTCACCTCGAGCGTTCTCTGTATCGACAAACGGGTTGTCGTCCGGGATGGTGTAAGCCGCGTTTTCGCTTGCGTGATCGACATCGATGCGGAGAACTCCGCCCAGCAGATTGCTGATGTCCTGCCCGGTGAGATTGGTGTCGGAATCAGAGGTTCCATCACCTGAGGCGATGTACAGCATGCCGTCGTGCCCGAAGACGAGGTCTCCACCGTCGTGGCCTGCGGAAGCCCACTCGATGATGATTTCTTCTGTGGCAGGGTCGCACGTCGGCGTTGCTGTGTGGTCGACGGTAAACCGCGATACACGATTCTGCCGCTCGGGCTGACCGTTAGGGCCGTTACTGAAGACGTAGATGTGCCCGTCGCGGTCATACCGAGGGCTGAACGTTACGCTGTAGACCAGTCGATCGGCGATTTCCAGGAGGGTTTCACGCGTATCGACCGCTGGATCATCGGCGATCACAAGGATCTTCGATGGACGATCCTTCTCCCCGCCGCGCTCGATAATCCAGAGACGATTGCTCCCCGGTTCGGCCACGGCAAACAGTGGGGCTTCCCAGTCGATGTTCTCAAAGGAGGGCGCAACTGTGTAGGGCAGAGGAGGGTCGGGCGAACCGACGACGCGAGAGGTAGTCCAGGGAACCCGCTGTTCGATTCCGTATGGTGCTGGCGCATCATCAGCAGCAACCTGGCCCGTGATCGAAACGAGAGTTGCGACCAGCAAGAGCACAAATGCTCTTGCAGTGCCAAGCAGTCCGTCAGAAAACGCTGCCAAGCCACGCAACATCGAGTCACGACCGGCGACGAAAGTGCTACAGTCGCCGATGCGTGACATGGGCCAGATCCTGGTGGGGCTTCTACTTCAGCGGGCCGATCCGGTAGATCGCCCCCTTGGTTGGTGTGACGGTGGTGAAGTAGACGTTGCCGTCCGCATCCTCACCAAACGTGATGATGGGCTCACCGGGGGATTTCAGTTCGCGATTGGCGATTACTTGGCCCGTTTCCTCATCGTACCACAGCGCCCACAGTTTCATTGTCACGTAGTCGGCGTAAAGATAGGCCCCGTCAAGCTCCGGCATGCCTTCGCCACGATAAACAACTCCGCCGGTGATCGATTTACCGACGTCGTGAGAGTATTCCCAGATGGGGTCAATCAATTCGGGGCGGGGGCCAACTCCGTCTTCGCCGAAGGGGTGCATCGCTTCGCGAAGGTTCCAACCGTAGTTGCCACCCTTTTCAATAATGTTGATTTCTTCCCACAGGTCTTGCCCAACATCGGCCGCCCAAAGCTTTGCAGTCTTGGGGTCGAACGACATGCGCCATACGTTTCTCAGGCCGTAGGCGTAGATTTCGCCCAGGGCATCGTCGCGACCTACGAATGGGTTGTCCTTGGGGACCGCATATTTGCGACCGCCCTCCTGGTTGTCGACGTCGATGCGAAGGATCGAACCCAAATAGGTTTCCAGGTTCTGTCCATTCTTGAAAGGATCTCTCGCCAGGCCGCCATCGCCAATTGCAATGTACAGCATTCCGTCTGGGCCGAACGCAAGTGTTCCACCGTCATGATTCCAAAACGGCTTATCAAGAACCAGCAACTGTTCTTCGCTGTCGGGCAAGATTCGATTGGGGTTCTCAGGATCGATCTGAAACTTGGCCACGACGTTTTGATGGGGATCACTCAAGTTCGTGTAGTAAACGAACAGTTGACCGTTGTCGCGAAAGTTGGGATGGAAGGCCATCCCCAAGAATCCCTCCTCATTCGTCTTGTCGTTGTATGCCACGCGGTCTTGAATATCGAGGAAGACTTCAGTCTTGCCTTTTCCAGACGCAGGAAGAATATGCACCATGCCACGTTGGGTGGCGACAAACGTCCGGCCAGTACCATCGTCCGCATGGGTGATGATGATGGGGCGCAATGGCTTGAGAAGCCCCTCGTCTTCGCCTGAATCCCAACCGGTCCACTCGACCTCACCAAAAACTTGAGTCCCACCATAGTCGAGTGGAGACTTGTCAATCTTCTGCTTATCGGCGAAGGAAGCAGTGGGAATAGCGATCAAAGCGAGGCCGGCGGTCAGGTGCGTCAGCGTTTTCATCAGGTGCATAATTCAGAGTCCAAAAGGAATAATGGGTACAGTCGCTCTAGGCTAGCCGACCGGCTGCCACAGTCCAAGTCGCTCGCCCCAAAGTTTTCCCTCTCCTGCCGAAAACGAGGCCCCGATACCTAGATGGTGGGAAAACTCGCAGAATCGGGGGAATTCGCTCACCTGTGCTCTCTTCCTGCCAGTAGAGATGCGAACCCAAATCGGTCTCCCAGCCTCCCTACTTGAAGCCGGTAGCCATCTGTCGTACTTTAGCACGCTTCGATTTCAGCGAGAGCTTGCTCACGTGGGATCAGGTTCAAGAATGGAGTGACGACGAAGCACCCCCGAACGGCCGGAATTCCCACATAGTAGTTTGAAACAAGGATGCTTCGCAGCCGTTATTGCAGAGACGCTAACCCATTGCTATAAAACAGCTACGCACCCCTAGCTCAATTGGATAGAGCATCGGTCTACGGAACCATTCTTAGCGTTTGCGGCTGACGCTCTTTTTTGCAGCAACTTCTTTGTGCGTCGTCTCTTTTGCAGTTTCTTCGGTTCTTCGAGGATCGAATAGAATCTAATGAATCGCCACCGAGCAGGCGTCACTGACGCCCGCTATTTCCTGGTCGCATCATCGACGGCCTTCTTGGCATTCCCGATGTACTTGTCGGCAAACTCAATCGCCGATTCCATGTAGCTCAGCCCCTCGAATGAGACCTTGTCCTTTGGTCCGAGCTTCCGTGCTGTGGAGGCCAGTTCTGTGGCCCGGCTCCGCAGTCGCGAAACATGGTTCAGCATGTCCTTCGCGGTCTGTTCTCTCTTCATCGCGGTGATCCTTTTGGGAGCTGTCGTTCTCCGTGGCTCCAATTGTGCGTTCGATGAGAAACGTTTGTCAACAGTTTGACAACAATTTCCCAAAGTTTTCTCAAACCGCAATTGCAGGTGTGAGCACGACTTCGGGATCGCAATTTGAGAAACATTTGAGAACATGTTGACAAATGTTTCTCAAAATCTAGGATTCGTGACGTTCGAGATGGGTGTCGCGGGGGGCAGCAATGGACAGCGAAATGAAGAAGACGCTCAAAGTTGCTGAGATCGCTGAGCGTTATCGCGTCGGTGCCCCAAAGGTCATCGCTTGGATCAAAAGCGGGCAGCTAAAGGCTGTTGATGTCTCGGCCAGCGGTAAGGGTGTGAAGCAGCACTATCGAGTCTTTGAGTCAGAGCTTGAAGCATTCGAGCAGAGAAGAAGTGTTTGCGAAGCAGAGTTACAACCGCGTCGGCATCGCAAACGCCGTTCGCGAGTTACTGATGGAATGACGAGATTCTTCACGTAGGACACACGGCGGGAGCGGCTAAGGATGGCAAAGAAAGCCAAGAAGCCATCACGACGAGGAGTCGGAGGAAAGCAGTGTCTTCACTGCAACCGTAAGGCCAAAGTTCGTGGTTGCTGTTGGGGTTGTTACCTGTCGATTCGTCGTGACATCCGAGGTGGGAAGTACACAGACAAACAGGCCATTCGCTCTGGTCGACTGCTTGAGCCAAAGAAGGGTGGTCGACCACCGAAGCGAGCTCGAACCATGCCGCCAATCGTGCGGTGAATACAGGGACGTCCTTCACAGGGATGTACTAACGAAGGTGACATCAGGGCCGCGTCGGCTGATCGGAGTATTGGCCGACGCGGGATCTTCAACGGGGGAGCGATCAGTATGAGCGGTGAAGATTTCTTTGCGGGGTTGTCGGGTGAAGGTGTCTCATCTGCTGACCTGATTGAGGAAGGTCATTCTGCGGAGAGCAGTGACCAGGTGCCATTGCGTGCGACCTACGACGCTTCGGCGACTGTTCGTCGACGGACCATAACCAAGGCACAGTCGTTTCTCTACTTCGATATCGAGACGGTGCCTGACACCGAGCGACAGAAAACATTCGGCTTGCCACCTTTACCGTTATGGCAAGATCGCAATGAGGAGTTTACCGGAGATCTGGGTTCATCGACCGTTGCGGACATCAAGAAGTGGCTGTCGGAGAAGCAGCCATCCCAGAAGATTCTTGACGAGTTGGCCGCAAGTGAAGCTTTCGGAAAGAACCGTAAAGGCGTGTTGTCAGCAATAGATGCAGCAAAGGCTGAACGTCAATGTGTTTTCAGCTTGGGTGCCGATCGAAACAAGCTGCTGAGTGTGACGCCGGAGTATTGTCGGATTGTGGCGCTAGGGATGGGCATTGGTGGCGAGGAGATCGACTCTCATATTTCGGCAGATGCCAGTGATGCAGCAGAGAAAACGATACTTCGAGCATTTTGGGAAGCTGCCGCCAATTTCTCGCCCCTCGTCGGATTCAATGTTCTGCACTTCGATCTGCCCGTTATCTTCGTTCGCTCGATGATCCTCGGCGTTCAGCCTACACGAACAATCGATCTCAAGCCGTGGTCTGCCGACGTGGTCGATCTCTACGTCCGTCGCTTTGGTACCCGCGGCAATACCGGCAAGGGGCCCGGGAAGCTGAAAGACCTAGCTCGTCTCCATGGCATCGAGGTGCCTGCCGGGGACACGGACGGCGGTGATGTCTTGGCGTTGCTTGAAAGTGACCCTGAAAAGCTTGGCGAGTACGTGCGATCGGACGTCGAGATAACCCGCAAGCTGCATCTGCAATACCAAGGGTTCTTTTGCTAATGGCCCTTTGTACCTACAGCAAGTCGGAAGTCTATCGGGAAGAGATTCTTACAGAGTGCCCCATGGGGATTGGGGTCGATGCGGCAAGAAAGTGCTTCTGCAAAACGAGGGAATATCGCAACGACTTGAGGGTTGCGGTGTGCTTGTTCCCAAAGACTTGGAACGGTCAACCGATTCATTCCATCGAACGCACCCGAGAGACCCTTGAGAGGATCGCCAGGGACGATCGTCGGAAGAGATCGCAAGAAAAGCTGAACGCTAAGGAGAACGAAACGATGGCGACAGACACACAGACCACCCAAGCGGCCGATACGGCGGCGGTTGAGTCCGACAATAGGGGGAATGAACTTGCTGTGAGTGAGCTTGTTGGTGGCACTGGACACGCCGTGACGATCTACGACCGCTTCGCGGCCTCATCGGGCTTTATGATGGCCCTCGCGAATGCCTTTGAGAAGTCTCGGATGTTCGGCTGCAAGAACAAAGAGCAGGGTTTCATCATGGCGATCGCCTGTGTCACTGAGCGTCAGTCGCCAATCGAGCTTCAGCGAAAATACCACATTATCAACGGTGGTCTTTCGATGAAGTCTGACGTGATGCTTGCGGAGTTTCACCGGCTTGGTGGCAAGTGCCGAATGGTCGAGCGATCGTCGGAAGTCGCCCGGGCAGAGTTCTCTTACAACGGCATAAAGTACGATCTCTCATGCACGTGGGAAGAGGTCAAGCAAGAGCCGTATCCGTGGAAAGACGGTAAGGTCGGCGACAAGCTGCAGCCAAACTATTCCACACCCCGCAAGCGAATGCAGATGCTTTGGGCTCGACTGATTAGCGATTCGATTCGCTTCATTTGCCCAGAGGTCAACGGAGGCCAGTACACGCCTGAAGAATTGGCGGATGAGTCGGGGGAATCAATCGATGCCATCGAGGGCAGCTTCACGGTGCAGAGTGAAATGCCTACGGCCGGTGAGCAAGAGGCCGACGCAGTACCCACCAAGCAGGTTTCTGCGATCGCATCTCAAGAGCAACTGAAAGAACTCACCACCGCATTGGGCAAAGTGTTCGGCGAGGATCGCGCCAAGTGGCAGGTCTTCATCGAACGTATCCAGCCAGGCTTGAAGTCAGCAACCGAGTTGACCACAGAGAATGCCGCTAAGGCGATCCAGCTACTTCAGGAGAAAGCGAAAGCGTCAAGCAGTGCAGTCAAGCAGGAGCCTGAAGAGCAGGCCGCCCAAGTCGCAACCGAAGATCAGCTTCAACGCGTACTCCATCTGAAAAATGCCGCCCAGATTGATGACGCGACCTGGCAGCAGGTTCGCGGTCGCCTCGGTTTAGCGGAAGGTCAGCCATTGTCCCAAGCCGGCTCGGGTTCGGTTGCCAATCTAATCAACTGGCTTGAAACAAAAGTGCCCAAGTCTGAGCTGGACAACTGGGCCGAAGGTGCATTGTCGGGAAAAGCTTAAGGCCAGCGTATCCCGACTCCGTTGATCGCTGGCCGCTTCCGTGCCAACAGCTTGTTCGAACGTACGGTGCAGAGGCCGTTTATCAAGCAGGACTGTCGGTGCTTGGTCATCCACCCACGTGGGTCTTACGTGCAACTGAAACAGCAAAGATCGCGAAATTCATTCGAGAGGAGCAAGGACGATGACGGACGATAATTGGGGCGATTTTGGTGACAACGCGGTGGAAGAAGGTTTCTCAATCTCGGGTGATGGCGTCACTTCCGATGATCTTGGCGGTGGAAGTCTCGATCGGCCCGGTTCGTATCACTTCGAAATAACCGAAGTGGTGCCGGAGCTCGAAGTCGTAGGCACAAGCGGCAAGGACAAGTCGCCGGCAGTGAGGTTCGAAATGACGGTTCTTCAGTCCGTCAAAGGCCAGTGCCCCGAGGGTACGCGATACTTCCACCGTCTGTATGTCGGTGGCAAGGGCGGCCAGCCGATCAAGGAAGGTTCAAAGAAAGCGATCTTCCGCTTCTGTCTGGGCCTGGGCCTGGCAAAGGAGGTCGAAGGCAAGGGGATCTTCGATGCCTCGACTGGCGGTGAGATCAACTTGGACACTTTGAAGCGAGCTCGCGGCCTTCAGTGCTGTGCTCTCATCAAGAAAGAGGTCGACGACGACTACGGAGAGCAGTTCCGAATACCCTTCTCCGACGTCCGCCTTCCGAACGATCCAAAGTTCGAAGACACCCCCAAAAACTTCGACGCTCTGGTTGCCGGTGGTTATGCGGGACCTCGTGAGGCGGCTCAAAACTTGCCGAAGCCTCCCGCCCCGGCAGCTGCAGCAAAGCCCAATGAAGAGGCAGCCGGGACTCAGGCTCAAGCCAACGACCCATTTGCAGGTCTGTAGTAGCCGGCGCTCCGCTCGCGGTGGGATACATCTGCGGCCAGGTCTGGGCCGTTCTCGCACCCCACCGAGAAAGCCTGCCGCGAGCGGTTTTTCACAAGGAATAAGTCATTTGGAACCATCCGCCTATGACGGAACGCATTAGGAGGAAGAGCCCCACCGCGTCAATGAAAGACGTGGTCCGATGGATCAGCGATGGCGTGTTTCGCATCGAGGACGGGCGCGTCTTTAAAGGTGACAAAGAGTTAGCCCAGCGAGTGAATATCCGCAATCGGTGCAAACACGGAGACCCTCGCGTTGATCTCTGGCACGAAGGAAAGCGTCGTTCTTGCCACGTATCAGCGTTGGTGTGGATCGCCAACACTGGCGAAGGAATACCAGCAGGCTTCGAGATACATCATCGAGACGAAGACCCAATGAACAACGACTGGGACAACTTGATTGCCGTTCATTCGTTGGATCACCCAAAGCTTCATCGGCTTGAAGAAGTTCCGTTTTAGTGACGAGCCATGCCTAAAAAGCAGCAGGAAGAACTAGTCGGAGTTGTGACGTTCGTACGCTGGCCGATCGCAGACAGTAATTTCGTCTTCGGTGCCATCGACGATGATGCAGAAGACTCCCAACTGGGCACGACGAAAGAGATCAAGTTTTGTGGCAGCATCGAACGTGGGGAGATCCTCGAAGGCGTTGAGTATCTCTTCGTCGGCACTTGGGATCAGCACTCGCGGTATGGTCGCCAGTTCAAGTTCAAGCAGGCCATTCGTCGCGAGCCGCATTCACAGTTTGGGCTGACGAAGTATCTCGAACGATACGCGAAGGGAATCGGGCCGAAACGAGCGATTCAGTTGTGGAATGCGTTCGGCCAGGACGCGGTGAAGACCATCCGAACCGACCCTGCATTGGCGTGCAGTGCGGTCGACGGTTGGAAAATCGAAGACGCCCTGAAGGCATCTGAGGATCTGAGAAAGCTGCAGGCCGAAGAGGAAACACGGATCGAATTAACCAATCTCTTCGCCGGCAGAGGCTTCCCGGGAAAGCTGGTGGATGAGTGTATCGATCGATGGGGCATCATGGCTCCAAAGCGAATCAAGCGTGACCCCTTCTCGCTGCTGGTGAACGGAATGAAAGGGTGCGGCTTTGCTCGGTGCGATCGCCTGTACCTCGACTTGGGTTTGAATCCGCTGAGGCTGAAGCGACAGGTCATCTGTGCTTGGCATCTCATTCACAGCGACATGAGTGGCCACACCTGGCTGCCCGCGAGAGTGATTGTGCTTCGCCTGGGCGAGATGGTTGGCAATTCTAAGGCCAGCCCCGAGAAGGCCGTGAAGATCGGCGTTCGTGCTGGGTGGCTTGCTGTCTGCCAGCGGGAAGGGCAGACGTGGATAGCTGACGGAGAGAACGCATGGGACGAAACAGCGTTGGCGGAAAAGATTGCGGAGTTGTCACAGGGAGGAACGAACGATGGCAGCACATTGGAAGAAGGTCCAGGCGAAGGAAGAAGAGACGGTGATGATGACCGTCCGCCTGCCGCGTGGACAGCGGGACAGATTCAGCACAGTGGTCCGAGCGTCGACGCGGGGGGAAGTCTCGCGGGATGATTTTCTGCGGCGATTCGTTGAAGCGGTGATTGACGATGCGGACAACGATCGAGATCCGCAGGAACGGGTAAAGAGGCAATAGCGTTCAATGGAATTCTCCATAAGCCAAGCAGACTGTCTCGATTGGTTGAAGGACCAGCCAGATGATTCGGTGGATTTGATCTTTGGGTCTCCACCTTACGAGGATGCTCGCACCTACGGCATCGACTTCAACCTGAAAGGCCAAGCTTGGGTCGACTGGCTTTTTGCTCGCTGGGTTGAAATGGACCGTGTGTGCCGTGGAGTAGTGGCGATGGTCGTCAGCGGCAAGGCAGACGGACCGCAAAGCTACTCTTCGACGCCGGCATTACTAGAAGCGGACTTGAAGCGGGCGGGTTTCAACACTCGACGCAAGCCGGTCTATGCAAAGAACGGCCTTGCTGGGAGTGGTGGCAAAGATTGGCTTCGTGCTGACACCGAAGACATTGTTTGCACAACGCCAAAAGGGCTTCTGCCCTGGTCGGATAACACCGCAATGGGAGGACCGCCGAAGTACAGGCGTGGCGGTCGTTTTTCCAATCGCACAAAGAGCGGTTCTCGGGGCGACGCGCCTTACCCAGCACTAAAGCGAACCAACCCAGGCAACATCATCCGTTGTACGGTTGGCGGCGGTCACCTTGGCAGCAAACTCGCTCACGAGAATGAGGCACCTTTCCCTGAGGACTTGCCCGAATTCTTCATCAAGTCGTTCTGTCCACCAGGTGGGATCGTATGCGATCCGTTTTCCGGGAGTGGAACCACGGCCAAGGTGGCGATTGAAAACGGCAGAAGCTTCGTCGGCTGTGATATCCGGAAATCTCAAGTGGAACTTACTAAGAGGCGAATTGCCGAAGTCCAAACAAAGCTGATCGCATGAAGACTCTCTGGCCCAAACCTGAAGACCTCGAAGACGTAAGCGACCACCAGCGCGGTGCGTACGCGAACGCCACGCGGTCACCACTCGGCATTCTCACCGGAGGTCCCGGCACCGGTAAAACATGGTCGACCAGTGCGATCCTGAAGGCCATCACTAAAGAGCACGGCGCGGAGAACGTTGGTGTATGTGCTCCGACCGGCAAGGCCGCGATCCGCATGACGCAAGCCATGTCCGAGCGAAGTCTGTCGATCGAGGCCACCACTGGGCATCGGCTGCTCGGCGTCAGTCGCAACGGGCACGATGGCAAAGGATGGGGGTTCATTCACGACGCAGGCAACCCGTTGCCCTATCGCTTCCTGGCCGTTGACGAATCGTTCATGCTGGGGACCAATCTCGCTTCAAAGATCCTCGCGGCATGTGCACCTGGCACACACGTGCTCTTCACGGGAGACGAAGGCCAGCTCTTGCCGGTTGGCCACGGCGCTCCGGTGCGTGACATGGTCCGGGCTGGACTTCCGCACGGGCAACTCACCAAGGTTGAGAGAAACGCGGGCGACATCGTGCGAGCATGCCAGGCGATGCGTGCCGGCCGCATCTTCTATCCAAGCAAGTCGATCAATGTGGCTGCTGGGAACAACTGGCTGCATATCGAAACGCGAAACAGCCAGCAGTCCCTCGATCGACTGCGAGAACTCTTGGGCCGTCCCGCGGACACGCACGATACCACATGGGATATGCAGGCGATTACCGCCCGTCGGGAGAAAGGCGATCTGTCGAAGGATCATGTGAACAAAGTCTTGCGGGCTGTGCTGAATCCAAGGCATGAGGGTGGCGAGATCGCCGGTAACCCCTTCCGCGTCGGTGACAAGGTGATTTGCACTGAGAACTTCATGCTGCCTGTGGTTGAACAAGACGGTGGTGACTGGAACGAATCCGACCACAGCGACTTTGTTGCTAACGGCGAGATTGGCCGAGTCGAGTTGATCGACAAGAAAGAGATACTTGTTTCATTCGACTGCCCAAGACGAACGGTGGCTGTACGCGGAGAGCTGCTCTCAATCTTTGATTGGGCATACGGCATTACGTGCCACAAGGCTCAGGGTTCTCAATGGCCGGTGGTTATTGCCCTCGTCGACGATTCGCGTGGGGCAGGAATGCTTTGTTCGCGGGAGTGGTGGTATACGGCGATCAGTCGCATGCAAACCCTTTGCGTGACGATTGGGAAATTCTCCGTGATTCGTCAGCACTGTGCGGTCGAGCGATCGAGCATGCGAAAGACGTTCCTTGCTGAGCAGGTATTGGGGTTGGCGGCATGACTACGACTGTAAAGGCCATCGAACCGCTTTTATGCCCTTTCAATGTGGTGGTCGATACACGCGAGCAGCATCCTTATCACTTTCAGGGGATCTTCGGAGACTCGAAGGACGCCCAGACGATCAACGGCGTTCGACATCCACGACCGCTGATCGTGCGAACAGTGAGTGCCGCACTGAAGACTGGCGACTACTCGATCGAAGGCTTCGAGGACAAAGTTGCCATTGAAAGAAAATCGCTGGGCGATGCCTTCTCGTCGTTTGGTGCTGATCGGGAGCGATTCGAGCGAGAGCTTCAACGAATGGCGGAGATGGAATTCTCCGTTGTGGTTGTTGAGGCCAGCCTGGGCAGTGTGCTTTACAAGCCGAAGCCGGAAGGATCGGGCAACCGGTGGTTCAGCGGCAAGGCACTCATTCGCACCGTTACGGCCTGGCAGAACAGGTATCCAACGAAGTGGTGGTTCTTCCCGACAAGGGATTGGTCGGAGCGAATGACGTTCAGAATGCTTGAGCGGTATTGGCTGGACAAGCAGAAGGAATTGGAGGGAGCTTTGTGACCACAATCGATCTTGCCATCACTCTGATCGAGTCAAGTTGGTCCATCGAAGAGGTTCGCTCAGAGCTTTATCTGATGAAGATCGCAGAAGGATGTTCCTCTTGTTTTGCGATGGCCATCGTTTCGGACGCGATCAGTAAAGCATTACAGGCTATCGCTATCTCAGCAGAAGAACGGGTGTAACAAAAGCACGGAGAGTATCAGCACGTCATGGCCGACGCGAAACTCAAATGGCAAGACGCCAAGCAGGCAATCGTTGACGCACTCGACGTCCGCGAAGCCTACTCATCGCTCGGCATTCGATTCGCTTCCAAGTCCAGTGTTAGTCCGAGCGGCTGGATTCAATGCCACGCCTACGGCCGGGAAGACAAGAACCCGTCGGCCGGCGTCTATGTTGGCGACGGTCCCTTGCGAGGCCGTTACAAGGACTTCGGCGGCGGAGGAGAATCACTTTCGCTTTGGGACTTCGCCGCGAAGGTCAAGGGCTGTGATTGGAAAGACGCCGTTCGAGAGTACGCCCGCCAAACTGGCGTCAAGCTGCCAACGGCCGAGGACGTCTCTCCGAGGGATCAATTCGACTTTTTCGATCTCACTTTCGGTATCACTTCGCTATATGCCAAGAAAAAGCCGCCCATCACCGAACAGGCGATTCGAGAAGCCGGTGGCATAGGTGCTCGTTGGCCCCGTAAGGCCCATGTCGATGTGCAGCAGCGGCTAATTGTCTTTCCTGCCTACGGTGAAGGCGGCTTAAACCTTGACGCGATTGGCTACGGGTTTGTCGAAGCCCGCGGCCAGATGGTTCGTCTCTTCAGGGGTAAGGGTGTTGAGCCCGAGTTGCACAAGACACTGACGAAGGGCAAGCCCGGCCTAATGAACCGCTGGGCTTTGCGGCATTTGAAGGACGCCGACGTTGTGTGGCTTGTCGAGGGCATTACCGACATGCTCACGATGCAGGCATTGATCCCCGAGGACCAGAAGACTCGGCAAGTTGCTCTCACGACAGGGGCCTGCACCTATCACATTCAGCCCGACTGGAAGCATCACTTCGATGGCAAGCAGGTCATCGTATGTTTCGACAACGATTCCGATGCTGATGAGAACGCAGGCCAAAAGAATGCGGCCGCGGTAATCTCTCAAGTTGTCGACGTGGCAAAGAGCGTTCGCAATGTAGTGCTGCCCTGCAATGACATTCGCGAGTTTCTGACGGTCCATCCCTTCTCGCTGCTCGAAGAGTTGGCGGCCGCTTCGCCGGTGATTGAGGCGGTCGAAGCCAAGCAGAATGCCCCCAATCCTTCGGAGGGACTATTGCACCGCCTGGGCGTGATGGTTATTGGCCAGGTCATCGACTCCGACGCGGTGGAGATCTACTCCACGTACCTCCGCAAGCGGTCGGTGATTAAAGACATCACGCGGTTCTCGTATGAGTCGGCGATCCTGGCCCTCGGCGGAGCAACCGTACGCAACACGATCAGTGATGCGGCCGAAGCCCCCGCCGGCATGACGACGATGAAGAACGTTCGCAGTGCGATCGCGGAGATTGCGGCAGGTCGTCAGCTTTCCAGTAACCGGGCTATCGGGGCTGGAGTGTGGGAGGCCGACGGCAAAGTGCTTCTCGTCGACAAGCATCAATTCAGCCTTTGGGATGGTCAAGAACTGAAGTCAGAGAACGTTCCGGCATTCGGTGAGCAACGAATCTCCTTTGCAGAAGAGAGCTGGTACAGCCATACCCAATTGGCCAGCTACCTGACACTGGCCCGCGATGAGCAATGGAGGGTTCACACGCTCGACGAGGCTGCTCAGCTCTTCGGCCGCTGGAATAATTGGGTGTATGGGGCGAGTCCTCAGATTGTGGCGGCGCTGGTCTGTTCAACGTGGGTGCAGACCGTGTGGCGACTGCGGCCCATGGTCTCCATCATCGGGGCTTCTAATACCGGCAAGAGCGTACTGCTCGACGACTGTCTCGCGAGGATGTTCGGCGAAGGGATCGTGTTCAGCATCAACAAGCCGACGGAACCTGGCATTCGGCAGAACGTAGGCCACTCAGCCAAGGTGGTTCTGGTTGACGAACTCGAGGAAGGCCGACATCGGGCTGAAGTGTTGGAGCTTCTCAGAAACAGCAGCCGTGGTGGCATCGTCGCGCGAGGCAGCTCGAATCAGAAGGGGATTACCTTCGGCCTGAAGCACCTTGTGTGGTTGGGCTCGATCGAACTGGGCCTGAAGCATGAGGCCGACCGAAACCGGTTCATTCAGCTCGAACTGAGAAAGCTCCCCAAAGGGGCCCCGAATCAGCTTGTCCTTCCCACGGGCAAGCAACTGGAAGAGCTGGGTAAAAAGCTGCTCGCGATCGCTGTCTACTGCGTCCGTGATGCTGTTGAGATGGCCGACGTACTCAGCAGCAAGAGTTACCAAACCGATCGACGCGTTGCTGACTGCTACGGCGTGCCGGCCGCGATGTGGGGCGTGGCCCGGGGCCTGCCCCCTGAGATCATCGAAGGCACCCTTCGCCACTGGTTGAGCGAGCGAGACTTCAGCAGTCAGGACGGCGACGAAGAGGAGGAGCTACTGCAGGCCATCCTTGGAGCCAAGATTCCGGCGCCGGGCTGCTCCTGGACCGTGGCCCAGATTCTCGGAGGCTCAAGCCAACTTGAAATCCAGGGACGTGCAGCCAGTCGCCACGACCTGCTGGAGTCCGTTGGGATCCGACAGATCGGCGACTACGTGTTCTTTGCTACGGAGCCGGTGAAGACGCATCTATTGCGAGGTACCGACTACGCACGGCTCGACATCGCCCAGATCCTCGCCCGGATCGAAGGTGCCCAGCGTGCAAGGATTCGCGTGCCTCAGTACGCCCGCGGGGTGAAGGTCCCCATTGATCGTATGGCAGGGATCTCGATCAGCTTCCGCTACGCAGATGAACCAGACGGAATCGCAGATGAGAACTTCTAGACAGCCAAGTGAACCTCGTCGCATGCAGATTGTTGCTGTCGGGCCAAACTGGCAGGCCGTCGCAAATTGCCGCATTCGAGCCAATATACGAAACGGATCTAAATCCCGTATTTCAACAAGCCTATTTTGCCTGTGTTTTCTGTGTGCATGCAGATTGCCCAGGAGTGGACCAAGTGAACCAGATGCGGACCACCCCCGTTGGTTCACACTTACGTTGTTACCACTTCATGTAAGTAATTGAGAGAGAGATAGATAGAGAGACTCTTACTACTACTAACTAACTAAGGACCACATGGACCACCATTTTAAGAGCCCCCTGTAGAGCATTTTCATTTGTAACACTCCAAGCTGAGAGGCAAGCAAGATGACTCAGAAATTCTCTCTCCGTGTGTGGGCTCTCTCTCCGTTTTGCTGGTTCACCTGGTCCATGCGACTCAACTATTTGACGCCGTGGGACTTGCGATGAGCCACCCTCCCTGGTCGGGGGGCGGTTCACCTGGTCCACGGTACTTTCGAGGGGCTTTGGAGGCAGAGCGATGGCTGAGCGGAAGACGCAGTATCAGAGCATTCAAGAACAGGTGATCGAGTTCAACGAGAGGCATCCAGTCGGAACGAAGGCCGTCTACCACTGGCCGCACTACCCACAGGGCTTTGAACTCGACTGCGAAGACTTCGAAACCAAGACTCGATCGCCGGCCGTCGCTATTGAGAAACCAGCTCACGCGATCATTCAAGTCGAAGGCGTCGACGGCTGGGTTCGTCTCAAAGAAGTCGAAATCGGAGGCCGACTCCCAGCAGCAAAGAGATCTGCAGGCTGATCTCGCACCAAGTGAGTAAACGATTCAACAACCAACGAAGGCTACGTAACACGGAAGGATGAGGCGATGGGACTAACTCTCACGCGGAAGCAGAAAGAAGCAGTTCGAATTGGCGAGAACATTTTGGTGCGTTTGGTTCAGGTTCGAGGCAAGGCCGCAAAGCTTTGCATAGACGCACCGAAGGGCGAACGCATCACTCGCGAGGGGCCAACGTTTCAGCTCCCTGCTAGCACAAAATCAGAAGAAGATTCTTGACATTCCTCAACGGATTTCGTTTTCTTTGAAGCTACTGATCGTTGGACCAATGATGGTCGCCCGGTTACTCGGGACTTGCTGAAGCGAGCAATCGTGAAGAAGTCCCGTACTAACCGGAGCGTCTTTCATGTCCAGCGAACTTCTCTTCGGTCGACTTACTCGATCGACTCTCATTGCAATCGCAGCGGTTCTTGTCGCTGTTTCATTGGCTCCTGCCGAGTCTCCCGCGGATGCGATCGTACATCTTCGAGTGTATGCGTGGGAACCTTACCTCGAGCGCGCCGTTGATTCACCGCCCGGAAAGATCCCTTTCACCAACGTTTGGGTAAGCGGCAAATACTATCCCAACCGGGATGATGTCGATTCCGGCAGCCGCTCGGCGGTCGAGCAAGGGCTAATCGCCAAGCAGCAGATCGAACTTGCTCGCGAGAAGCTTGGCGTTCAAGCAACGGGTGGCTATGTGTTGCACCCATTCGACTGGCTCGACCGCGAACATTGGAAACGCCGAGCCGAAGCGCTCGAGGCTTTCATTCTTGCCAGCGGTACGACGGCGACGATCGCACTCGATATCGAAGGGTACGGTCGCCCGACTAACAGTGGGCTGGATCGCATTTCCCCACCAGGCGAAGGCGATTGGTCGAAGCTGATCTCTGCAGTGGCACCCGTTCGACATGTGCTTCTTAAACACCGGTTGCAGGCCACCATCTATCCGGCTGGTGGCAAGCATTTCGGCGACTACACCCGGGCTGCTCTCGCACTGGGGGCAACAAAGTTCGGCGATGAGTACACGTTCGTCATCTCTCGCAAGCTACGCGATGGAGTGACGATCTCGAAAGACGAGTGGCGTACTTGGGGTGACTATGTACACACGTCTGATCCAGAAGGGATTGGAGTGCCACGGATCCCCGCAACGTACGTGTCGGTGATTCGTGACGCTCGGAACGTTGCGATTCTGAGCAAGCTGTTCGGCGTCAAGGAGTGTTGGCTGTTTATCGACGATAAGGAGTGGCTGAAGTAATGCTCTTCGCCCCAACCATCCTCGATCCGCCGAACAAGCGAACCGAACGCTTGCTGACATGCGAGAAGCATTTGCAAGACGGGGATCTCTTGCTGTGGCGTCACAGGAGTGCGGTCGGTCGTTTGATTGCTGGGCCGGGGCGATCGATTTATTCACACGCGGGAATGGTCGCATGGTGGGGTCACTGTCCGATGGTTCTCGAAATGGTCGAGTGGCATGGCGGCCGAGCGAGAACTTTGGCTTCCGCTTTGCGTGAATCAGAGATAGATCATTTCCGCGCTGTACCGCTCACTGCAGGCAGCATGATGAGCGAAACCGAAAAGCGTTCTTACGTCGTCAGTGAGATGCGGAAGAAGGCCGGCCGCCCATACAACTACGCCGGCGTTCTTCTCGTGGGGCTACTGCGATTGCGGCTTGCTCAATTCGTAATGACTCGGCTTCCGGACAGCAAGCGGATCGATCTGGCCGACGATCACTTCCCCAATCTTCCAGAGTTTTGCAGCCAAGCGGTCGCTTCAGCCTGGCGTTATGTCGGTGAAGACCCTGTTCCGAATCTTGGCGATGCGTTCACCGAGCCGAGCGATTTAGCCAGGTCTCGGCTGTTCAAGTACGAAAGGACTTTGATGCTGTGAAATCCTACCTCCGATGTCTGAAGCCCATAGTGCTCGCCGCGAGCGCGATGTTTTTGCTGTTGAATGTTTCTTGCTTTGGCGGGCCTGTTGAATCGTCTTGGCGGGTGCGGTGGCATGGTCCCGACCCAGAATCTGAAACTGGCTACAGCACACGATGTGGAAGCGGTACAGCTATTGGGCTGAAATTCGTCGTTACAAATTCCCATGTCGTTGAGCACCAAAAGCGAAACGTCGAGATCCACCAACCGTTGACAGGCAAGGCGGTGAAATGCGTCGTGGTGCACTTCGACCCTCAGCCAGACTTGGCACTGCTGTACGTCACAGAGGAAGACAGCGAGCTTGAATGGTCACCGATTGGTGGCATGGGGGAATCTCGCGAAGTTGGCCTCTTGGGATACGGTCGCAATGGCATCCTTCGGTATCAGAAGATGCCTGTTGGCAGCGTAGGCATTTCGAATACCCAGATTGGTCCATGCCCTGTACTCACAGGTGTTTCGAACGAACAGGGCGACAGTGGCGGTGGCGTTTTTAATGAGCACGGCAAGCTAGTTGGCGTCAACTGGGGCAAAGACCCACAGACCGGTGGGGCTGTAATTACCAGCCTTACGAAGCTGAATGAGTTCTGTGATCAGTATGAGACCGCAACTGGCTGGAGCTGCCGTGGAGACGTATGTCGACCGATCTACGGCGGCGGCATCGGTTCCAACAACGGTGGTGCTCGCCCGATGGTCCCGGTGAACCCTAGCAACCCGCCACAGTTCAACGGCCAGCCATCGAGTCCGCCACAAACGACTCCAATGCAACCGAGGCAACCGATCGAGAGCTTCAACGCTGAGCTGAAAGACATAGCGGCGGAACTCAAGCAAATTGCCCAACGAATCAACGAGCAGAACACGCAGTGCGAATCGCTCACCGTCGAAATCAACACGATCAAGCAAGAGCTGGTTGAGGCACGTGCTGAGATCGTAGCGGTTGCTGCACAGGCACCGGCTGAAGGTCCACCGGGCCCAGCGGGCGAAACACCGAAAATCGATTACGACACCATCGTGTCAAGCGTTGTTCAGCAGATTGGCAGTCACATCGACCAGCGATTCACGGTGATTGAAAACTCGATCGCCAATGCAGCCGAACCTTATCGTCGCCTGCTGTACTTTACTTCCGACGGACATGATGCATGTGTCGAGACCGACCAAGTTGCCAGGCAACTCCGCGACGAAGGTTATCCGATCACGTTCATCTACCTCGAGCCCCAAGAGATAACCGTGGGCAACGTTCCGCGAACCTACATGCTTCCAGAGCAGAATGAGGTAGGCGGCACTGCTGACGTTCTCGCATATCTTCGCTCGCTTCAGAAGCAGTAGTGGCGAGCAAGCAAACTCAATAAAGGCAATCTGTACTTAGAAAACCCCAGGAGAAGTAAACGATGGAAGCTCAGCTAATGTCCATGCTGATCCTCTCCGCAATGACGGCATTGCGGCAGGACGATCAGGTCGCCCGCCAGGGAGTGATGAACCATCAGAGTGCAATGCACTTGATGGACCTGGCCTTCATTCGCGATGCCACCGAAATGAGTATTCCTGAATCGTATGCGGTTCAGGGACTCTCGATGGCTCAAAGTGTTCGTGAGGCACAGGGCCAGAACTTGGCCGCGGGCACTCCGAAGACTTCGTAGCGGCCCCATAGTTCCTAGTTCGTGAGCGACGTTCGATGGCAGAAGAATTCGATCAAGTTTTGTTGAAGCGATTCGACGATTGGCTTGGTGAGCAAATCAAAGCCAAGAATATCTTCAACCAAAACGGTGCCAATCAGGTATGGATTCACGCCGTCAACGTCGCTCGCGAGCTGGGGATTCCCAGTGAGTTGATCGAGAAGAATGTGACACCGTTTCCGTCCACTCAGGTGGGCATTCATTTAGAAAATCCGGGCGTAGAAGCACTGGCAAGGATGATTGCCGACCTGCGAGAGCAGGCCAACGCCGTGAGCGAAGAACCTGGAGGCAGTGACATCTCTACCACCGAAGCAACTGATTCACCGAGTTCTAAACCGCTTCGAGACCTGTTGAAGCGATGGACTCTGCCGGCACTGGTCACCTTGCTTGGCAGCGGCCTCTCGATCTTCTCACTCTTCTTGAACAGCGAAGAAAACAACCCAACACCAGAGCCAGCCGAACCGCCTGCAGCAGTTCAGCAAGAAGGCTCCCAAGGCCATGTAGGACTGAGGATCGAATGACTACCGATACACAAGCCAATCCCGCTCAGGCCGCACAAGACGCTTTAAAGCAGGCCCTCGATCAAGCCATGCAGGGCATTCTTGGAGGCGGTCAAGACTTCCAGAAGGAGATGGAGGACCAACGAAAGCAGTTTGCCGACGCACGCAACAACCTGTTCGGCAAACTCAGTGGCTTCGGCGAGAAGAAAGAGAACGCAGAAGGTGTGGATGAACTCGTTGAAATGCTCAACGGCAATCCGCTCCTGGTCGCTCCCGTGACCATGTACGCGAAGGCACTGGCCGCGAAGATCGGCATTGTCGTCAACGAAGTCTTGCAGGAACAAGCTCAGAACCTGGCCCAGCTTCAGCAGGAAGTACAGCAGGCATCTGACTCGAATCAGACTCCAAGCGAAGAGTAGTCGTAAACACAACCTCTTGGCGCTCGTCCGGTGCCGCCAGTGCCGATCGGTCGTCTTAACCCAGAAAGGATGGTGATCAACATGAGAAACCTGCTAACGCTGATTCTGTCGATCGTGGTGGCACTGGCGGCAGTGCAGTTCGTCGAGGCCCAACAGCCTTGCCCGGGTGGCGTGTGCTATCCGCAGCAGCAACCTCAACAACAGCCTTATCAGCAACCAGCTTACTCACCACAACAGCCGCAACCGTACTACGCACCGCTTCGTTGGAATCGAGTATCGCGGCCAGTCATTGGCCCCGATGGTCAGCTATACATGCTGCACGTACGTGGCTACTTCCGTGGCTTTGGGCCCTTTGGTCAGCGGGTATGGGAGAAGCAATAAGAGTAGGCCGGGTGGCGTAACAGGTAACTCACGCAGTCCTTCATAGCTGCGAGACGCGGGTTCGAATCCCGTCCCGGCCGTTACCTGCAACGAAGTCAATAGATCAACGGAACGAAGGAGCTCAACACATGGTTACTAAAGCCCTATCTATCAAGTCGATACTCAATGAATGCAAAGAACTAGCCAGCACAATCAACCGACAGCTTGACTACATCACTGACGCCGATACTTCCTACATCCAGTCCACACAAAACATCGACAACGAAAGGCTTCAGCAAAAGCACGGTGGCAAAGAACGCCTGGAACAACTGGCAATCAATTCTGCCGAGCACAGGTCCACAATTGCCGCCGACCTTCGCGACAATATCGATGCTCTCCGTGTGCGTGCTGACGTCATTCGTTCAACTTGCACCGCGACAGTAGACCATCTGCGGGCGTATGAAAACGCGTCGGAATCGACGGATAACGACGCCACAGGATCGCCTGTGGTGCACGAGGATGATGGCGATGACGACGCACACACGATCGAAAAGAACGCGGGAGGCGACGGCACAGGCGATGAGGTCACGGATGAGGAGGCGCGGGGTCCTTCTGAGTGAACCCGGGCAGGCTTTGCCTATTTCAGCGACGCGGGTTTTTTTGGATAAGCGTTGAATTTCCATGTAAGTGAGCCTGAGGACGAAGCGGCAGTGTGGCAAAGAAAAGTGGAACGGAATTCACAAGTGGCGATCCTTTGGCGGCTATCGACGCGGACTTGGTTCGGTCGGCAGTCGCCAAGTTGCGTGTGGGCGACCGACTCACCAGCGACGAACGTCGAGCTTACAAGGCGTTCGAGAAGAAGCGCGAAGAAGAGGCGATGCGTCGCCACTACTCCTCAGTGCCCCAGAAAATGTGGCGTGAGTGGTCTGGGCGGCAAACGAAAGTGCTCAAAGACCAGGCTCAGCGGTATGGCATACCGATCGGAGCCACGATTGACCTATCGGAACTCGCGTTGTGGCTGCACGACTTCTTTGCCAAACACGGCCGCAAGTTCTCCGCTCCCGAGACTGACGACCCCGAGTTGCAAGGCACTGCAAGCCCGGCGTTAGAAGAGCAGCGGCGAGAGAAGGCAATCATGCTCAGGCTTCAACGCCTCGAGCGCGAGGGAACGCTAGTCGACAAGGCGTACGTCGACGACAAGTTGGAACAGCTGGCCGCGGTTCTCCGAAGGGCCGGAGAGCGATTAGAGCGTCGATATGACAGCGACGCGAAGGCGATCTTAGACGAGGCGATAAATGGTTTCCGCCGTGAGCATGCCGCAATGTGGCCCGGCGACGTTTCAAAGCGTTGATCGCCTCTGTGCTTCTTCGATCGCACCACCGCTTCGCCCCATCTCTCTCTTTGCTCTTGAAGAGATCACCATTCCAGATGGCGAATTCGAGGGGCTGAAGCTCGACTATCTTCGCCAGCCCTATGCCGCCAGGTGGTTCGCGATGATTGACCATGGGCGAGCCTCGGGGATGTGGAACCGGTTCTGGGCTACGGGCCCGACCCAGAGCGGAAAGACGCTTTCGTGCTTCGTTACTCCGATCATGTATCACCTGTTCGAGGTTCGGGAGACAGTAATTGCCGGCATCCCAAACATGGACATGGCAGGTGATAAATGGGACGAAGATATTAAGCCGGCGATCGAGGCGTCGAAGTACCGTGATCTTCTTCCCCGCACAGGGCAGGGTTCGAAGGGGGGAACTCCGCGCCGAATCAAATTCCGCAACGGTTCAACGTTGCTGTTCATGGCCGCGGCCGGCAACTCAAAGCAGCAGGCGGCATTCACAGCCCCTTGCTTAGTGATGACCGAGGTCGACGGATATGACCTCGCAAAGGAATCATCTCGCGAGTCGAACCCCGTCGACCTGATGATCGGTCGCACGAGGTCATTCAAATGGCCGACGATCTACGGCGAGTGTACTGTGTCGATTGAGGCCGGCCGCATCTGGCAAGAGGTAAGCAAGGGCACCAACACTCGCCTCGCTCTGCCATGTCCGCACTGTGGCTCTTGGGTTACCCCCGAGCGAGAGCACTTCGTCGGTTGGGAGAATGCTAGCGATGAATTGGAGGCCGAAGAGAGCGGGGCGTTTGTGTGCCCTGCCGATGGTTGCGGTGCATTGTGGAGTGACGGCGACCGCCTCGACGCAAACCGATCTGCCGTCCTCGTGCATGGCGACCAGGAGATTGATAAGTGTGGCAACATCACAGGAGATCTGCCTCGCACGCGGTCAGCCAGTTTCCGGTGGTCCGCGGTCAACAATATGTTCGCCACCGCAGCCAACATTGCAGTTGAGGAGTGGGGGGCGAAGCGGGCTGAGAATGAAGACGAGGCCGATAAGAATCTGTGCCAGCAAGTCTGGGCGACGCCGCCCGAAGACACAGTCGAAGAGATCGTGCCACTCAACAAGGACGACATTCCTCATCGCGTTGTGAAGGAGTTGCCGCAGGGCCTGGTTCCCGAAGACATGGAGTTCTTCGGCTGCACGATCGACGTTCACTTGCGACATCTTGACTGGCAAGCGATCACCTGGCGAGCAAATGCGACGCCGCACGTTGTCGATTATGGCGTGGAGAAGATCACGATTTCCAATGAGAAGAGCAAGAGGAGTATTGAGATTGCGATTTTCGGCTCTTTGATGGAGATGCGGGAACGGATCGATAGCGGTTGGTCTTATCAGGGCAGTGAGTCGCCGATTGCCCCGTCGCTGGTGGGTGTCGACATCGGTTTCGAGACGGACACTTGCTGTCGCTTCATTCGAAAGACTCCCTCGCGATATCGAGCCATGATGGGCTTCGGTGAGGGGCAGCACTTCAAGATGCGGAAGCTGCATTACACCCACCCCTCGAAGGCCAAAGGCGACATTCTGTTCGTCGGGGATCGGTACCACGTTAAGCGAGATGTAAGCCGACGGGTGAACGTGTTTCAAGTCGACGCGGATCATTGGAAGACGTATGCAGCCAAGCGAATGATGGCCAGCGTGGGCGAGCCCGGTGGTCTGACGCTGTTTCATGCGATGCCTTCGCAGCACGAGGACTTTGCCAAGGGCGTGACGGCCGAAAGGCAGATCACCGAATTTACTCCGCCCAAAGGCTTCGTTAATTCCTGGGAGCGAATTCGACGCAACAACCACGCGTTCGACTTGCTCTACATGAATTGCGTGCTGGCCTACCACTCGGGCTGTCGCCTATTGCGTAGTAGCGGCGAGTCAAAGCCAGTGAAGTTGCCAAGCGGATCTCGACGCCGAGGGGTACGGGTTTCCACGAGTCGACCATTCTTAATTACTCAACGATAGAAGGAACGAAGAGATGGGAAAGAAGAAGCCGGCAACGGCCAATGAAGGGAAGCCGAAGAGAGAGGATGTGCTCGAATATGCCAAGAAGATCGGCTTCACCGAAGATATTGTCGAAACGCTTGGCGGCTCGATGGAGGACTTGGCCGACCACGCATTAGGCCATGATGATCCGCTTGGGTATCTCGACGCTGAGTGGGAAGAAGTTCGGCCCGATGAAGAGGAGGTGAGTTCGACCGACGGCGAGGGGGGGTCCGACTCAGAGGAGCACAATAGCCCGCCCGCTGAATCCACACCACAGGATTTGAAGCTATCGATCTCCCTCAATGCCCCCTTCGTCGAGTTGAACCCGAAGCACTACGTACAGCGGCATGTCGATGTCCAGCTTGATCCTCACGGGGCGAGGGCCCTTTGCCGTCTTCGCAATACGCTGCAGAAAAACCACGCGACCCTCAAAGGCGGAAAGCACGTCGAGAGTGGCGCGATGGCCGTCCGGTGGCTATTCGAGCAACTCTCAATTGAGATCGAGGGGCAGGACTAACTATGGCCAAGAAAGCAACCCGTAAGAAGCCGCCCCCATCGCCTCGTGTTGTGCATGACATCGCCGACCAGCTTATTCCGTTGGCTGAGCCCATTGGTTCTATCAAGCCTGATCCGAAGAATGCACGTCTGCACAACGACAAGAACATTCAGTCGATCGCCGCCAGCCTCACAAGGTACGGGCAACGAAAGCCGGTGATCGTCAATCAACGGAACGGAATCGTTGAGGCCGGTAACGGGACGGTTGAGGCGGCGAAGCTGCTCAACTGGACCCACGTTGCAGTGCTCTGGGTTGACGATGACCAGCAGGCCCAGAACGGCTTTGCCATTGCTGACAACCGCACGGCCGAGCTTGCCACGTGGGACAAGGTTCAACTCGACGCTCTCTTGGTCGAGCTGAACGACCAGGATGCCACTCTGATCGAAGACCTGGCGTTTGAATCGGAGCTGCAGAAGATCGCCAAGGCCGCCGAGGCTGACACGTCTCCACAACTGAAGGAGATGGAATATCGAGTGGTCATTCAGTGCAATGACGAAGACCACCAACGTGAGATTCTCGAAATGCTCGAAGGGGAGGGGATCGAATGCAAAGCCTTGATGTTGTAGTCGAAACACCGCTGTCGAGAAGCGCTCGAGTTCGCCAACTGGAGGGCATGTTCGATGTTCCCCCAAGCGAACGTGCAAGCCTTCGCTTCACGGGGGAACTGGACATCGACGAGGCTGATTGGAATGTCGGGCTGATCGTTGGGCCTAGTGGTTCAGGCAAGTCGACCGTAATGCAGAGGCTCTTCGGCAAGGAGAAGAAGCTGAGGTGGAATCAGCCCTCAGTTGTGGATGACTTCTCGAAAGAGATCTCCATGGAGGAGATCGCGAAGGTCTGCCAGGCGGTTGGTTTCAATACGGTGCCAGCTTGGATGCGGCCTTTCAAAGTGCTCAGCAATGGCGAGAAGTTTCGCGTCGAGTTGGCCCGCCGCCTGTTGGAGTTGCCCGATCCGATCGTTGTCGACGAGTTCACCAGCGTAGTCGATCGTCAAGTTGCCAAGATCGGTTCTCACGCGGTGCAGAAGTATGTTCGGCGAAACAATCGTCGATTCGTAGCAGTTACTTGTCACTATGATGTGATCGACTGGTTGCAGCCCGACTGGGTTTTTGAGCCTGCAACCAGCACGTTCACAAGGAGGCGTCTTCGGCGAAGGCCAAATCTCAAAGTCGAGATCGCTCGCGTCGAACGTAAAGCGTGGGATGTCTTCGCTCCGTATCACTATCTGACCGCGGAACTGCCCACGTCGGCACAGTGTTTTGTTGCTTTTGTCGATGGTCGCATGACCAGCATTGCAGGCATGATGCACCGGGTTCATCCTCGAACGCGAGACATCATTGGTTGCTCGCGCCTAGTTACCCTGCCTGATTGGCAGGGTATGGGCTTGGCAATGGTGCTGATCGATGCAATGGGGGCAGCCTACAAGGCAATCGGCAAGAGGCTTCACACGTACCCCGCTCATCCGGCATTGGTCCACACGTTCGATCGTTCACCAGAATGGTCCATGATCAAACGGCCGGGCGTCTTTAAGAGCCACGCACGGGGGCAAGCAGTGTCGTCAAAGGTAGGTGCCGGTTTTGGTGGCCGGCCCAATGCAACGTTTGCCTATGCGGGTGACATGATGCCCGACCGAGATGCAGCCCGAGAACTGATAGAAGGGAAGCCTCAATGATCAACGTCGACACATGCAGCTTGCTCGATTTTCCCGCGCCTTGGGATCTCGTCTCAACTCGCGGAATCTGACGTTCCACGCGAGGGAGGCAAGTTTCTCGAAAAAAATCTTCGCCACGGAAGTTGTTGCCTCCCTTCATGCTCCCAAGAGGTCGTTTGTCGGCAGCCTGAAAACGGCGGATTTTCTCCTTGTAGCCGCCGGGAGGCCCCATAGATTCGTGCTTAGTCGTTCGCTGAATGGTACTCAGCAACGCAACGAATTACGCGATTCAGTTCAGGAGAATCGATCATGGCTACCGTTCTGCAGCAAGCCCGTCCCCGCGCTCGTCGTACGAAGAAAACCAGCAAGCCGCGGGTGAGTGTCTATCAGGTCATCACTGACCGCATCCTCGAATTGCTCGATCAGGGAATCGTCCCTTGGCACAAGACGTGGGGCGGCCGAGCGTATGCCCCGCAATCGTTGACCACCGGCAAGCCCTATCGGGGTATCAACGCTTTTCTGCTGTTCTGTGCGGGGTTTGAGAACCCGCACTTCGTTACGTTCCGCCAGGCCAAGGCACTGAAGGGTTCGATTCGCAAGGGTGAGAAGGCAATGCCCGTGCTGTTCTATCAATTCCCGGAAGATCGTCAGGAGCGGCTCGAGGAATTGCAGAAGGCGGGCCAGAAGCCGGGTGAAGAGGAATACTTAGGGCCGATCGTCCGCTATTACCGAGTGTTTAACGTCGCTCAATGTGACGACCTCGACTCCAACAAAGTGCCGAAGGTAGAACAGCCGAGCTATCACCACGACCCGATCGCTGAGGCCGAGGCTATCCTGGCAGCCAGCCCGGTGCAAGTGAAAGTGACCCACGGTTATCGCGGGGCCGCTTACGTTCGGGACGATGATGCGATCATCATGCCGCCCCGCGAACGTTTCGAGAAGGCCGAGCATTACTACGCGACCTTGTTCCATGAAATGATTCACGCCACAGGAGCCCCCTCGCGGTTGAACCGGACCAAGGGCAAGCAGTTTGGCGATGCTGATTATGCCCGCGAAGAGCTGGTCGCCGAAATGGGTGCCGCGTTCCTGTGCGGTCATTGCGGAATCGTCGATCGCACGGTCGACAACTCTGCCGCTTATATCGACAACTGGCGACGTGTTCTCAAGGGGAATGCCAAGCTAGTGGTTGAGGCCGCGGCAAAGGCACAGAAAGCAGCCGACCTGATACTCGGCGTTAACTGGGACAAGCCGAGTGAGGAGAAGCAGCAGCCGGTTTGCGTGACCGCTGAGAAGCCTGCTCAAGGCATGTTGTTCTAAATGAAAAAACGGCCCCGCTTCGTCATGGTACGACGGGCGGGGCCTGTCCGAGACGACCGCTGTTCAGGAGCGATCGAATGGCTGAAGATAATTTACGAACGATCCGGCACGATGCCAAGAGCCGAGGGTTGCGTTGGAGAGACGTTCAGGCCCGTTACGAAGAATTGAAGCAAATCGAATATGAGGCTCGCGAGAGACCTAACGCGATTCGACAAGCGGCTTGGACGGCTCACACCACACCGGGCTGCCACGGTTTCTGGCGACATGGCTTCGCGAAACGATACGAACGTCGGTTGCAGAAGTCGGACTACACGTGCATCCCAGGGTACGACACCTTGGCTCAAGAGATCGCTTGTGACTTCCCAGAGTTTCGGGGCGATCGGGGCTGCGAGCGATTGTGGGCTTTTCTACTGTCGCCTCACGATTGCTACCCGACCGCTGCTGAGTTGTACGCACAGGCGATGGACGACATCGAATTGACTGGCCGCGCTCACCAGGTGAGTGATACTGAACTGTCAGGGGTGCCCTTCTGATGAAATGCAAAGCAATCACAATTCACCAGCCCTGGGCGTGGGCGATCGCCGAGGGGATCAAGACGGTTGAGAATAGGACCTGGGCGACATCGTATCGCGGGCCGATTGCTATTCACGCTGGGAAGAGCTTGGCTTCGATCGAAGAGGGAGCTCGGTTCATTGAGTCGCTTGGGTATGAAGTGCCGACATTTGGCGATGAGGACTTTGGGGCGATTGTCGCTGTGGCGAACCTTGTCGATTGCGTGAAGGTCGATGAGGATTCGCTCGGAATGTTTGGGGTGCGTGATAATCCTTTCGCTCAAGGGCCGGTGTGCTGGGTGCTGAGTGACATTCGGAAGCTGATCGACTCTGTGTATTGCAACGGAAAGCAGGGATTGTGGATCGTCGATATCCCTGAAAAAGCCTGACCTGACTATCTTAGGTAGACTTTGCTATCATGCTCCTCCTGAAGCAATTGTCGATTGTTGTAGATCCCCTGAGCTGAGAGGGTGTTATGGCTAGCCAGCGGCGTCCATACGTATTCATAGGATCTTCTAGAGAAGGGCTAGAAGTTGCTAAAGCCATCCAGGCAGAATTGCAGTATTCGGCAGAGTGCGAAATCTGGTCGCAAGGTGTTTTTGGCTTAAGCAAAGGAGGTCTTGAGTCACTTGTAGGCGCTCTCGACAAATACGACTTCGCAATTCTTGTTCTAACACCAGACGATCTAGTGGAGAAACGAGGAGCAAAGCAAGCGGCGCCCCGGGATAACGTTCTGCTTGAGCTCGGAATGTTTATTGGAGCCCTTGGCCGAGAAAGGGCATTCATGATCGTAGACAGATCGGCAGAGATAATCTTGCCGTCAGATCTCGCGGGGATAACTCCAGCTACATTTCAGCCACCCGAACAAAGCACCTGGAAGGCTGCTGTCGGTGCAGCCTGCTACGATATAGACGTATCAATAAAGAAACTTGGCGTTCGTAAGGGAAATGTAGGGATAACTGTTCTGGGTGGATTTGGATTCCGGCGTGGTGAGCAGAGATTGAGATTCACAGTCACGAATGTTGGAAACGACTCGTTTCCACCACATAATATCGCACTGTTCCATCCCAAGGGTGGTATTTGCCGCTTCTTCGACAGCGAAAAAAGTGGGTCGCTTCTTCCAGGGCAGCAACGGGTTCACGAATGTGTTGTCTTTGAACCCAAAAATGGCCTAACTCCTCTGCCAAACTTTGCCACTCAATTTGTTAGCCCGGAAGATGAGAATGAACTCAGGTTTCGCATCATGTTGGAGGATAGTGACAATAGAGTCCTTTATGAAAACAAGGCAATGGGCATTGCATTAGTACGAATTCTTCGAAGCGTTATCCAAAACAACGGCTTGACTTGTGATATTACTCAGGATGATTGGCTGGGTCTCAATAGTGAAGTCTCAGGGCCTTGAAACCTTCCAATGACATGGGCACAACTCTGGTCGGCACTGACTTGACTATCTTGAGATACTTCGAACGCTCCGATTTTCGCAAGTCGCGTCTGCAAGAATAGCAGGCAGTTCAGTAGACTGGTTCTTTCGAATCAGAATTGAGCACAAGTGGAGATAATGATGTCTGGTACTATACGCCCCTTTGTTTTCATTGGGTCATCAGTAGAAGGCTTGGATGTTGCAAAAGCCATTCAAGCCGGATTAGAGCATTCTGCTGAGTGCATGATTTGGTCGCAAGGGATCTTTGGCTTGAGCCAAGGTGGCCTTGAAGCTCTCGTCAAACGCCTTAACGATTTCGATTTTGCAGTTCTTGCATTGACTCCAGATGATCTTTCGCGAAGCCGCGAGACTGATCGGACTGTTCCTCGTGATAACGTGTTGCTTGAGTTGGGAATGTTCATTGGTGCATTGGGTCGCGAGCGCACTTTTATGGTAGTTGATCGCACTGTGGAGCTTAAGCTTCCTTCCGATCTCGCAGGAATAACGCCAGCCACTTACCATCCGCCAGATAAAGGGACATATAGGTCCTCTCTTGGCAGTGCTTGTTCGAATATTGAGGAAGCAATCAAGACGCATGGCCTGCGTGGTGCAAGCGGCAGTATTGATGTCAGAGGAGGATTTAGCCGGGGCTTTACTGACGATGAGCAAGCGGTGACATTAACAGTAGTGAATAGGAGTGATGATGCTCTACCGCCGTATACGCTCTATCTATATCACCCTAGGGTAGGGTCATATACCCATTTCAGCAGCATTAGAAGTGGGCCACAGTTACCGAGGCAGGTGCGGGAACATAGCTGGCCAATAATTCAAAATGGCCAGCTAATTGAACCGCTTCCAAGTTATCTTAGAGGTTCAGAGTCTGAGATAGATGATGATGGTTTTAGATTGCGGTTGTTGCTTGAGGATAGTGACGGTGTCGTCCTCGCTGAGAGCAAGAGAGTCGGCCTGGGATTACTCTCTGTGATTCGAGCGACAGTTCAGCACGGTAGCATTGTGGGTGGAGATAGGGCAAATGATCCCGAAATGTGGACTCAACTGTGGGATGTCCTTCATCTGATGTAATGGCATGGCGTTTATTCTGCACCGATATCTTTGTTGTGTAGGCAAAATACGGTCGATCCGGAGCTTCCGGCCCCGCATCTCTTCTGCCGTTCCAATCAGCCGCTATTCTCTGCGGCATGGTCACTCCCACGCTCAACGGCGACAGCACTCTGCTTGAGATGATCGCAGAGTACAACGAAACGGGCTCTTACGAGGAGACGGGTTCGTTGGTACACGCGAGACGTTTTGTCACCGCGTGCCGTCTTCTGATCGCCAATCTTCCGGTCGCCAGTTCGAAGGGCGGCAATACCGGCGAGTCGATGGAAATGAACGTCGACAAGATCTCCGAGCAGCTCGATAAGGCCCGCAAGTGGATCGCTGCGAAGAGCCGCCGTACTCGTGGCGGCCGAGCTTTCTCCCTGGAGAACTTTCGCACATGATTGCCGAGAACAGAAGCCTTAGCCGACGCCAACGTCAGCGACGAAAGTCAGGTTCGACATCCGAGAACTTTGATAACGTACGCGCTGACTACGAGGCCACGAAGTCTTCGCGATTCGTCCGTCAGCGTCGAGGGCTTGCTCCACAAGGTTCAGGGGCCGACTACCACTACCGCAATGAGTTCGACTATCTGCGACTGATGGAGTTGGCCCGCGATATGGATCGCAATGATGCGATCGTCGGCCAGGCAATTGATCGAGCTGTCAGCAACACGATTCAGGACGGCTTCACAGTCGACCCCGACACGGGCGATGCGGGTGCTGACCAGGCGATCAAAGATCGTTGGAAGAATTGGGCTGAAGATCCGGACCAAGTTGATGTCGCCGGCGAGAACAACTTCTGGGATCTCGAAAACAATGCCCTTCGAAGTTCGTTTGTCGATGGCGATTCGTTTGCAATTCCACTCCGCAACGGAACTCTTGAGGTTCTCGAAGGTCACCGCTGCAGAACTCCTGTCGGCCGCAAGGGTGGCTTTAAGACGGCTGAAGGTGTCGTACATGGCGTCAAAATGGATCGCTATCGACGCCGTCACGAGTATTGGTTCACTAAGGAGGACATCGACCCCAATCGCCAGGTGCAGCGCCTAAAGGATATTCGCCGCATCGCTGCTCGCGACTCTGAGGGATACAAGCAAGTCTTCCAAATGATGTTCGGAAAGCGGTACTCCCAGACACGTGGAGTTACTGCCCTTGCTCCAATCTTCATGCCGGCCGGTTGGTTCGAGGACATCAATTTCGCCAAGATGGTGCAGGCTCAAGTCGTGAGCTGCATTGGGTTCATCCGTAAGCGAGAACTCAACTTCGATGATATGGGGGAAGATGGTCCCGCTCCCATCGGAGAACGGAAGACGCAAACACTTTCGGACGGCTCGTCGCGAACTGTAGACGGCCTAGCACCCGGCATCGAGATCGAAGGCGAACCAGGAGAAGAAATTGAAGCCTTCTCCCCGTCGGTGCCCAATCCCGAATTCTTTGATCACGTGCATCTGATTCTGACGCTGCTCGGAATCAATCTGGGTCTACCGCTCGCGATGCTGACCTTGGACAGCGGCGAGACGAACTTCAGCGGTTGGCGCGGAGCGGTGGACCAAGCACGTATGGGGTTCCGTCGCAATCAGAAGCGGCTCGCGAATCGTTTCCACAAGCCAATCTATTGCTGGAAACTCCGACAATGGGCAGATGAAGACTCCTCGCTTGCCAAGCTGATGGACAAAGAAGGGAGTCTGTTCCGGCACAAATGGAACGCACCTAGCTGGAACTACATCGAGCCGTTCAAGGACGCGATGGCCGACGTGGTTCAACAGAAGAACACGCTGAACAGTCCTCGCCGAATTCAAATGGCTCGCGGGCGAGACTACAGCGAGATCATTCGCGAAACGATCGAAGACAACTCGATGGCCATTCGCTCTGCGATCGCTGAGGCGAACGCAATCAATAAGGAACTGAAGCCGAACCCGCCGATCCACTGGCGAGAGCTGCTTTCACCTCCGATGCCTGACGGTATGACCCTGAGCCTTGGCAGCATGGTTGGCGAAAGTGAGCAGTCGCGAGCTGGGGCCCCAAGCAATCGCAATCCACGAGAGGCGGAACAGCAATATGCCTGAGATGTTCGACGATCGATTTGCATTGCAGCACGGGCTAGGTGCTCTCGGTGTGCCTCATATCGACCAATACTTCGGCGTGTGGGCAGTGCACGAGGAAAGCTTCCGATCCCTGGTCGACCGCGTGAACCAGATCAATATCCATGCTCACGTTCGGCAGAACCGGGAGCTGGCTCACGAGGAGTTTGACGAAGCCAAGGCGATCGATCGGCCTGGCTTTGATCGGATGAATGGCGGAATTGCCGTCGTGACAATTCAGGGGACGATGACGAAGTACGGATCTTCGTTCTCCGATGGCGGGACTGTGCGAGCACGACGAGGCATTCGTAATGCGGTTTCTGACGATGCCATTAGCGGCATCATGCTTCGCATCGACTCACCTGGCGGGACTGTTGCCGGCACGAAAGACCTGGCCGACGACATCGCAACCGCGGCAAAGCAAAAGCCCGTTCACGCCTATATCGAAGACATGGGGGCTTCGGCAGCGTTCTGGGTTTCGTCGCAGGCGAGCAGAGTCACCAGCAACGCAACGGCCCTGGTCGGTTCGATCGGTACGTTTGCGGTGCTTGAAGATCTTTCTGGCGCGGCCGAGAAGTTGGGAATCAAGGTCCACGTCGTGCGAGCTGGCGAGTTCAAAGGAACGGGAGTCGAGGGAACCGCGATTACCGATTCTCAGCTTGCGATGATTCAAGAGCGTGTGAACGGCTTGAACGAACACTTCCTCGCCGGTGTCGCCACTGGTCGACGGATCGACATGGCTCGCGTTCGCGGGCTGGCCGATGGCCGTGTGCATATCGGCGAAGAGGCAGCCAAGTTGGGCCTCACGGACGGCGTAATGAGTTTTGATAACGCGGTGTCAGAACTGATCGCCGCAAGTAACCCTGGAAGGAGACGACGAATGTCGACCGACGCGAAAGAAAACAGCGGCGACGTTGTGCAGCCAGCCGCTACGAATGAACCGAAGGCTGCCACCCTGGCCGAGTTGAAGGCCGCCTGCGAAGGTGCCGACTCCGACTTCATCTTGGAACAGATGGAGAAGAATGCCACGGCTGCCGAAGCGACGAAAGCCTACAACTCGAAGCTCCGCGCCGATCTTGCTTCCCAAAAGGAAGAGAACGCCAAGCTGCAAGAAAAGGCTTCCAGCGGCGGTGGCCGCGGTGTTGATCCGGTCGGCGACAATTCGATCAGTTCGAAAGGCGGCGATGAACCCGAGTCTTCGGATGATTTCGAAGCGACGGTTGCCGAGTGCCGCCGAAAGGGCATGACGCAACGCCAGGCGTTCGCCGAAGCCTGTCGGCAGCATCCCGAGTATCGCGGGACCATGGTAGCTCAGCACAACCAGCGATTCGGCCGGCCAGTTCCGGCTTAGTCGACAGGCGTTTCGGATCCGCGGTTCTTCTTACACCACCAACGTTCACTACGGAGTTAATGAATAGACCATGCCTGAACTCAACGATGTTGGGCTGAAGACATTCGAGGCCGACGAGGCAATTCCAAAGAATGCCCGCGTCAAGCTGGACCCCGACGGCAAAATCACGGTTGCGGGGCTGACGGACCGAGAGATCGGAACCGCTCAACGCGAAGCATTCGCCGCGGGTGACAAGATCACTGTCCGTATGCGGACCTACCCGGGCACTCACTGGATGATTGCCGTCGAGCAGATTGAGGTCGGAGATCTGCTTTACACGGAGGCAGCAGGCAAAGTGCAAGACACGGCAGCTTCGACGGCATTCGTTGTCGGTACTGCACTGAGTGCGGCTGCCGGCGATGGCGACTTGGTCGAAGTCCTCTACAACGCGCACGGCGACACTGCGGCAACGTAAGCTGCCACTGAAAACCTGATCCTGTATCCACTCGCCTAACAAACCTCAGTGACGAGGGCAACGAACGATGTGGTTTCAACGTTCAATCTTTGGAGATAAGGAAAAATGCCTTCACCATCCTCGTCACTTGCCACATTGCGGCCCGACTTGGGCGGCAGTGTGATGGAAATTGATCTGATGGGCCAGCTCAATGGCTTCATCGGATTGCAGATTTTGCCCGTATTTGAAGCTCCGAAATCCTCGGGGACATTCGGTCGCTTGAAGCTTGAACAATTGCTTCACACTCGTGAAGTCGATCGCTCGCCAACTGGTTCCTACAACCGTGGCGAGTGGGAATTCGAAGATGAAGCCTACAAGACCACCGAAAAGGGTCTCGAAGAGCGAATCGATGACAACGAAGCGGAGATGTACAAGGACTACTTCGACGCTGAGTTGATCTCTGCCGAGCGTTGCCTTCATGGGGTGCTGCACGCAGCAGAGCGCCGTGTCCATGCGATGATCTTCAATGAGACGAACTTTGATGACACCGGAACTGATTCGGTGGTTGACTGGGGAACGCTCGACAGTGCGACGCCCCTGACAGATGTGGAGTTGGCCGTCCAAGCGGTCTATGACGCCAGTGGTTTCCGGCCGAACACGGTCGTGATGACTTGGAAGCGATTCCGTCAGTGTGTTCGTACAGACGAAGTAAAGGATCTGATCAAGCATCAGAACTTCCAAGACGTTCGACCGGAAGCGATCACGAAGCAAGCACTTGCCACCCTGTTCCAGGTCGACGAAGTGCTTGTTGCCGACTCGACTCAAAACGACGCGGTTCAGGGGGCGACGCCTTCCCTGGCCCCAACTTGGGGAACCGAATATGTCTGGGTGGGTAAGGTCGCCCGCACTCGCGACATTCGCGAGCCTTGCGTAGGCCGCACAATCCACTGGGATGAAGACGGCTCGATGGTCGGTGGGGCTTTCGAAACCTACCGTGACGAAAACGTACGGTCGGATATTGTTCGGTGCCGTCACCAGGTCGACGAAAAGCTGATTCACACCGCAGTCGGTCACCTGATCAAGTTTGCCACGTAGTCACTTGCCACAACCTGCGTAGCCTTCGTCTGGTTGTTTTCTTCCGCAGGGGGTGAGTCGTAACTGCTCACCCCCTGCGTTTTCACAATTCAGGAACAAAGTAATGCCAGAGCAAGATCAGAAGCCACAAGAGCTTAAAGCGAAGCTTGATCAACGCCGGGAAGAGTCGCGTTCCGAAGGTGTGGTCAGTGAGGTTGACGCACTGAAGTCCGACAACGCTTCGCTTCGTGAGCAAAACACAAAACTCAAGCAGCAGCTCGAAGAGCGAGAGAAGGAATTCGCCGAGATGACGAAGGAAAACACTCGCCTTGCATCCGAGGCCAAAGGTCTCCAACGACAAGCTGAGCGAGACAATGAGAGTCTCATTCCAATCAAGTGCCGTCGTGACACGATTTTGGGCGGCAATCCTTGTGCGATCGGAACAGCAATCGCACACGTTCGCCTACGCGACGGCGTTAGCCCGACGGAACTGGTCGACGCGATCAAAGAAGGCGGGCGAGTCTCGGTAGGCGATTTGAAGACGTAGAAGCTGGCGTCTCCCTTGAGGCGAAGGAGTGTTGCTGATGAGTGTTGCTATGAAGCTCACACCGTCTTCGAGTTCCTATAGAGACCTCGAGGAATGGGATGAGGGCACAGCGAGACTTGTGTTTCCCGACAACGAAGGGGTTTCGTTCGGCGACGGTCGGGACGGCGAGTTCTACAGCGACGGTTCGGCATTGTGTCGCAGTCTGAATAGCATCGGTCTGGCCTTGGACAACGATCGTCTCGTCGATCGGTTTTCGGCAATGGCCTTGGTGCCCGGGCAAGTCTCTGTTCCGTACAAGGAACAAAATTACGACGGCGGAATCGCGGCAGGGATCGCCCTACAAAACCGTTCGCTCTACCTGGTCAGCACGGACGGGAACGTAGCGGCGTTGCTGTTCGCGAATCTCAGCAATTTGCTGTCTGCCGTCCAGGTTGAGGTCGACATGGATTCGCTTGCGTTGGACATCAAGGGCGATGCGGCGACGGCGATTCAGATTGGTGATACCAACGACACGCTGGCCGAACTTGGGGCGACGCCCGTTGGCAAGGCCACGCACATTGCAGACCCCGCGGCTGATGCCGGCGAACTGGCCACGGCCGTGGCGTCGATTATCGACGCACTCGAAGCAAAAGGCATTCTGGCGACGAGCTGAATATGGATCGTTTCGTAACCATTCCAATCAATCTGGCCGGGCAAACAGGGGCCGAAATTACGGTTGACCTGGTTGACGCCTATGGCAACACGCCGACCGGCTACGATGACATCGGGGTTACGGTCGAAAAGGGGGGCGGCATCTATCAATGGCGTGGTTTTGTTCCGCAATACTTCCTGGGCTCGATTGTTGCCAAGGTGGGTGGTGTGGAACAGGCTACGGCCGATGTGCCAATCAATGACGAGAGATTGGACCAAGCTCTAATTGCCGCAGCCGAGGCCCGAGACTTCTCAAAGCAGTGTCTTGACCTCCTCCAGGCAGATGAGTTTGTCGACACCTCCGACAGTCAAGCGTGGGCAAGGGTCTCTGTGAAACGCGGCACAGGAGGCTTGTCGGGTGGAACTGAATTGTCTCGTCGCCTCTTGAAAGATGTTGACGGAGACGCTTTGTCTGAGACCTCTACTGTGGTAGGGCAGGCATTCGATAGTCAACTTGCTGAGTGGCACCCGTTCGAGCAGATCGCGAATTGCCGTCTTGCGTTGGTACCGCATTTGTTCGCCCAGCAATACCAAGAAAGCTACAGCGAACAGCGATTGACGCGGGCTGATGGGTACGGCGACCCGGTGGGCGTTGTTGTCGATGCTTCGAGCGATACACACGTGGTGTATGCGGCCAACGATCCGGCTCGGCCGACGTTACGAGGTGGAGGTTCGCCAAAGAGTTATTTTGAATTCGACGGGGTAAACGAGTACTTGATCGTCGAAAACTCGAAGGCCGCCTTCGAGTGTGTTACTAGCGATGTGAACTATACGCTGGCGATTCGCTTTCGATGTCGGCCGGGAACTAATGGTCTCAACTTCACGCTTGTTGATAGCTGCAATCTGACGGGTGCCAACGTTGGATTCTTCCTGCGGCGACTGTCGAACGGCAAATTGCGATATACGGTGGGTAGCGGTTCTACGGTGGCCTCACTCGACACAGCGGCAACCGTGACCGATGCCGACGGGTGGGTGACCGTGTTCATTCACGATGATGGGGCGGCTGGCACAATTCAGGTCGGCAGCAATGCTGCGGAAAACATCACCTATCCTGGCAATTCTCCCTCGTCTGCTGCTGCGGCTTACGATCTTCGAATTGGTCGACGAGCAGGGTCCAGTTCAGACTACGCTCCCATCGAGTTGGCGTGGCTTGTGATAGCTGAGGGCCAAACGGCCGAAGCGGTAGATGAGCAATTGCGGAATTACGATCCGCAACCTACAGCGATCAGTCGCGGAGGTAAAACGGCCGCGGAGCCGGGGTTCAAGGACTTCACTCACAAGCACTCGATTTGGCTGGCGGACGAAGCGGCCAGCCTGTACCAGGAGGCCGCTCGCACGACGCCGGCGACGGCCGACACTAACCCGGTCGGATCGTGGAGCGATTACCGCGGCACCTACCTGAACCGCATTCTGTCGACGAGCGCCAGCGGCGACCGGCCGACGTTGCAGATGGCCGAGTACAACTCGACCAAAAACACCGTGCGGTGGGATGGCCTTGATGACAACCTCAATCTCTCGCAAGCGTTTGCCAACCACGGTGACTTTACGCTCTTGCTGGTCGGGAAGAATAGCAACGCTACCCACGGGTCGCACTTTGCCAAGGGAAACGAATACCTCGTAAAGACAGGAAGTAATTACGAGGGTTCGGGGGGCGACGATGAGCGGTGGGTGTTTCATCAACCCGGGCTGGGAGATGCGTCGTTCGGCCAGGGGGCCGGAGCACCGGGGGAAGCGATGCCGGGCGAGGTGCTGTTTGCCGCGGCGTTCCGGCGTCAACTCGACCAGATAACGATCTTCTGCCAAGGCATCAAAGGCTTTGAAACGTTCACGAAGACCGATGTGTTTCAGATTACGTCGATTGGCGACTACTTCAGTGCTAACAGCGATTTCCAACTCCAAGGCGATATCTGCGGCTATGGGCTCTACCTGGCGGCCTTCAGTGACGCAGCGATCGATGCGTGGATGAGCAAGATGGCAGCTGACTACAACCTGACGCTACTGGGGTGAGCGAGGAATTTCGATGCTGATAGCTCAACTCCTTCAAGGTTTCGGAAACAGCGGGTACTCGATACCTGAGTTGCCGACCGCGCCGGCGTTGGGCGATTCGGTATTCGATCAGCTCTACCAAAAGAACGCCCTGCCTCTGCTGATGAAGCACTACGGCGTTGACATTACATACACACCGCCCGGCGGCATTGGGGCAACCGTAAAAGCGATTGTTAGCCCTGAGATGTCCCGAGAGGAAGACAACGAGGGGAACCGAGAGAAAAAGCGAAGCACTGTTGTTGCGATTCCGCGATCGGAACTTAGTGTTCCGCAGAGTACGGCTACGGTCGGCGTCGGTGGTGAGGATTGGAACATCGGGCAGATAGAAGCCTACAACCGCAACTGGAACATTTTGGAACTGGTTCGCTACGAATCAATGGAATACGCGGGCGATCGCCTGCGAATGATGTAAAGGACAGCACCGTGGCTGAAAGAAACGGGCGTGCATTCGGACTTATTGAAGTCATCAACGTGCTGATCGGAATCGTAGTCGCGATTTTCTGTGTTGGCTCGATCCCCTTTGCGAATGATGTGACTGGGCGATTGGCTTCAATCGAGGCTGAACTCAAAACACAGGCCGTGGTCCGTGCAAGATTGGACAAGCTTGAAGCCTCAATGCTTGAAGTCCAGTTGCACATAGCACGTGAGGCAAGAGCTGATGCCCACTGACGGAGTGATCCTTGACGCCGAGGACTTTCTGATAGCCACCCTCGCTGCGTGCCCTGAATTCCAGTCGCTTGTTGGTGCTGCGAATGCGACCGTTGCAATGGACAGCATTCGTGTCGAAGTATTGCCACCCCCATCGAACCTGGAAACCAAGACGCCTGTCGAAGTAGGCGAAGAACGACCAATGGCATTGCTGTGGACCGATAAGGATGGCGAAGGAATCACTCTGGAGCACAGTTCATCGGGCACCAAACACCACTACGACTACGGCGGACTGATTCACTTGCAGATCAGTCGTACGCTTCCGGCCGGAGAGACGCTATCTGCCTCCATGCGTGAATGGAAAGGCATCGTAGGCAGAATCATTGAAGAGCTTGACGAACGTTTTGGCTTGCCGGGCTACCTCGCACCGTCGCGGGTAACCATGTTGGGCCCGTACGTCGACGACACCAAGAAAAGTACCGGCCAGCCGCTCATGCAATGGTCGAAGCTGATGGTTGTATGGAAGGGCTGCTGACGTGTTCGTGATGAGATTCAAGATCAAAGAGCGAGGAGCAACGCCAGGTGTGGCGAAGCGTAAGCTCAATCAATTCATCAAGCACGGTTATGTCGTGGCCTTGACGCTTTGGCATCGTAAGTTTCGGCCGAAGCACTTCACGCGAGAGGCGTTTCGTAGGTACCCGGGTGTGTATAAGCCTCGTGCCGGCGAGCGGGGAAATCCTCAACGCGACAAGAACGGGAAGCTGCTTGGCTTTCGCTCAACGTACACGGGCCAGAAGTTGCGAAGGTGGGGCCACACAAACCCACTGAGCTTTTCTGGGCAATCTGAATCACTGAGTAGGCAGCGAGTGATTCGAGCCACCAGCAAAAAGGGCAGGGCGGTTATCCGTGCTCCCGCCCTTAATCGAAACAACCCGGATTCAGAGATCAATATGCGGAGAGAGATGGAAGCGGTCAACAATCTTGAGGCGATTGAGATGGTTGAGAAGCACGATCGAACCGTCGACCGCGACTTGAAAGAAGTCCAAGACACCAGCACACGAGCCATTGGCTAAGGAGCTTATACATGCCACTAGATAGCAGATACTCATTGGCGGCCGTGGAGTTGGACACGACCGTTCTCAGCGGAATCACGCGACACAGCGTCGGTACCGACACTGAGACAACCTTCGATGTTTCAGACGGCGAGATATTTGCTCGCTGGCTCTCGATGACCGCCCAGAATCCCAAGGCACGATTCACGACCCAAAACGTTTCGGCAGCCTTGGCCAGCATTGGGCTACTGGGATTGAGTATCAACGACCTTTCAAGCGGCCTGAAGTTCTATTCTCAGAAACACCAGCATGGTGGCTCCCGGGCTTCAGGCAGTGCTCACCGTGTGCTGACTTTCATCGACGGCATGATTGTTCCTCGTCAATTGACAGCCGAGCATCAAGGAAATGCCGAAATTGAATACGAGGCCCTCATCACATGGGAAGGTAGTACAGATCCGATTCAGATCGGTGACAGCGCGGCGCTTCCCACGATTAGCAACACAGGAAGGTTGACGCTTGGCCCAATCGCGATCGGGGGCGTGACGATCGATCATGTGAAGCGAATCACACTCGACTTTGGCATCGAAGCGATGCAAGAGTCGGCAGACTCAGACATCTGGCCTCGCTTCGTATCCATCATGTCGATCAAGCCCGTGCTTCGGATCGAAGGAATTGACGCCACTTGGTTCAGTTCCGGAAAGATCCCACTAGCTGGCAAAGGCTTTACGCATGCCAACACGACAGTCTATCTGCGTGATCGTGCTGAGCACGCGAGCTACGCGGCCGACGACAGTGAAAGTCACACCAGCATGACGATGGCAGGCATGGCCTATGTCGATACCGGCATGGAGGCATCGGGCGAGGACCCTGAAAGCCTCACTCTGGTGTTGGAGATCGACTATGACGGGACGAATGTTCCAATCGTAATCGATACGGGCGCGGACATTGTCTAGCAATCCTCATTGCATTCCCACATCACTTAGCGAGGCCCCATTATGCCCGTCGAATCGACAATGCAGTTCCGTCACACGGTAAAGGAAACCCTTCCCGCCGCTGATGCTCCGTTCGCAAGTGCGAATCTTCCTATCACGCACGACGGCCTGAATGTGATCAAGCGGATCGATGCTGATAGTGACGTGCCTGGCACACTAGTGATCGCCGATGACGTGGAACTCAGCAGTGGCAGTGCCACGATCGATTTGGCTTCAGCCAGTCACAATGGCACAACAGTTGATGCCAGCGGCCTGAAGCTCCAGCACATCACGATTGCAAACCCCGCGGGCAATAACCCGATGACTGTTGAGCCAGGGGCGAGCAATCCCTACAGCCTATTTGGGGCAAGTGGACAAGTCACACTCGACGGCGACTCACAACTCCAGATGAGCTTCGCGGACACTCGGGAAGATGTTGACGGAACCCACAAGGAGATCGACATCACCGGAACCGGCACCGAGAAGCTGAATATTATCATGGTCTTTGGATAAGGAAGAAGAGACCCATGCAAGGATTCATTTACTACGTTCCACGAAAGCCGGGTGAGAAGGTTGAATACAACGTTCTGTTGCCTCGATCACGTGGCATCGGCTACGCATTCGACGATGAGTGTGGCGTCGGAGAGGTAATGAGCGGGCCAGACGGCAAGCCTGGCTTTGTGATGGGCGTGCCTCGCAGAACTGGCATCCCTCAATACAAGAAGGACACCCAGCATTGGCGTCAGATTCCGAAGTCCGATGCTTGGGTTGGCTGGCAAAAAGAGGGAAGCATTCATCCGGTTGATCTTGTCCGCAAAGAGTTGATGGATGGTCACAATGTGCGCCTTGCGGATGGAAACTCTTGGCTCTGTCCCATGGCGGTCGCCCCAGAGGAGCGCGAAGGTGTTTTGTGTCCGAGCTGTCGATTACCAATGGGCACTACGATCGACGAGGAGGGTGAGTGGATTCCAACCGGAGTAGCGGAGGGATACCAAAGATTGTGGGCCTATGCTGTGCAGTGGTGGTCAGCAATGGGGAATGCCACCATCGAGATTGGGGACGATACGGCAACATCATCTTTTGATTTTAACGGACTCAACGATGCCGCACTGCATTGTCTTCAGCGGAACTATCGTGTGGGCAAACTCGAAGTCTCGATTCTTGGTTTGTTCAACAACAAGGTTGCTACAGAAATTCTAAAGGCACTGATCGACTGGCCCACAGTCGTGAAGCGAATGGAGTCGCGACTAAAAAAAGAGATGGCCGTTGGCTCGAGTACCGAGCATGGGCCAGCGGCCTCCACCCCAGCTATCGACCAACCTTAGCCGACTTTTGGTCGCTGGCAGAACACGACGGTGAAGTATCGCCCGTGAATGTGGTTCAGGTGAGACGACGGTGATTTTAAATGGCACAAATTGCGATCGAAATGACGAGCGAAGAAGCCCGCCTTTGGCAGGGCTTTCAGCGTATCGTCCACCAGCAACAGAAGGTAGAAGCTGGTATCGGTCGCACATCTCGCAAAAGCAGGGAATCTGCTAAGCAAGCGACACTCGCCCAGCAGGCATATGACAAAGCGTTTGGGCGAGCGGCTATATCAAGTCTGGCAAACTTTGCAGCTGGTGTTGTTGGGATCAGTACGGCTTTATCTACGGTCATCAGCCTATTTCAGAACATGCGACAAGAGGCCGATCTTGCGGGGCAACAGTTTCGTGACGCAACGATTGGTGTCGGTTCGCTTGCCCAGTTGGCTGAGACGCCGGCTGAAATGCAGAAGCTAGTTCAAGCGGCCAGGCAAACGTTTGCCGAAGGAGGTGGAAACACCTTAGACGAGGCGGCCAAGCTTGTATTCTCCTTGGAATCGGCTGGGGCTCTCGATGAACGCGAATTGTTCACACAGCTCAAGGCAAAGAACTTAGTCGAAGAACCGGCTGTGATGGCACGGGCTGCGGCTACGCTGCTTACCTCACTTGGCGAGGAAGAAACCGGCGGCTATCGCGAGTTAGTGTCCAAGTCGTTTGGGGCTTCGAAGTTCTCACCCTCGAGCGCCGAGCAGATATTGCAAGCGGCCGCCCGAAGCGGTGGCTCGGCGAGGGCGTTGGGCTACAGCGACGAAGAGCTGCTGGCGGCGGTGTCCATTTCATCGAAAGCGACCGGGTCGGCCGAGATTGCCGGCACAACGGTGGCCAGTCTGTTGCGGTCGATCGACCAGTCGGGCCAGTTCCAGGGGATGACGCTGAGAGAAACACTCAAAGCTATTCAGGACATGGGTCTCGAGGGCCAAGAGCTGCAACAGTTCTTTGGTCGGGAAGAGGCCGTGCGGGCGTTTCGTGACCTTACGGCGAACATGGATCTGGTCAATGAGGCGATGCGGGAAATCACGCTGGCCGAAGCGGAAGACCGAGTGACGGGAAAGCTGGCGTTGCCCGACACGATCGATTCGATGAGTGCGGCCCAGGCGGCGAAGCAGGCTGAAGCACGCCGTACGCTATCGAACGAAGGGATCTCTACACTTGACAACCTTGCCGACGCTTTGGTCGCCGAACGTGCTGCACAAACCCGGACTGACGGTTCGTTCTTCCCGGGGTTAGAGAACGCACTGAATGATATGGCGGCCAGTACGCATCGGCTGATCTTCGGCGATGAAAGTTTCTTGCGAGATAATCTCGACGAGATCAAGAACGAACGGATGCGGGAACAGATCGAAGCAGCACTGGACCAAAAGAATGTGGAGCGTGGGCGGTTTAGCTTAGACGAGACATTGAACTACACGTTTGGCGGTACCAGTCGCACGGAGATGGTCAATGATCATCTTGAACTGTTCTTGGCTCAGTTTTCTAGTCGGCAAGAAACAACTGGCGGCGACGATCAGCAAGCCAAGTTGGTCGAAGAAATGCGACGGATGAATGGGAATCTAGAACAGGCAAACACCAAGAGTGCCATTGCTGGCTCACCCACACTTAGCCCGCCATCGAGGGACCGATAATGGCTGGATTCGTCGACTCGGTGGCTTGCGATCTCGTCAAAGGAGATGCACGGAGCCTGCAATCAACCGTCGAGTTATGGAAGGTGCCAGGCTCTGATGGATTTGGTGCACATAAGCTTGGAGCGGGTGATTCAGACTTCAAATTCACTTTGGTCAAGTACAGCGACAAACTTGGAATTCGCAGTTGGTGGACTTCAATTCAGGTGTTCAAAGGTGAGATTGTCACGATCGTGAACGATCAGGGGAACATCTTCGAGAGTTGCATGATCACCAGCTTTACGATCATCGATCCGAAGCGAGTATTTCGTAGTGGGGCGGGATACTCATACCGCGCCGAAACGACGATCGAGGGGGTGCAGGTCTAATGGCCGAGTACATCATTCAGGCTCAGATAGCACCGCCCCCGTTTCCTCTTTCACGGGCATCGGTGTACATCGCGGAGAACCCGACGGACAGTTACGTCCTGCGGCGCGACTTGGAACTTGAGTCGATGCACATTGCCATCGCTGGGCAGGACATCGGCAGCTGCACGATTCGTCGCAGATATGGCCAAGTCAAGTATCCCCATAGTGCGGACTACCAAACGGCAACTCCGATCGATCTGACGGGTTACTGGGTCCAGATTGTGAGCATGACCCCGACTGGGGCCGTGCTTACATTCATCGGCCGCATCTATGACACTCCGCAAACCATCTTCTCAGATGGCGGTATTGCTGGCGTGCAGCGATTCGTGGCCTACGAACCTGCCTACCTGCTGAACAGGATATCGATCAGTGATTCCTACTTTCAAAAAGAAGAGAGAGCAATCCGCGTAGGCTGGGGGCCAGGCTTCAACGACCGAGCCGGCCGCGGTTGGGTGATTGGAAACCGATCGCCGAATGAGATCGACGGCAGCTACGTCTTCGTAGGCGTCAATGAATTTGAGCCAGCTAACGAAGAGCGAATCTGGACGCGACTGAACATGGCTGAGTACATCGTGCAGAAGTTCGTCGATGAGACAGAATCAAACGGATTGAAGTGGCAGATAACCGGGCAAACAGACATGCTCGACATGATCAAGGACAACGTGCCCAACAACCCGGGCACTGCCTATGAGCGACTGCAGCAGATAATCAATCCCAGTATCGGAATGGACTGGAAAGTTGAACCCAAGACGGCGGGCGACTTTGAAGTAGGGGCAGGCTATCCGATTGAAGGGTTCGATATTGAAGTGTTCTCGCTTCTTGCAGAGGACGTGACGTTTGCCGGAGTGACGATTCCCAAGAACGAAGACACGATCAAGCTTAACCCAGCGGGCTCCAAGACGATTCAAGAGATGAGAATCGAGCGCTCGGCGAGCCATACCTACAACCAGATCCGCGTCATTGGCAACCGAATGGTCATATGTGCCTCGCTCGATGCTGGAACCAGCGACTTAGAAGAGCGATGGGGGGCGGACCTGGAGAGCGATTATATCGCCGGTGACCCTGACGATCCTGGGGCACCAAACGCCGACCATGATATCTGGAGGCAGCAGGAAAAGTTCCGCAATGTCTTCCAGCTTTATGGTGCCCCTCGAATTGATTGGGGCCAAGACTCATTCTTCCCGAAGCTAAACGATGAAGGGGAGATCGACCTTGGGGCAGGGCGGGCCGACGCTCAGCACCTGGTTCGATCGACGCTTTCGTTCCTTCCACTGCAAGAGGGCGTTGACTACAAGGCAGAGCCGCTGGAAGACTTCGGCGATGATGTTGCGGATCCCGACTTCCTGCCACCGGCCGTTTACCTCTACGACTTGGAGGAAGAGCGGTACATTGCGGCCGAGCACGCTGGCATTCATGTTCACGTGTTGCAAAACGACCTCGGTGTTTGGCTACAAGCAGATCCCAATCACATTCTCGATGGTGACACGACGGTCTCGAACAGCGAGCTCCAAGAGGGCCGGTACGATTCGGCCCAGATGGTTTGCACGCTCGCTTGGGAGAGCGACCAGCGGTTTGAGATGCGGAGTTATCTCGAGGGATCGTATGCAGACAATGATGACCCGCCTTCAGAGGGTGTGCTGCATATCGAGGTCCCCGGGGCAGAGCTGTGGTATGTCGCTCCTGAAACAGTGCTTCGAGTCGACAATGACGGCACGTTGGTGAAGACGGGAAGCGAACCGCTGATTCTTCGCAATGATGCCGACAGACTTGCCCTGGCGATGGCGGGTGCGATCGCTCGGTACCAAAGCGAACGCGGCCGAGCGAGCATTGAAATCAAGGGCTGGATTGCCCAGCGCTTGTATCTTGGGAAAATCCTCACCTTCATCAATGCTGGCGACGAGGCACAGGCAATCAACGGGCCTGTTACGTCGATTCACTGGCAAGTGCCCGAGTCGAAGTCGACCCGGAATGCACCGCAGCCGTTGAGCCCCAGCGTGACCCTCAAGGCGGGGTACGCTCTGTGAATACGATGCTGCCAGGCGCGATGACGGCGGCAACTGCTGTTCTAGTACCAGAGCGGCGGGGTTCTCTTCTTGTTCGCGCTGCTCGCCAGGTGCTCAGCCAGTTCGCCATCATTGGCACGCTGTACGAGGACTTGCTTTCGGATGATGAAGCAATCTGCAACGTCTACAAGGGCGACAGTGGATCTGAAGCCGATAGCGGTACTACGGTCAAGGTGTCTGGATGGTTGATCGAGAGCGACAAGATGTTGGCCAGTGGCACACGGGTGTTGGCAGTGCGAGTCAACAAGGTCTTCTATGTCATCTGCTCGAACGCCTGTCCGATTGATCAACCTTCGCCATGATTCGCATCGCTCAACCACGCAAGATCCTTCCTCGCCGGCAGCCCGAGCTGCAACGTCTAAATCGTTGGCAGCGATTCCGCCTGGGGCGATATGCTGACCGCACACGGTGCCGGCGATGCGGTCAGGTCCGAGTTGATACCGTCGCTCGCCACTTCGGTTTTGGCCCGGCATTCACGGAGCGAGCGCTTTACGGGTTGGGATTTGCTTTCAATATGGGGTTGGCCTGCTGCTGTGAGGAGAGCCCAGGAAGCTCGGATAGCGGCAGCGGATCAAGCGAAGGATTGATTGAATGCGGGGTTACTTGTGCAGGCGAAGGCCTCAACGCTCCGCACTGGTGGGACATCACAATCAGTGGACTGGTCGATGAACAGTGCGACGACTGCGATACTTACAACAGCACGTTCAGGGTTGAGCACAATCCGTCATTCTCGGTGAATCGATGTGCTTGGACGTTATTCATTCCCGAGGGATGTGCTATCTGTCGCCCGGTCTTTCCCGAGGTCGATCCCAAAGGGGCGAATCTGATCTTTCTGGAACTATTTGGAGACGCGAGCCCCACGGTCTGGATCCATGTTTGCCATTTCAATGTAGGAGCAAGCGGAGATGATCTCCTATGCAATCCATCTTATTGGGAGATCAACTTTCGAGAGGTGTTTGCTGAGAAGCCAAACTGCTTGGAGCTGGTCGATCATCTTGTGGATGACAGTTCGCCAAGTCAAACACGGTGTCCCAACTTCTTCACGCCACCGTTCGGCTTAGTAGACGCCTGCGATGCCAATTCAGTAAGCGGCCCGGCCGAGTGCCGAATTACGGCGGTGACTTCACCATGATGTGCGACACGATTGTTGAAGGCGATGGCCGTCGCTGCCAGCGATGCAATTCCTATTACAGGACGACGGGGCAGGTCACTGCGAAGTGTCGGCAGGTCAATCTTAATGAGCGACCACAGCAACAGCAGAAGTGCAAAAGCTGCGCACAGCGAGAAGAAAGCATCAATGATCGTTGGCCCGGGGCGGGCACCGCAGTCGCCAACCTAGCCGATAGGGTAGCGAAGAATCTTCGTTACGGCGAGTGGAACATCCTGCTGGAGTTCTCGCACGGTTTAGGTGACGACGTTCAATTCTGCACCGTGATTCGGCACCTGGCTCGGCTTCATCCGGAGTTCAAGCTCGACGTAGTTGGTCAGGAGCGATCGCACGATATGTTCAAGCTGGCAGGGGCTCGCTACTGCTACAGCAGTCGCTCCGAGGTCCTGGGACAGTACAACCACGATCTCCGAATTGCGGTAGCCGATCCGGTGGGTGGCTCGCGTGAGCATCCTATGACGAAAGCGGAGATGATCCTCGAGCGCTATTTCAACATCAAGCCGCGGCCGCACTTGGCTGGTTACTATGTTTCTTGGCGGTGGAGACATTCGCGAGCAGTGCGTCGCTGGTTGAAGTCGATCGATGTGAAGCCGAAGGAATTCGTTCTGATGCACTATCAGGGGGACTCGGCGAAGAGCAGAAAGAACATGTGGCCAGAGATCGCCGAAGGATGTGTTCGCCGAATCTTGGCGACCGGTTATCGTGTTCTGATATTTGATTACGGCCGTCGTTCGCCCCTGGTTGATGACGAGAATGTGATTCGGGTCGACATACCGCTTGATCCCTCATTCACGGCGGCGCTGGCAAGTCTCTCGCGACTGAATTTAGGAATAGACTCTGGACCTGGTCACGTCTTCGGCAGTCGATTAGTCAAGACTCCTGCTGTGATCTACTGGCGGAAGCATCACCCGTACCAGTTTTATCAACCAGCCGATCAGGTGTTGCACTTACTGCCCAGGAACCATTGGCACTTCATTCGAGGTGATGAAGTCGACAGGAAACAAGCACTTAACTACTTCCACCGGCATTATCGTTCTCACCCGGTGGCTGGGCGGCCGCAGAAGGAGATTCCAGAGGTCATAGTGGAGCAGTTGACCACAATGTGACCGGCTCTGAGGTCCCTGGACTGCATAGATTTCGGGGTTCAAGGTGACTTAACAGTGAATTTTGATTGTTGCTGCCTCATGGTTTAGACTTGGGGAGTTCGAAAGGGGTGGCATATGGCGACAGACGCACGAAGTAAACTTGAAGAAGCTCGGGCCCAGGGGCTTTCCTACTATTGGGCATTCATGCACACGGGTGAGATCCGTGAGTTTCTTTCCCATTCTTGGGAAGCGGCCGGTTACAAGACCGATGCAATCGGCGCTGCCATTTGCGATGCAGATGGCTACACAGTTCACGCAGGCGAAGTACAAACACTGTCTGAGGACAACCCGCGACATGCAGAAATTGTTAGAGATCTACTTTCCTGAGGGTTGGGAATTCTTTTATGGCCTCTTAGGAATCGTGATCTTGATGAACGTGGTTGTTCTGGGGACTCACTGGGCTGTTGAGAAGTGGGCTGAGAAACGATCGGCATCTGGAAAGGCTGAAGAGGAGTAGTAAACGTGATGTTGTTGACAAGTCATATGTCTTTCAGATGGAGAGAACATGGATAAAGAGGAAGCCTTAGAGCTCTTCATGAGCGGGAAACGCGGGATCGACGAATGGAATCGCTACCGGAAAAGGGGTGTCGGTCATAGCAAGCTTCCTGACCTATCAGGCGAAGTCCTCTGTGGAATTCATCTTCCCGGAATCAATCTCACAAGCGTGAATCTTCAACATGCAAATCTCGAGAAATCCAATCTGGAAGGTGCCAATCTTGCTCACGCGAATCTTGTGAATGCAACTTTGACAAGAGCGAACCTCTCAGGGGCGAAACTCACTGCAACAAAACTTGCGGGGGCAGACTTGACGCTCGCTCATTTCTCGAGTGCCCATCTCTTTTCTACAGACCTTTCAGATGCTGTCTTGCATCACTCAGTCTTCATTCAGACCTTCTTCCAGGAATGTATTTTAAGGCGGGCGGATTTTACCAATGCCGAGCTAATGTTCTCATGCTTTGCGGATGTTGATTTGTCGGAAGTGGTTGGCCTGGAGTCTCTCAATATCAGTAATCCATCGACCATTGGCATCGATACGATCTATCGATCGAGAGGAAAAATTCCTGAGAAGTTTTTGAGAGACTGCGGTGTACCAGAGTCTTTCATGACTTACATGGGTTCACTAACTGGCAATGCATTAGAGTATTACAAATGCTTCATTTCGTTCACTGAGGCAGACGAAGAATTCTGCAAGAGACTCTACAACGACCTCAAAGGCGAAGGTGTTCGTTGTTGGCGATGGAAAGAAGATGCGAAGTGGGGCAAGTCGCTTATAGCCTCAATTGACGAAGCGGTTCGGCTCTATGATAAGCTCGTCATCATCCTTAGCGAAGACTCATTGAAGTCAGAGCCCGTGATCCGCGAAATAAAGCGGGCATTGCAGAAAGAGCAGCGTGAGGGGTGTGAAGTCTTATTTCCGATCCGCATCGACGATGCCATCTTCAGTTGGGACCACGCGTTGCAGGCGGATGTGACAGACAGGCACATAGGCGACTTTTGCAATTGGAATGATCCAACGAAGTACCGCAAGTCGCTTCAGAGACTGATTCAAGACCTAAGGGCATAACCAGAAAGAGAAGGGTAGAGCAGCACTTACCCACTTGGTGGCCGGTCTATAACGGCATTTATCTCCTCGATCTCAGCGTTCTGTGTCTCGACAATCTTCTCCAGCGTCCTGACCTGACCAATCAGATTCTCTCTCTCAAGCCGCATCCTGAGGAAGCGTTGGTTGAGTTGATTGTAGTCCTCCTGGGCCTGCCGGTACTTCAGCAGGAACTCCCCATCTTCGGACCCTGAGAAGCCTACAAAGAAGCCGAAGAAGAAACCGGCTGCCAGTGGAGGCAATGCGAGGATAATACTTTTAGATGTTTTCATTTGTGCAGAAGCCCTCGGGGAAGCACCTATTCAGCTCTAAATGCCCTCTCAGCTCGCCCATCTCATCCTGACATCAACGGACTGACTTTGGTTGGTCACTCCTCAGGGGATCGGTCAATCTCTCTCCTAATTGACTATCATCCAGTCGATCGAGGGGGGTAAGAGTGCACGAGTAGACACTGCTTTGCCAATGTCCAGTAATCCAGCACTAACCCGGCAAAAAAAAAATCGAGGGGGGCTTCCTCGGCCAATTGATTGGCTCCTGCCCCGATTGTGTCAGTAAGGTTAGTTGATAGAGTGACTTGCGCTTACTGAGCAGGTTGATGGTTCCACCCACTTAGGTGGAAAAAAGTTTATTGCGAAGTAAGCGCATTGCGCATGTTTGCCGTATAAAAGTTTGGGTTGATACTTATGTGAAGGGCCTTCCGATTATTTGGCACCAACAGAGCATCTGCCCCTGCCTAGTTTATCTCCAGACTGACCTATTGGGCATGTGCGCGAAAGGTGTGGACTTAATCAGGAGCTCATGCTTAAGTGTGGCTTTGAGACTCGTTATGCCTTCAAAAACTTATTCCGCCTATAGAGTCGAGTTACGACCATGCATAAAAAAACCCCCCGGCAAGTGTGCAGCTTGTCCGGGGGGCATCGAGTCCTCGTAAAAGCGATCAGTAGGTTTTTGGCGAACCCTTTATTGAACTCCCTTACAAGGATGAATCCATGACTAAAAGCGACACGTTACCCCCCCACCAAGACTCTACGCTGCTCAGATCAGCAATGTGCGTCACTTTTGTGGCTTTCCTAGCCGCTTTCGTGCATTATTCTGCTGGAGTTCGATGGGAAATCGCATTCCCAATCTTGTTGCCAGGCTTGTTCTACGCTGCGTGGAAAATAATAAAGCCCGGTCCACCTAATTCTAGCTGAGCGATGTTTAACGTCCAGCAGGATCCACCACCATGGGGGTGAATGGCAATCAAAAGCTGCATGCTAATTGACCAACAACGGGCGTCAAATAATGTCTTATCCTGCTGCGGCAAAGTCCGACTGTTTGCTTGGACGAGATATCGCGGGATTGGTAGTTCCTGACCGAAGGAGAGACGGGCGACCGATCCACAGTTTTGTGCTTGCAGGCAATGTGTTCATGTGTACACTTATGGCACGGTAGTCAAGGCTTCATTAGCCAGTTTTCCACGTCTGGCCCGGGCGTCAGCCGGTCGTCATGCACCGTCGAGCGTGACCTAGAGACAGCATCAGATTCTCTAAATCGTCGTCTCTTTTTCCTGTGCGAGGCTTCCATGAATAATTCCCAGCCTGATCGCCTGCGCGCTCGAGCGCGTGAGCTGGCGAGATCTCTCCCGGTTTTCGACGGCCTGGAGTCGTATGGAATTTCCAGCATTCCAGAGCCGCTCTCCGATACGTTCCTCGTCTTCGACGTCGTTGATGAGGCGGACCAAACTGTTGCCAGGTATCTCACCTCAGAGGAGTCTCACGTCGTCTGTGAGACCTACAACGGCTTTTCTAACGGCCGACGGCCTCATGTTCGGATGGTCCCTCGCTTAGCTCGAATAGCCAATCCCGAACATGATTGACCACGTCACGCAACCGCTGCTCAAAGATTTTCTGCCGGTAGACTGTGGCCATGTCGTCTTTGGCGTGGCCCATGATTGCGTCCACTGCGATTTGATCTTTCGTGTCGCCGGCGATGGTCTCAAAGGTGTGACGGAGGGCATAGAACGAAACATTTTTACGCCGAATGCCAATCTCCTTCAGCAGCTTGGTCATCTCCTTCGAAATTGGATTGTCACCGGTGTGCTTAGCGAAGCTGAGGCCGTATTTCGTGATGAAGAGCAGTTGCCGGTTGTCCTTCGACTTGGGTGTAGGGCGTTTGCTTTTTGCCATTCGCAAGGCACCGACCGTCTCTGGCCACAGCGGCACTCGACGCCGGATGCCAGTCTTCGGCCGCGGGTAGCTGCACCACCAGTCTTTCGTTCCGGACATCTGAAGGGCAGTCATGGGCAGGTTGGCGACGTCGGAGTTCCCGAAGCCGCAGTTGATTCCAAGCAGGATCATCGCCCTCAATGGGTACCTGGCCTTGGAGAGCAGCAGGCGAATCTCTTCAGCCTCGAACATCTTCTCACCTTGCTGATTACGCTCGATGCGAATTGTTCGTTTCGGTGGCCGCTTGAAAGACTGACCGTACCTCACCGGCCGGTCGATTAGCCCCTCGTCATATGCGTAGAGGAAGATCGAGCGGGCCCGTTGCATCTCGTTGGCCGTAGCGACGTTGCCCCGAGTCTTGGTGATGTCTGTCCGGAGCTTTGCGAAGTCAGTGGGCTGCAGTAGCTCGACGGGCGTGTTCTTCCCCAGCACTCGAACCACTCGCTTGCTGGTGTCGTGAAGATCCCTAAATGTCCGCTGGCTTATTTCACCGGAGGCCAAGCGTTTCTTGTGGTGATTCAAGAAGAGGTCGCAGGCCTCTGCAATCGAACAGCGGTCACCCGGGTCGACTGGAGTACGGCCGAGATAAAGGGCTTCTTTCTGGGCCTGATACAGCTCGAGCGCTCCGTCGGGATCTCTCCATGGACCGAAGTAATGGATCTTGCCCCGGATCTTCTTGGCCCATCGGCCGGTGGCATGGGCGTAGAGCGGGTAGTCTGGATACGGCTTGCCCGGTTTGGTATCATTCTTAGGCATTCGTGGCACCCCATTTCGACCTTCTATTAGAAGTGGCGTCAAAACGGGCGTCAAACGAATGAGAGGCGATTGACACAAGTCGCCTCAAGTCTATACTATCAAGCACCTTGCACCCCTAGCTCAATTGGATAGAGCATCGGTCTACGGAACCGAAGGTTAGAGGTTCGAATCCTCTGGGGTGTACTTCTTCAATCGGTGCCATCGTGTGCCGCTCAGTGCTTAAGGGCGTCTCTGCCTTTGAGTTAGAACCAGCCTCTTCTAGCTCGATCTCGATTATCCCGATTGCTCCCGTGTCATGGTGTGTCACGCAATGCGCCTCAAAGTCAGGAGTTAGTGCAAGCCACAGTGCAAGTTCGATGGTTGAATCCATCGGGATATCGGACCGAAGGTCGGCCATCTCAGGCGGACTCGGGAGTGCGGCAATGGCTTCCGCCTGGTGTGAGATTTCCAGGTGCGTGTAGACGTTCATCGTCAAATTGATATCGGAATGCCTCGCCAACACCTGAACTCGCTGCGGGGCGATATCGGCCCTGGCCAGGTTCGAGATGAACGTATGCCGGTTGGCGTGAAAGTCGGCATATAAGCCTTGCTCATCACAGTAGGGCACACCTGCAGCTTCCAGGTCAGATTTTATCATCTTGGCAGTATTGCGGAACCAGCCGGCTCGAGTACGAAGCTCGAAGAGGGGCTGATCTTTGGCTAGCCGGGGTCGCTCACGAAGCCATTCTTTCAGCCTGGCGACGACCTCGGTATGCAGCGGCACGCTATCTTCACGACGGCGTTTGCTATACGCAGCGGCAACCGTCACCATCGGATGCGGGCCATCAAGAACGAATGACTTGAGAGTCAGTGAGGCCAGCTCAGCACGACGGAAGCCGGTCCAGGATGCCAGAACGTAGAGCATAGCCCGATCAGGCCCAGAGAGACCTTGCACTGGTGGGCCGTCTTTTGCGGCCTTGATGAGAGCCACGAATTCTTCCGTGGACAATGCTCGTCTATCGTGCCGGCGGTCAGTCTCGACGCTCAGCCTTTGCAAATGACCGAAGGGGCTCTTGAGAATGCGATCATTCAGAGACAGCCAGCGACCGAATGCCTTGATTGCATCCTGGTAGAAGTTGCTCGTCCGTATGGAGAACCGATCTTCCGCACGCCGGCGATCAGACAGCCACTGAACGACCTTCGCAGCATCCAGGTCGTTGAGCCTTTGAAACCGGCAGCCCTCGGTAAGCAGCGTAAGACGCTTTAGCGTCTGCTCTACATGCTTGGACGTACTTCCCTTGGCTTCAAGATGCCGCTTGTAATCATCTAGATGCTCGCTAAGGGGCTTGCGTCTATGCGCCTCGTACTTGTCGACCAGCCCTGCCTCTTGTCGCTCCGCCTGGCGAACCAGGTCGGTAAGCATTGCCTGTGCCGCGGCTTTGTCCTTTGCGAGAGGCACACGCTTCACGACGCCATCGGCGTTGCGGTACTGACCGTACCATTTAGTCGCCTTGCGGGTCGTCTTATTCCCGGTGCTCTTTTCGACGTGCGTGTAAGTTGGCTTAAACAGGCTGGCCATAATTAGCTACTCATTCGGTCCCACTCCTTCATCGCTGGACAACCCGCTTCGATCCAGCTTTTCAACTCACCGGCCCGCCAGCGGACATTGCCACCAAGACGGAGCGGACGCAGTAGTTTACCCGAACTTAGCAACCGCCACACGGACCTGCGGGAAATCTGCAGCAATTCAGCGACACGATCAGCAGTGAGGAGGAGGGCATCGTCAAATGTCATGCTGCACGACCTTTCGACGAGCACTGGTATTCAGTTGCCAGGTGCCGCAAGGTGCGAATGAATTCCTGCTGTTCGACCTCGGTTCCTCCAGCCTGACGCATCTGTTCAGCAGCAAGTGCAATAAACTCCTCGTAATCCTGTGGAACGTGTCCCTGCTGCAAGATTGCATTCTTTAAGCATCCGCGTCCTTGCTTGATCAACTGCAGAGGGTCGACTGCCTCTCGGTTGATCGGAACTAGCTCAGCAGTCGGCTCGCAGTAAACCAATGCAAACGCTTGTTGAACCGCTTCCCACACAGGATGAATCCCCGAACGAGAATGATTCTTGTTCGCCCGGTCTACGGGCCGCGCGGTTAGGCGGAACCAGTTGTGAGTCAACTTATGGGACACGGCACCCGAGTTAAGTAGGAAGTCATGCGGGGAGCTGATGCCATGCTCACGAAGCCAGGGGCGACTAACCTGAAACTCGATTCTAGTGGCCGCTTCTGGAATTGCTCCGCCCCAACGCCGATCAATAAGGCCTTGCAGATACAAACGGTCTGTTTTGCCTATATGTGCTCTGAGCTTGTCATAAATGGTCATGTAGAGTGGACTGTGTCCCGCTCGTAAGCCCGTCTGCTCTCCGGTCTTTAGATTCGTATAGGGAACCACTTCGGACGCACGGCAGACAAAGTAACCCGCTTCCGCTAGATTTTGAAGTACCCCTACGTGTAAGCCAGAGATATCAATAGTTAGGTCTACGCGTGAGAGTATTTCTTTCGTGATGACTCCACCTAGTGCCTCAATAAAAGCACGACTCTTGATATAGCCCTCCTCTGGGCCCAGCAGAAGACAAGTAGTACCAGTCAACTGAAGCCACACGTTTGGCAAGCTTTCTGTTGCGACAGGGCGATTCGCAATTGCGATCGGTATGCCGTCATAACTCAGTTGGTACTCGAAATGCTGTCCCCGTTGCTTGCCGCGATTACGCCCGGTGCGACGTAAGGTAATGGATCCGAGGCCTTCCAACTCGACAATCATCGAAGAGTCGCTTCCTTCTTGCAGGATGCGTTTCTTTGATTCTAGAAGCTCAATGAACTGAGCAAAGCGATCCTGATGCCACCAGACAAAGGCAGTCCACTCGAACCAGTCTAGGCCACCTGCTGCGAGATACTCAGGGAAGCCATCTAACGCGAACTGACTACTATGGGGGTGGGTGTTACTGGGGCACCCACCCGATTCGAGCGATTCCAGCGCAGCCGCCGTGCCCGTGCCTTCTGGGCGGCACGGGGCCCCGTCGGCTGCCTCTAGCTTTTCGCTATCGAATTGCTGGTCATCCTGGTCAGACGACCGCACGCCAGCGTCTGGTAGTCCATCCTTGGATTCGTGACTTAAAGAACACGACTCCTCAGGCAATCGATCCTTCGATTGTCGTTTCCTCATTTCGCGACCCCCCGCGTTAAACTGGTTTCGGCCTAAGCACACTCCTCACAAGACTCACGCCAACTGTACGGCCAACCAGGGAACCAGAGGCCCCAGGTTCCCTGGACCCTCCTTCCCTCTTCTCTGTTGCCTTTGGCTGTACGGAGCTGCACGAAACTCACTTGACTAAGCAGCACTCCGATTTCCTGAATCGGCTTGATCACTATCTGATGACGCATCCTCTGGATTGCGGGCATAGAGCTTTGACATAACAGCCTTGCCCCACTTACTGCCTACCAACTCGATGAGCCAGCCATGATCAGCAACTGCCCATTCGATGAGGAGTGCTGCCATTTGTACCTGCGAATGATTAAGGCGCTTGCCGAGCACCTCGACTCTTTCCGCAACTTCGAGTGAGATAGGGACCTGCAAGCGTATGGAACCTTTTTCAACCTTCTCTGCTTTCTCTTTTCTTGCGAGGATTCCAGCCGTTCGTCCTACTGTGCCAACGACAAATTTCTCTAACCAACCACTTAGGGTGCTCTGATTTCGAACAGCCTCCTCAAGAAGCCTTGCAGCCATCCAGGCCTGACTACGCTCCAGAATGCTAGCGAGACGAGCTACCTCGTCGGCGACATCTTCCTGCACTGGAATTTGAAACCGGATGCTGCCATCTCTGCCCATTGTGTTTTCTCCTTGCTGGCGATTTCGTGACCAGCTTAAAGGCCACTAGCCTTTATTTCGGTTTGGAGCCACTCAAACTTGAGTGATGGTGTGTTGCCCCTGAGGGCCGATGGAGCCGACACCTAGAGGCAGAGAAGCTGTCCGGCGAGCTACAATCGGCACGGGGTCGAGATACTTTCCGGCACTGCGGATGTACTTTGCGGCGTACGACCGCTCCAGTCGACCCGTTGCCGGATTTGCTACCTGGTGCCTGGCCTTAGGACTATCCCCCGCAGACAGAGAGTGGGCCGCGTAATTTGAAAACTCGGCGAGCGAATGAAGCGAAAACTAGGCGCCTTAATCAGACAGTTTCTGAAGATTTGCGTTTGACACCAAGGGTGGTAATAATACGGACTTCTATAGCTCGGCGGCGTAGCCGGAACAGACTCCAAATTTAAAATCCCGGGTAGAGGCACTGTATTGTAAAGGAGTAAGCTAGTGAGGTTCTATCAAATCCGCGCGATTACTTATTGTGTAGTGACGTTGCTCTTCTCACAGAGCGTAGTATTTTCGGCTCAAATCTACTGGACGGAGACTGCCGAGCGCATCGGTGGAACTCAAGCAGTCATCCGCCGTTCTAACCTCGACGGCTCGAACGTTACAGACGTTGTGACCACGGGGCTCGATTCTCCGCGACAAATCGCAATCGATTCGTCAACCGGGATGATGTACTGGGCTGACTCGGACACAATTCGCCGGGCGAATCTTGATGGGTCGGGAATCGTCGATCTTATTGCCGGTGAAGATGGTGCATACGGAATCGCGCTCGATGTCCAAAGCGGCAAGATCTACTGGACGAATTTTGAAGGCAACGAAATCCGCCGAGCTGATCTCGATGGCAACAACAGTGAGACGCTGCTCGATACCGGTTCCATGGGCCCTACGGGAATCGCCCTCGATACCGTTAATCGGGAGATTTACTTTACATCGAATACAAACAACTTCGCTGTGCGCCGGTTAGATTTCGATGGGCTCAATCCGGTCGAAGTTGTCACTACTCAGATACGGGGATCAGGCGGAATCGCGCTTGATGTGTCTGACAGCAAGATGTACTACACCAGCTACAATGAGGACATTAGCCGTCGTGCTGATTTGGACGGCGCGAACGTCGAAGACCTCTACACCGGACTTGTATCGCCAATGGACGTTGCTCTAGACATACCGGCGGGAATGATGTACTGGGTCGATTTCGATGCTGGTAACAATGGGGCGGTTCTTCGGGCGCCAATGGATGGGAACGGTCCGACTGAGTTGCTTTTCGAGGGCGCTAACAATCCCCTGGGCATCACAATCCATGTGCCTGAACCATCAACTGCAACAATGCTAGCCATTGGGGTGGCGCTTGTTTTCACTCGGGCTTTTTTCGCACGTCGAATGTAACCAATGCTGCTGAGATCGGCCGTAATGTCTGGGATCTCTCCTCGCTTAGCTGCACCTTCTCGTCAATTCTGTCGCTATGGTCGGTTGGTAGAAGAATTACTTCCGGAGCAAGAGGGACAGCCGAATTTATAAATGCTGCTTGCTTACCCAGCTTCGTAATCGACTCGTCGAATGCAAGCTACGGTGCAAGGATTTCTTCTGCCCCGACTTAACCCGCTACGTGGTAAAAGACTTGCGCGGCTTCGTTGCCGGTCTACGGAACCGAAGGTTAGAGGTTCGAATCCTCTGGGGTGTACTTCCGACTTTGTCTGTCATGCGTGGACAAGAGGCGTCAACCTCTGACCGACTAAGCTCTTCGGTCGAGTCCGTGGGCTCGGCCCTATTTTCTGAAGCCCCGCCAGGCGGCGCCAACTCGTGCCCATTTTTGCCAGGTCGAGACTCTTGAGCGCTACTATTCTTCTTCCAGCCCTCAGTCTCCGGTTTTGAAACGCTGTTCGTGGGTGTGCCAGTTGAACGGAGGACGGGCACGGATGGCAACCGTTTTACCGCATCTACTTGCTCCGCTAAATCGGAGTGCGTGTAGGTGTTTATCGTCAGTCTTACATCTGAATGTCGAGCCAGTGTCTGGGCCGTCTTGGCTGACACTCCGCCTCGTCCGAGATTTGTGATGAAGGTGTGCCGATTCGCATGGAAATCAGCAAACTTTCCGCGACTGTCTTTGTACGTCAGAAAATCCGAGAGTTCCCGCTCCAACCGCTCCGAATCCGAACCGACCTCGTCAAGCCAGATCTGGCGCGCAGCTTCGAGATCTATCCTCATCATTTTCGCGGTTTTTCGTTCGGTACCTCCTGGCACCCTTCCCGAGACTGGAAAGAGGAGTTGGTCTTTCGGAAAATCTTCCTTGTTAGCTAGCCAGTCCTTCAACCGTTCAACGACATCAGGGTGCAGAACCTGTACGTCCTGCCGTTTTCGCTTGCTGTAGTCGGCCTGTACTGTCGCCGTTGGTGTTTCACTTTCAAGGTCGAGTGACCGAAGCGTCAAACTGCCAATCTCGCCCTTTCGGTAACCTGTCCAAGCGGACAGAACATACATCATCGCACGATCTGGACCTGGGATATTCTCAACCGTTTTGCCATTGAACGCAGCATTCACCAACCGCTCAAACTCCTCTGCTGATAGCGGACGTCGGTCGTGCCGCCGGTCAGTCTGTACGTTAAGCCTGCTTACATCTGCGACGGGGTCTGCTTGTAGTCGGTTGGTTCGGACGAGCCATCGACTGAATTGTCTCATCGCTTGTAGATAGTGATTACTCGTTTACCTGCTCAATCCCTCAGAGCGAAACTTGCCGAGGACGTTTTCAAGCTCAGTGGAGTTGAGATCGCTGAGTTTCGTCCAACTTGCCTGGGTTACGATTCGCCTAATCTTGGTTGTAACCTCTCGCTGCTGCTTCTCCGTCGATTCGCGATGCTTTAGGTGCTTCTCAAAGTCAGCAATGCACTGGACGAGTGGAAATTCTTTCAAATTGTCGATTTCAGCTTCGGCGAGGCCGAGACGGATACGTTTTGCTTTCTCCTCAAGGAGGGTCGCCATCCGCATGGTTTCTGATTTGTCGGTGAATCCTTTGACGCATCGGCGACGTCCGCTCTCGTCCTTGTAAGCGGCATACCAAAAGGCACGTTTATTATTGTGTCGCTTATAGACGGAAGCCATATCGTATCTCTTCGTTGCTACTTTCCGATTAATGCGCGAGTTTGGCCTGTTATTGCTTCGCTTCGTCGGGTGTTGGGCACCGTTGGGCGATCCATTCTTCGACTTCGTCGAGTCGCCAACGGACGCTACCGCCGAGACGAATGGGCGGAATCAATCGTCCGGAACTCTGCATGCGGTTTAGTGTCCGTGTTGATACGCTCAGCATCTTGGCAAGTTCTGTAGCCCGAATAAGGCGTCGCGGCGAAGTTGAACCGCCAGAGTCGTCAAATACGATCACGATTTCCCTCGTTATCTGTGTCAATGCTGCAAGACAGTGCACTGGGCTTCGTCAGTCGGTTACGACTGGGTATCGCTTGGCCGGAGTGACGCGGCACATTTCACGGCCCCGCCAGTGCCGTTACTTGCCGTGATGCAAATACTTTTTCGCCAGCTTGCGACTGACAGTTAAAAACCGGATCAGGCTTGGTGCAGCGAACCGCCAGTTAATCAAGCGTGGTTCCGAAAGGCTCCTCAAGAAACGACCCTCTCCAGCTTAGTACTCATTTTAGCATGCATATTGTCGCTCGACAATACCCTTTCGAAGAGAATTCGGATCAGCTCCTGTTGACACCTGTAGGCCGTGGAATTTCTCGAAAGAGAGCCAGTTCCTCGACAGAGAAAAAAAGCTTGCCGTCAATTTTGGTCCCAAAATCTAGTGTTTCGTCGTTTGCGAGCCGCTGGACATTTTGGCGAGTCATACCAAGGAACACGTGGGCGGAGTTCATGCTGACGACGGGCAAGCGAAGAAGCATCCTCTGATCATGAATTCCAAGCTTCTTGCCGATCTCATCTAAAGACGCTCCTTTTGCTTCAAGTACTTTTCTCAACGCAGCAACCCCTTTCTGGAACTTGCTGCTTGCTCGTAGTTTTTCTAGATCAGCAACATCGCCTAATCGGATTATCTGCTTGGTCTTGGACTCCTCAATCGCCCTGCTCGAATCGTCGTGCGCTTGTCGGTGCTTATCAAAAGGTACTAATGAGACTTTAATGGAGCCACTTCTGCTCTTGAGAGTCCGGATCTCCTTGACTCGGAATTCCAACGCTGCCAGTCCTTCCGGGCTGAGTACGACTGGTTCCGCGAACTCGATAACCAGCCCTTGGGCAGAAAGCCCAGTGACTTTTGCCCGATACTCGTCGGCGTCTGTCAACAGTCGGCTGATTGCACGGAGAGCCTGCCCCCACGAATCAATTTCTTGTAGCGCGTCGATAAATCCCGAGTCTTTGACTCGGCTTGCACAGGGCGTCGTTGTGGATTCAGGGCTCTTAGATTTCTTTGCCAAGGTCGCACTCCTGCAAACTGGTCTATAAGCTGCGGGCTGAAAAACTTAGTGTTAATTTTTTCAGGTTCGTGGCTAGTCTACTCCGTTTGAGTGCGAAATGAAGCCTTGGTTACGCTGTCTATGGGCTAGCGACTGTATTGGTTCGATAAGAAGCGGCCCGGTAAGAAGGGTTCCAACAACGACTGGCAGTCGCCGTCGGATGCAGAGAATGGCATCGCGAAGATGAAAGACGGCGTAAGGCCGAGAACGTGGTCGATGCGAAGACCGATCTGGTGTTGGTGGCCGTCGTTTACCAGGCCAACTGCGGCGACGCCGAGACGCTTGCGGAAAGTGTCGTGCAAGCGCAGAGGAACATCATACAGGCCGACAGCCCAGCAAACATTCGCGACGTGATGGCCGACGAAAATTATCACTCAGCCGAAACGTTGGCCCTGTTGAACGGCCCTTGTGGCCTGCGGACAGACATCCCGGAACCGAAACGCAAGCGACGTTGGCAGTGGAGCAAGCGGGGTGAAAAACAGCGTCGCCCGGTGACCGCCAATCGCCGTCAAGTGCGAGAAGAACGGGGCAAGCGATTGCAACTAACCCGCAGTGGGTTGAGCGAACGGAGCTTCGCGCACGTGTGCGAGACCGGCGGCAGTCGACGCTGCTGGTTGTGAGGTCTTGTAACTGTCGGCAAACGTTACCCTCTCCGAAAAGTCGTCCGCAAACTGGGCCTCGTCATACGCAAGTTGTTCAGAATGGATACGCCGCGAGGCTTGCAATCTGCATCGGTCGCTTTGTCGCTTGCGTATCTTGCCCGAGCTTGGTTCGCCAATCTGTGGACCGAGTTCCACCGCCCAACACGTCCATCACTTCTTCGCTTCCTGACCGCCCTGAAAACCCACCAGATCAGCCACACTTCACCCTCGACGCGTAAGACCAACATTTCAACGGATGGGGATGAAAGCTTGCCGCCTCTGGTGGGATTAGAATCGAGCTTGATTACACCATAATTCTTCTCCCGGAGGCGAGGAGTCATGGCGATTGTAGTAACGTACGTAGGACTAGAATATCACCAAGATAGCGTGTGCAGGTTTGCGTGCTGAATCGATCGGGGGAGCTATTGTTCAATCGCTCGGTGGCGAAAGATGCGGCGGTTGTGACGCGCGCCACTTCATGGCATGGTCGTCGGCGACACCTGGCAATCGAAGCCTGTTGTGGCTCGGCGGACCTCGCCGACGAGCTAACTGGCCGTTACGGCCTCACGGTGCAGATGGTCCACCCAGGCTACGCCACCCGCATGCAACGCTCGCCCAAAAAGACTGACTGGGGCGACGCCCATTTGCTGGCCGACCTGACACGGATCAACTACCTGCCTCGGGTCTGACTAGCACCGGAATCGATCCGCCAACTGCGTCGGCTGATCCATCACCGCGCACAGCTCGTTCGACGTCTCAAGGACGTCAAGCTCTGTATCCGAGGAATCCGTTTGGAGTGTATCGATGCCAATGCGTGGACGAATGCGTTACTCTTGCGGATCGCTTCGACGGACCTTGCCCCGAGCGACCGTTGGCTCATGGTGGATAACCTCAAAAAACTCACCTCTCTGAGGCGACGCAGCAAAGAGGTCGCAGATTACATCGTAGACCGAGTGGAGGACGATCCAATTTTCGTGAGGCTGATGACCTTCCAGGGCGTCGACCTCGTGACCGCTCCGACAATGCGGGCTGAGATCGGCGACTTCACACGGTTCGACACGGGTAAACAACTCGCCCGATTCTGTAGCGTCACGCTACGCAACACGTCCAGCGGAACTCGCCAGGCCGACTTCGACTTGATCAGGGTGGGCGCGCCCGAATTGCGGCAGGTGCTCATCGAGTTGGCGCACCGGCTGATTTGACGAGGCGTGCCGCGTTGTGGCGAACTGGACTTCAGCATGCTTCAGCGAGGAAACCCAAGAATGTGGTGATTGCGGCGGCCACCAACCGCTGGATGCGGTGACTGCATCCTCAAGTACAAAGGGACCCGGCGACCTCGACTTCGGCTCAACAAGAGGGGGCCGCCCTCACTATCGTATCGGCCTGATTGGGGTGGAGTTCGACACGATGGCGATGACTGGAGTGGCTCACCCAAACCACTTTCTAAGGAACATCAAGTCAAGCGATTTTCGGAATCCGGCGGGGAAGTAAGCTCGAAGCAGCCCGCGGCATCAAGGCTCGTCAATGGATAGAGCAGCTTCCGCCAACTTCGAAAAACCCACAAGGACAACCCGCAAATCACACAAGGACGCTCGGATAGAGATAGGGAACCTCCGAAAAAGCGATTGAAACCGACAACATTTTTATAGAGGGCCGCTAGGCGGTCGGAACTGGCTCCCAAGAGCCCTTAGCTCAGGTGCGGATGCCAATGGGGCGTGAATCCCTCATGCCTCATCTGGATTCAAATAGTCTGCGGATCACGAGGGGAAGTGTTCGGCTTGCTGCATGCGAAAGTTTTTGTAAATCGCTGTCATGTTGGGACTTACGCTGCCAGTGATTTGTTTCGAGCATTGGGTCCTTCTTGTGGGGAGATTACTTTCATTAAAAAAATCTTCAGCTGCGTATAGGTCTTCAGAGTGCCGTTCACGAAACAGTATTTCCCCTTTGCAGGGCCCTATTAACGGTGCTCGGAGTCTCACCTCTGGTGGGGGGCTGCCATGCTTGCGGATTCACTATTGAAAGGCCTAGCGATGAGTAGTTTGCCAACCGTCGAAAACTCTACGGACTGCGGCGGCTGCTGCAGGGAGCAAGAATCTCCTCCTGGTTATGTGTCGTTCCCCCTCACTTCAGAGGACGCCATTAGCTTCGTAATCTCGGAGCATTGGCAGCGGGTATTACTGGTCCCCGAGAAACTCCAAGCTGAGCTCGATGCGTTTCTTGATGATTCTTTCCATTCACATTCAGTGCCGAGGAAAATGGATGAATATCTCAATGCATACAAGAAGGAACTTCAGCTTGCCACCTCATTCCTATCATATTTGATGCCTACGCTTATTGAAAATGCGGGAGAATACAAACAGGTACTCATGCTGCCAGACGGAGCGAGAGGCGAGCTCATCGAGTATCGAAATATCCCTCGTGGGGCAGCTCATCCACGAAACGGTATCTATCTGTGGTTCTACGCGCAAGATCGAAAGTGTAGGTATACCAAGCTGCATCCATCGATCTGGGACGAGTTCGAAGTTGGATCACATGAGTGTCTCGATTGGTGTGAGCAGTACAAGGACTCGCTCATCGATGCTTTTTCTTGAGACGAACAACCGTACAAGCATGATGGACCCAGTAAGCCATAGAATTACCGTTAGGAGAAGTCACTTGATGCAATTGCAGCACTACCGAATAGCAATCGAATCTGTTCACGCCCAACTCGATCCAGACTTTGCGACGTACTTCCCACGACACCTCAGAGCCGATTTGAACGGCTCGATGACAATCATCTCGCAATCAGAGCACAGGGTAGTGTCTCCACAAATTGTCTTCAAAGGGACGTACTTCAGTCGCACGTTGATCCAAACACGGCATGACGACGTCGGTGCGTACCAAATTCAAACCTTTCGTTTGGACTCTGGAAGCTGTCTTGTTCTGCGGCCGATTCATGGGCAATTGGAATCAGAGTCTAATGAGCATCACTTTTGTCCAGCCAGTGAAATAGGCCCCGTCTTCCAAGAATGCCTTTCGGCCTATTTGCTCACGCGCTTTGGGAACCGTCCCCTGCAAAGACTCTTGCCGGCGAAGGAGGCCACTGATTTGCTGGACGAGCAAGAGGAAGAAATTACCAGGTTGTGGCGCGAAGCAAAGAAGCAGGAAAGAAGGAGGCGGAAGAACGATGCAGATTGGTGGAAAAGGGGAGAGGAACCGCCGTACTAGTCAAAGGTTTTCTCGGACTTGAATCAGGAACCGACTGGATCGCTCTCGAGCCAATCAACAGTTGATTCAAAATTGACATCTACCATTGAATGGGCTGAACTATGTTCTCGAGGTTTAAAGAATCTTTTCCCTCTGTAGTTGCTTGCGTTCTGAGAGTGGGTGGAATGGCGGCACTGATTCTGCTATTCCCAGTTGCCCTGTTTCTGAAACTCTCCCTCACGCTCATCTTGCTATTGGCGGAACTTCTGGCAGAGGCTTTGAGCGACTGGAAGAGCGTTCTTTCGGAGTTTCATCGTCGCACCGTGCCGCTTGAGATGAGACGAGGGCGGCCTCGAAATGACGGTGTCTTTGGGGGAGTCGGAGCTAAAATCATTTCTCAGCTTCCTCACAATCAAAGGCTTCTCGCGGAAGCACCAGCAGTCATTCGAGAGGCTCTCAAGAGCGGTCCGGTCGTCAAAGCACCCTATGGTTGCTTCAATCCCAAGTTGCGCTACATCGAGTGGATCAGTGACGATGACAGGCGGGTGATTGCTCACGTGCCGACCGGAACACCTGACCGAGATGCGTTTTGGTTGTATGGCTTTTGCTACCAAAGGGAAGCGAAGCGAGCTTTTGAAATCTTTGTGCCTATTTACAAGAAGCAGATCGAAAACTGAGCCACTCGCTAAAACGCCCATCTTACCTGATGGAATGAGGCTGATGTGAGGGGCACTTCAATCAATGCAAAGTCGCACCTGGGTGACCCACCACCAAAAACTGGTCCAGCCTTCGGGTGAAAATCCAAGGCCTCAACTGGCCAGGCTAGCCTGGCCAGTTGAAACGAATTCCTTGGGGGCCAGGTTGCCCAAGGCGCTATGGGGTCGGTGTTCGTTATAGTCGATTCGCCAAGCCGTTATCTTCTCCTGGGCGTCTTCCAATGACAAGAACCAGTTTTCGTTCAAGCACTCGGCACGCAATCGACCGTTGAATGATTCAATCAAAGCATTGTCTGTAGGCTTTCCAGGTTTACTGAAGTCGAGTTGGACACCGTTGACATAGGCCCACTGATCCAATGCCTTGGAAGTAAACTCCGTGCCGTTGTCCACACGGATCGTCTTGGGCAAGCTTCCACGCTCCGCACCAAGCCGAGTCAGCACACGAGCAACATCCTGGCCGCGGACCCGTTGGCCAACTTCGATTGCCAAACTCTCACGTGAAAAGTGATCCACTATCGCTAACACCCTGAGCCGGCGACCGTCGAACAGTTCGTCGGCCATGAAATCCATGGCCCAACAATCATTGATCTGCTCGACCTCGGGGCGATGCACCCGAGTTCGGCAGGTCACCCGTCGGTTGGGCGTTCGAGTCCTTAAACCCAAGTTCTCCTCGCAGTACAGCCGGTAGACTCGCTTGGTGTTGATCTGCCAACATTCCCGCTTGAGAAGTATGTGTAGACGGCGATAGCCGTATCGTACTCTGGCGTCAGCCAGTTCCTTCAATCGCATCCTCAAAGCTGCCTGCTCGTCTCGTCGAGGTTGATATCGCTGGCTCGATCGGGCGGCATGTAAAACTCGACAAGCCTTCCGCTCGCTGATCCCATAGTGTACTTGAGCTTCCTGGACCAACTCACGGCGACGCGCAGGCTTTGCAGAGTTTTGACAACACATCCTGCAGGATCTGCTTGTCGAGGCTCAGATCGGCAACCAACACCTTGAGCTTCTTGCTTTCTCCTTACAGGAGCTTGAGACGACGTACTTCCGATGCGTCCAAACCACCGAACTTCTTCTTCCAGCGATAGAACGTCTTCTGGCTGATACCCAGCTTTCGGCAGACTTCTTCCACCGGCAACCCGGAATCCGCCTGCTTCAATGCAAATGCAATCTGCTGATCCGTAAATCGAGATTTCTTCATGGCCTGTGTCTCCCTTTCTGCATGGCCAAAGTTTCGCCTCAGATTCTCATAACAGGTGGATCTCTTCTTGGGAAGCAGGTCAATCATCAACGAATCAAGAAGGAGTAACTAAATGAGCAACAGCAGCGACGAACCAGTCCAGGAGGTGCGCGACGGTGGCCTGAGGATTGCTATCTTCCGCAACGAGCCCAAGCAGAAGGGGGACCGCCCCCGCTATTCGGGCAAGCTGACTAGGAGCTACCGCGATACCCAAGGGGAATGGCGCGAAACAGAGTAACTGTCGGGGACCGAGTTCCTTCGCGCGGCGCGACTCATGGAGAAGGCCTACGAGGCCGAGCTTTCACAGAAAGCGACGAATAAGAACGAACCGCCAGAACCGACCGCATAGAGATCTTTTAGGGCCGGGCCGATGTCATTGCGGCATCGGCCTGCCTTGATTCGATCAGACGGCGGTGAATACCACCTCAGCGCCGACGGCCTCTTGTCTCTCCGCTGCGGTCAATGCAACCGCCCGGCCGAATGAGAAAGCGAAACTCGCGTCGGTTAAATCACCTCAGTTTGCCTTCGCTAGCAACTGAAGATGGCTCGACTTAAGGGACAGGCCTGCAGGGATTCGACTGGTCTCATCCTAAGCCGGGCTCAGGAGTCTTGATTCGTTCCACGAGAGCTGTTCAAGGAGTCCAGCCTGGTGGGCGTTGCGGATCGATGCGAATCCGAGGCTTGACGTCCCTAGTTCTCGCTGGTCGCAGCTTGGGCGGATGTCGAATTGGCACGCTCGTAACGGAGCGATAGTGCCCGTTGCACGTCCTTGTCACTGGCATAAGCAAGAGCCGCTTCGCGCATCTCGGTTGTCCATTCGGTGCGTTCGTGGATTGCACCAACGACCGCGTCCCCCGACCCGAGATCTGCAAAGAGTCGTCTCACCTCAAAGCGGGCCCACTTTTCATCGACGGAATAGATCGTGGCATCCCAAACCTTGACCTTGCCGTCGGCGAAGCCCGCAGCAAGGCGCTGCCTGACTGGACTGAAAGCAACGCTTTTGGCGCGGAAGCAGTCACTTTTCAGCGTCCTCACTTCCTCCCCGGTCTCGACATCCCAGAGTTTGACCGTGTGGTCCCAACTTCCCGAAGCCAGTCGCCTCCCGTCAGGACTGAATGCCACGCTCGACACGTGAAATGAGTGACCGACGAGCGTTCTGACTTCTTCGCTCGATTCGATATCCCACAGCTTAATCGTGTTGTCGACGGATCCAGACGCGAGTTGCCGACCATCTGGGCTAAAGGCTACACATATGACCGAATTGGAGTGACCAGCTAGCGTTCTGATTTCCTCGCCCGAATCGACATTCCAAAATTTGATCATGCCATTATGCAGTTCGTTCTCCCAGTCGTAGCTCCCTCCGGATACAAGCCGCCGACCGTCTGGACTAAAGGCCACGCTCTCGACGGATGCTGTGTGACCATCAAGAGTCTTCAATTCATCCCCGGTCGCGACATCCCAAAGCTTGATCGTCTGATCATAGCTTCCCGACGCCAGCCGTCGGCCATCTGGGCTAAAGGCCACGCTCAGAATCGAATCGGCATGACCTTCGAGTGTCATTACTTCATCGCCCGTTACAACATCCCACAGTCTGATAGTGCCGCTCGGTGGGCCATTCCCAGAGTCAAATAATCCCTCTCCCGATGCTAGGAGTCGGCCGTTCGGGCTGAAAGCAACACTGTTAACCCAGGCACCGACTTGACCGGGGAGCGTTCTCGATTCCTCCCCCGTATCAGCATCCCACAGCCTGATCGCGCCGTCGCTACTTCCCGTAGCCAGTCGCCTCCCGCCAGGACTGAATGCTACGCTTTGGATTTTCACACGGGGACCGTTGAGAGTCCTCACGTACTCGTCCATCTCGATGTCCCACAGTTTGATCGAGTTGTCTGCACTTCCTGACGCAAGTCGCCGGCCGTCGGGACTAAAAACCACGCTTTGGACGTAGAAGGAGTGACCTTCGAGCGTCCTCATTTGTTCGCCCGTCTCGACGTCCCAGAGTTTTATCGTGTGGTCTGCGTGTCCCGACGCTAGCCACTCCCCGTCGGGGCTGAAAGCCACGCTGTAAGCTGTGCCTTCAAGTGACCTCTCTTCCTCACCGGTCTCGACATTCCACACCTTGATCGTGTCATCACCATTGCAACAAGTCGCTAGCTGCCGCCCGTCCGGACTGAAGGCCACACTCCTCGCTGGTGCGGAGCTACCAGCAAGCGTCATGATCTCCTCACCCTTCTTAACCTTCCACAGTCTGATTCCGTGATCGCCTGCAGAAGCCAGACGCTGCCCGTCCGGGCTGAATGCGACGTCCTTGACCGCACGCGAATAAGCTTCGAGTACCCTTTCTTCCTCGCCCGTTTGCACGTCCCACAGTCTGATGGTGCCGTCGTCCCGATTGTTCCCCCAGTCAACTCCCCCACCCGATGCTATTGAGCGCACGTCGGGACTAAAGACCACACTGCTGACCCAGCCGATATGACCGACTAGTGTCTTCACCGCTTCGCCGGTCTCGACATCCCACACTTTGATCGTCTTGTCTGCGCTGCCCGAAGCCAGTCGCCTGCCATCGGGGCTGAAGGCCACGCTGTCAATTCGACTTGTGTGCCCGGCAAGTGTCTTTATTTCTTTGCCCGTCTCGACCTCCCACAGTTTGATCGTGTCATCACCACTGCCCCCCGACGCTAGCCGCCGCCCGTCCGGGCTGAAGGCCACACATTCGACCCCGTAACTATGACCAACAAGGGTCCTTAACTCGAGGTGGGCGAGCCTCCATTGATAGAACCATTCCCAACCACGCAAATCCCCTTCACCGGGCTGCGGCCTCGTGACTTCTAGTAGGCGTACCACGTCACGAAAATCTCTGTCCTCCCATCGCTGTTGAGCCAGACGCATGCTGGCGATGTACTCATTGCGACGGGCAGCGTCGCGTTGCTGACGAGCAGCCGCCATGTTTTGGTCAGCGCGATTGCGCTCTTCCTTCGCCCTGGCCAAGGCCTGTCGTGTGGTCTGCCTTTCCCGCTCTGCGCGATACCACTGCCAACTGCTCACCCCGGCACCGATCGCGAATACAAGCAACAGGGCCGTCACGGTCGCAGCGAGTGTGCGGTTTCGCTTGGCCCACCGCCATCCGCGACCGAGGCGACCGACCGGTCGGGCCTGAATTGGCTCGTTTGAGAGCCAGCGCCGGCAATCCTCGGCCAACGCGCCTGCGCACGCGTACCGCCGGTCGGGTTCTTTTTCCAGGCATTTGAGCGTGATCGTTTCTAGGTCGCGCGGGACATTTCCATTGAGCTTCCGCGGACTTGGCGGCTCTTCGTCCATGATCTGGACAAGCAGCATGCGTTGCATGCCCCGGAATGGCAGTTCGCCGGTCAACAGCTCGAATAAGATCACGCCCAAGGAATAGACGTCACTGCGCGCATCCGCCTCGTGCCCCTTTCCAGCTGCCTGCTCGGGGCTCATGTATGCCGGAGTGCCCAGCACGTTGCCTTCGACGGTCATCGTGATCTCACCGGTTTCGCGCTTGGCCAGTCCGAAGTCGGTGATGTGCGGGCGACCGTCACGGTCAATCATGATGTTGCCCGGCTTCATGTCACGGTGGATCACGCCGGCTTTGTGAGCGTGCTGAAGGGCCTCGGCCACTTCAACAACCAACTCAACGGACTCGCGGATCGTAAGTTACTGCCCCGTAATCCAGTCTGAAAGCGTTGCACCGTCGATGAAGTCGCTAACGATGTAGACCGTGTCTTCTTCGCGGCCCACTTCATGCACTGTCACGATGCCAGGATGTTTGAGCTGCGCTGCCGCGCGCGCTTCGCGTAAGAAGAGTTCCGATTCGCGTGAGTCGAGCTGTTGCTTGCGGGGAACCTTGACCGCCACAGTGCGGTCGAGTTCCATGTCGCGAACCTTCCAGACGCAGCCAAAGTGGCCGACCCCAACCTGCTCGACGAGTTCGAAGTGGGCGATCTGTTTCGACGCACCGCGATGAGTCTGGGTGGTGTCGTTGCCAACTAGACTGATTTGACTACCGCATGACGGGCATGAGATATCCGTGAGTTGAGCCTCTTCGACCAGCTCGATGGGATTGTGACAGTGCGGACAGCGGATGTGCATCGCGGGCCCCGTGCATGGCATTCAATAAGTCGGACAAGCAACCGTCCATTATGGCCGCTTGGCCCGCCACATGCTAACTATGGCACCCTGACCGTCAGTGAGCGAGTGATGGGTAAATCTGCAGCTGCACGATTACTTCGGCACCAACAGATTCCTGGCAACCATGACCCGCGCGCTAGACTACAGTCCCGAGCCACGGGAGTGTACGCCCTGGACTTGTTAGTCCGGAATCTGCGCTTGGCGACGTCGACCGGCCGCACTTCGCGGTCGGTATTCGTGACGGATGTTGGACTCCACGTGCGATTTCCGGCACTGGCTCAAGGGCAACGGTGTTCCATCCGCGAGGACACCTACTTCAGTTCGGCGGAATCTTCAGTCCCACGAGCGATGCAACTTCTTGCAGATCGAAGACTTTTTACCCTGAATCGGTCTGCTTACCGTCGCGCTTTCGCAGTAATGTGTCGCTTTTCTTCGCCGATTCGCGCAATCTCTCCTTCCTGGAGTACCAGCAAGAGTTTGCTCTTCAAATCTAGCGGGAGCTCGCCCACTTCATCGAGAAATGGGGTCCCGCCGGCCGCCGCCTCAAAAACGCCTGATGCGAACACGTGAGGTCCAGGCACGCTAGCCAAAAGGGCCAGGTCTCTCAGCCTTCGCCTGGACGCACAGCCAAAATTGTGTCAGCGCTACTGATTCAGAGACGCCGATTCGCTGCATCAGCATTTCAAGCCAAGCGGGTAGGTCTAGATGTAGACAAGGTCAACCAATAACCGCATCGGGTCGGCGATCAGTGGGGTACTGTCCGTTTTGCTCTTCACATCACGACCGTGGCGAAATTTCGTTGTTCAGCAACGAGATCTCGATGATTGGCGATATCTCGTTGTTTTTCCCACTACCGATTGATAGCCATAAGTGATTTCTAAATTACGACTTATGGCATGGAAGGCGGTTTCGGCACGCAACTTGTACTGAAGGCTTCGTAGCTACACGTTCGCTCGACTCTCTGACCTTCTTACAAGGAATCAAGTCATGTCCCGTTTACTTCAAATCGCCAATGATCAAGCCAATCAGTGCCAAGCCGAATTGTTTGCTGCTGTGAAGAAAAAGCTTAGCCGCGTGCCGAATTTGATCCGCGCACTCGGAAATTCGCCCGCAGCCCTTGAGGGGTACCTCGGGTTCTCCGGCGCTCTTAGCGATGGTGAGGGGCTCACCGCTCAGCAGCGCGAGATCGTCGCACTGACGATTGCCGAGGCAAACGGCTGCGAGTATTGCCTCGCCGCGCACTCTACTCTCGGCAAGCTGGTGGGTATGTCGCCCGAGGAGATCGAAGCCGCCCGTCTCGGCGATGGAGTAGACGAGGCGTCCCGCGCCGTCGCTAGATTCGCCACGTCTGTTCTCGAGTCGCGCGGTCGCGTCTCAGACGCGGACCTCGAAGCATTCCACGACGCTGGCTTTGGAGACGACGCGGTCGTGGAAGTTGTGGCACACGTCGCCTTGAACGTATACACGAACTACTTCAATAACCTCGCCGAGACCGACCTCGACTTTCCCGCCCCCGCGCCACTCGCCAAGGATAAATCGGAGGTCTCTGCCTGATCGACCTCTAGCGGTTGCAGAGTATGAGTGAATCGCGAGTTGGGTCGCAATGACGCGGCCCGCTCTTTTCCCGAATCAAGTTGCCAAGGAGTAGAGCCATGCCAACACCAACGGACATCCGACCGCCATTCACCCCCGAAACTGCAGCGGCCAAGGTCCGAGCGGCCGAGAACGCTTGGAACTATCGTGACCCAGTGCGTGTGTCCCTTGCCTACAGCGAAAACTCGACTTGGCGAAACCGCGACCAATTCATCCAAGGACGCGAAGCGATTCGAGCCTTTCTCTCCCGCAAGTGGACACAGGAACTTGACTACCGACTCGTCAAGGATCTCTGGTCCTTTACTGGAAACAGGATCGCCGTTCGCTTCCAGTACGAGTACCGGGACGCAAGCGGGCAGTGGTGGCGAGCCTACGGCAACGAACTATGGGAGTTTGATGCCGAGGGCCTGATGCGTCGCCGCGAAGCAAGCATCAACGATCTCGCCATCATCGAAGCCGATCGTAAATTCCATTGGCCGCTCGGTGAACCACGCCCGAAAGAGCCTGCAGTCGTGCTCTGTGTCGCTTAACCCTTGTTTCCCTACCAGTATCACTACCCATGTTGCCGTTCTGCCTGAGGCGGCTATCACTGAGGAGAAAAACAATGCTCGCCAGAATCACCAAGTTCATCTTGATCGTTGCTGTGCTGCTCACACTAGGCCTATCTAAGACTGCCTTGGCGAAGTCGGATATCCGCTACAAGACTGTGCAGATCGACGGACAGGATATCTTTTATCGCGAAGCCGGGCCGAAGGACGCTCCGACAGTGCTATTGCTGCATGGCTTCCCGACTTCGTCTCACATGTTTCGCGATTTGATCCCAAGGCTTGCCGACAAGTACCACGTTGTCGCTCCAGACTATCCAGGTTATGGGTATAGTTCCGCCCCTGCAGTTGGCGATTTCGATTACTCCTTCGACAACCTCGCCCACATTGTGACCAAGTTCATCGATCGGGTGGGCCTGGAGCGATACTCGCTCTATCTAATGGATTACGGCGCGCCGGTTGGTTTTCGGATCGCCGCGGCTGCTCCCGATCGCGTCGATTCACTCATCATCCAAAACGGCAACGCCTATGACGAGGGGATCGACAACGAATTCTGGGTACCGATCAAGAAGTACTGGAACGACCGTTCGAAGGAAAACGGTGACGCTCTTCGTTCGTTGCTGACACTCGACGCGACCAAGTGGCAGTACACACACGGGGTGCGCGAAGTGGAGGCGATTAGCCCCGACACTTGGGACCATGTACAGCCACTATTGAACCGCCCAGGCAATCAAGAGATCCAACTAGCGTTGTTCTACAGCTATGGCAGTAACCCGCCTCTCTACCCTCGGTGGCAGGAGTACCTGCGAGAGCACCAGCCGCCGACTCTGATCGTGTGGGGCAAGAACGACGCGATCTTTCCGGACGCGGGCGCATACCCTTACAAGCGAGATCTGAATGACTTGGAGTTTCATCTACTTGATACCGGGCACTTCGCCCTGGAAGAAGACAACGCAAAGATCGGGCGGCTGATGCGTGATTTCCTGGATCGCAAGGTAAGCCAATAGCTGAGTAGTCCGCCGCCCTACGCGGGTGGCGGGCTTCTCCTAGAGCACTCGAGGGGAAAACCATGACTTCCTTACCCAGCGATATTGCCTTCACACCGAAAGTCAAAGCCATCCAGAGTTCCAAGGGATCTCGCGAGGCGTACGGCCGCATGGAACAACGTGGCGGTTGGCAGACGACCGTCACGTCCGACCTCGAAGTATTCCTGGCGGGACTCGACATGTTCTACGTTGGCACCGCGAACGCCGCCGGACAGCCTTACATCCAGTACCGCGGTGGGCCCGCTGGATTCCTGCGGGTGTTAGACGACAAGACTCTGGCGTTTGCCGATTTTGGCGGCAACCGCCAATACATCACGCTTGGCAACCTTCAGGACAACGAGAAGGCTTTCTTGTTCTTAATGGACTACGAAAACCGCCAACGAATCAAAGTTTGGGGCACGGCTCGTGTCGTTGAAGACAGCCCCAAGCTAATGAAGCAACTCGCCGACCCAAGTTACCCTGGTAGCGTCGAACGAGCGATCGTGTTCACGATCGAGGCCTGGGACACCAACTGTCCGCAACATATCCATCCACGAGTCCGTCTTGACCGTATAGAACCAGTCGTGGCGAGCCTCAAGGCCCGCATTGCGGAGCTCGAAGGCACACTCAACGGATCTGAATCAGCAAACTGAACCAACAAAGTATCCTATTTCGATTAGGAACCAAAGAATGTCTATTCCAGTACCAGGATTTGATATTACTCGCGGCGACACGGCACTGGTCGTCACCGACCCGCAGAACGATTTCCTCAGCTCAGCCGGCGTCACATGGGATGTTGTGGGCCAAAGCGTTACCGAGAACAAGACCGTGGAGAATATAGAGTCGCTATTCCGTGCTGCCAAAGGTGCGTCGCTATCGGTCTTCATTTCGCCCCACTACTACTATCCACACGATCACAAGTGGCGTTTCGAAGGAGCGCTGGAGCGGCTAATGCACGACATCAACATGTTTGACCGTCCGGGTCCGCTCGACCTAACGGGATTCGAAGGCTCAGGCGCCGACTGGCTAGACCTTTATAAGCCGTTCATCAATGACGGTGAGACGGTGATCACCAGCCCGCACAAGGTGTTCGGACCGGAGTCGAACGATCTCGCACTGCAACTTCGAAAGCGGGGTATCGACAAGGTGCTGCTGGCTGGCATGTCGGCGAACCTGTGCGTTGAGTCACATCTACGTGATCTCTTGGAGCAGGGCTTTGAAGTAGCTGTCGCTTGGGATGCTACCGCTGCGGCCATTCTGCCAGAGTTCAATGGCATGGCGGCTGCAAAGACGAACTACCACATGCTCGCCAGCGAGACGATCGATACCGCAGAAGCAGTCCGTCGCATCGCCTCGCTTTGATGCCGCGGCAAATATGCCGAGCGCGCCCAAGAATCCGTCCTAATTTACGCGATCCTTCATACCAACAGCTATCCGACGAAAACCCATGACGACAATCCTCAAACTCAACGCTAGCGCCCGAAGCGAGCGCTCACTTACGCGGCGCCTCTCTTCGCTTTTTGTGAGAAACTGGTTGAAACACCGTCCGGAAGATGTGGTCGTTGAACGAGACGTTGGCAGAGAGCCGCCACCGCCCGTGACCGAAGAATGGATTGCCTGCGCTTTCACGCCTGCTGCCGACCGATCAGAAGAGCAGGTAAAAATGCTCACGTTTTCGGATGCTCTTATTGCAGAGCTCGCGGCTGCTGACATCATATTGCTTGGTACGCCAATGTATAATTATGGTATGCCTTCATCGCTGAAGGCGTGGTTCGACCAAGTCATTCGCGTCAATAAGACTTTTTCTTTCGATCTCGACCGCGGAGACTTTCCGCTTGAACCGCTTCTATCCAACAAAACGCTCGTTATTCTTACTTCATCGGGGGAATTTGGATTTGAAGCTGGGGGAGTACGAGAACAGATGAATCACTTGGTTCCTCACATAAAGACTTGCTCTTTCTATCTGGGCGTTAGTGGGGACGACGACATTCACCACATCGGGATTGAATATCAAGAATTTGGTGATGACCGCCATCGCAGATCTATTGACGAAGCTCAAGATGGCGTCGCTACTCTCGTCGAAAAGCTGGTCAAGACTTGGTAGCAATTTGTTTCAAAATGTCGTGGATAACGTTCGTTCGCCAGGGTTGAGCGTGTTTCGAAACCGCGGGCAACCCTGCCGGAGTCGAGTCACCGCTGCAGGTTTGGTCCGTCGCCAAGGCGAAGCGGTTTTGACCGCCTCAGGGCCGAAGGTTTCTTGTCTCTCCGCTGCGGGCGATGCAATCTCGGCAAATCCGATCAGGTCGGCGATCCCATCGTATCCTGGCACTGCCTGGACGGCGGCGTTGGTTCTTTTGGCCGGTGATCGGGCTTTCGGATTCGGCGTAGTTCAGTGCGATTGCGTCCTGAGTATCGCAAGTCGAACGGCGGGGGGTTTCAATGCCGGTAAGCCGTTGCAAATCTTTCCCGGTGGCGCACGCGACTCTTCGACCGTGGCGCGTCTAGGCCGCCATCCCGCAGATCGCCCCTGAGGTGCATCATGAAGTTAGTCCAAGCACTGGCACTGTTGCTGTCTGGACTACCAACCGTGCTTGCTGCTCCGCGTACGCAAGCGGCGGACATCGTGCAAGACGCCGAGTACTACATCCTAGAGGCCCAGAACGGTGAGAAGTGGGCCGCTGAGGATCGAGACCTCGACGCGCGATTAGAGGCGCTGCGGGCGAAGCATGGGCGGCCGCCGAACATCGTGTACATCCTTTGGGACGACACCACGTTCGGCGCCGTAGGCATGCCGGCGTTGCAGAAGAACTTCGGCTTCACTACGCCCAACCTTAATCGGATGGCCGCCGACGGCATCAACTTCACACGGATGTACACCGAGCCCTCCTGCACGCCGACGCGCGTCGCTTTCCTGACCGGCCGCCACCCGGTGCGGAGCGGGATGGGTGAGGTCGGCATGCCGCACGAGATGGCGGGGTTGCGCGATGACGAGGTAACGATCGCGGAAGTCCTTTCAGAGGCCGGATACTCAACCGCGCATTTCGGCAAAGGTCACCTCGGAGACATTGAGGAGAGCTACCTCCATAACCAAGGATTCGACGAGACACTGTTCACGCCGATGAACCAGATTGTCTCACAGTGGAACCAGACAGGCGACGCGGTCGGTGCGGCTCGTGGCTTCTGGCTCGATAACTACCCGCCCGACCCCTACGGACTCGATAATCCCGGACTGTTGCCCAGCGGTTTGGTGATGGCCATCGAGGGCCGCAAGGGCGAGCAAGGCCACGAGTGGAAGACGCCCTCCCTGGATGCCTACAACGCGATGGACCCCGAGTGTGAGAAGCGGACGCTCGACTTCATCCGCCGCAATGCTGAGGCCGGGAAGCCGTTCTTCGTCGAGTACTGGCCGAACTTACTCGCGCTTATTAAGACTTACCCGAAGAAGAAGACGCAAGCCGGCACCATGGTCTCTGAAGAGCTACAGGTCCTCGACGACTTCGTCGGGCGGCTTCGCGAAGAACTCGAGAGGCTCGGAGTCACGGAGAACACGCTCATTGTTGCGATGGCCGACAACGGCCCGATGGTGCATAGCCCCCCTCCGCAGTTCGGTATGCTCAGTCTCATGTACCGGGGCGGCAAAGGCGACTTTCTCGAAGGTGGGGTTCGCGTCCCTGCGTTCGCCGCTTGGCCCGGAATGATCGACGAGGGACAGACCGTCGGTGACATCGTCCATGTTACCGACCTGTACACGACGTTCGCCCGCCTCGCCGGGGCTACCGAACACATTCCGACAGATCGAGTGATCGACGGCATCGATCAGACCGCTCTGTTGATGAACGGCGATACCCATAGCCGGCGCGACTATGTGTTCATCTACACCGGTCAACTTTTGGGGGCGACAGTCAAGGGCCGCTACAAACGCCATTGGTTGGGCGGCGGTGAGGTGGCCGCCTCGGGGATGCCAGAGGCTTACTACGATCTGTACGTCGATACCCGGGAAGACAACCCGATGCTCGTCCCGCTGATCCACACGCAGGGTCAGTTCAACCGGATGCGTGCGCGACACGAGCTTATGAAGAAGCAGTTCCCCAACAAGAAGAAGGCATACGGGGTTCCCTACACCGGGCTTGCCAACGCGCGACCGGAGACGCGTGAGATCGCCAACCAGATGAAGCGAAACATCCAAAACTTGCCGATTGACGTCCAAGACTACCTAGAGTTCGAAATTCCAGGCGCAAAGGCGGACCCCGACTTCGGGGAGTAGTCTAATTTCACGAAGAGGCAGGACTTAGTCGCAGTTCCGATTGCAGGGTTGGTGGTAGGACGCGGAGGTTGGACCACCCGCTTTTGTGGACTGTCCGGTCACACTGACAGCGGTGAGGTGTTCCGCAGTGTCGGTATCAATTTGACGACGCCGCGCCCTTGCCATTGATGACCTGAGCGGGCAATCCCCAGGTGCGTAATGAGGGCGTTACTTGAGCGCAAGAGGCAACACATCCTAGGGAAGAAGTTTTCCTGCGGCGGTGAATACACATTTGGAAACTCCAAACTGCTTCACTGTAGATCTTCACCGAGGTGGGGCTCATCCGAAGGCGTGGCTGACGCGGTCTCGAAAAAACCGCAGGAGTTTACGGCTGAGGCAGATTCGAATAGCCCATGGAACAACGTATCTTGCCGGCTTTTGGCGTCCACAACTGCCCACCAAGCGGCAGCTACTCGACCCCCGCCGCGATCGAATCTCGGTCCCAAAAAAGCTGCTGAGGAAGTGGGGCCGGCTGCACGCCGTGCGCAGCATCCCGGGCACCACAGCCACCGCGCTCGACACGTTCGAAACAGCGACAACGTGACTAGCGCCCTTCCGCCATCCTACTCTGATCGCCTATGCGGCTTGCTGCTTTACTCACGAGGGGCACCGTCAAGAACCAGGAGCGTGGACTCGGCAATGGGGCTGGGCCCATCGGCGCATCGAGTGGGCAATCGATAGATCGTCGCTAGGCCGACCATAGACGCAGCGGCAACGCCGGCAACTGCTACCGGCGGCAGGCCGGTAGCGAGAACGATGACAGCGACGGCCACCGCGACCATTGCCATCGCAGTGATCTTCACGCGTCGTGTCACGGCTCGATGCTGTTGCCAATTCTTGAGAATGGGTCCGAAGATGCGGCTGCGCAACAGCCAGCAATTCATCCGCGGCCAGGATCGCGCCAGAAAGTAGCTCGCAAGCAACAGAAAGGGAGTCGTTGGCAAGCCAGGAATCACAATGCCAACAGCCCCCAGCACGAGGAATGCCAGGGCCATCGCAAGGTAAGCGACGCGCCGAACACCGTGCGTGCATGGAGCCGTGCTGGGGCCGGTCGCTTGCATCTGTTTGGTCCACAGGACGTTAGGCGACGGGCTGATGCGCACCACGCAGCATGATCGCGGTGATCTCGCTATAGGCGTCGGCCCATGCAGCGTTCAACTCGTCGGTCCATCCATCCCCTGCGACCTCGGCGAGGGTCTTGAGCAACGTCTGTCCCACCGCCGGGTAGTCTTCCTCTCGCGTCCCGTAGTCGACGTGCCGCAGCCCGAGATTCTCTAGTGCGGGTACTAAAGCCTCGGGTCGCCGCAGGTTCTCAACCACCAACTTTAGTGACGCGAGCAGCTTCTTCTTCTGCTCGGCCATATCGACATCTTCAAACAAAGGCTTGACTTCGGGAAAGTCCGCAAACAGGTGTCGATAGAACTTCTCGGTAACCAATTCGCCATTGGGTGCCACGGCTGCAAAACTCTGTTCAAGCAACTCTGTCTGTAGTGCCATTGGAATACCCAGTTAATATGCTCGGTTGAAAACGAATCCCTATTAGGAGATAGGTCGCAAAACAGACAGGTGCAACGGCAGGCCGCACATCGCCCAGAGGTATTCCGATTGCACGGAAGACGCCAGTCGTAGGGGTTGCTGGCAAGAGAACCGTGCACGCACGCAGGTCCATTACCTGGCGATGGAGTACTGATTCTCCAACGGACGGCAACCGGCTGATTTGGCGCACTGCAACAGGTCGTGTTGGCGGCCTATCATGCGGAAAACGGGACGACACTGAAGCAACCGACGGCTAGAATTCAAGTTTCGACGAGTGACTGACTGCGCGTTAAGTCGCACTTTGGCGCCCCACAGGATAATGAGAAACTGTCTGATAACCAACTTAGGCATCACCATAGAGGATGATCAGTGGTTAAGAGAAAGACCGTCTGAAATAGTGCCAGCGTATCCAAGTACATTGCATCCCTTCCTGAGGAGCAGAAACGCAAGGACGGTCGACAAATCATCAAACTGATAAAGTCAGCAACTCAAGAAGAACCGATCATGTGGGGCGATAAGATTGTTGGCTTTGGTGTGTACCATTATACATACTCGGATGGAAAGCTCGGAGAAATCTGCAACGTGGGCTTTGCTCCACGCTCTAGATCTTTCGCTTTCTATTTATCAAACTTTCCAGACAGAGACAAACTTATCGTCACACTTGGCAAACACAAATTCAGCGGTGGTTGCCTCCATATAGCTAGACTGGAAGAAGTTGATGAAGCAGTGCTTGAGACAATAGTCCAAATGGCCTACTTGTCCAGACTCCAGGATGACGCCTAACAACGCCGTGAACTGGAGTGACCTGCTATTGAAAATCTGATCCAGGTGTTATGAAGGTCTTTACGCATGTGAGCGAGGAGACCGAGATGACGACGAAGCGACGTAAGCGGCATACGCCGGAGCAGATTGTTCGTAAGTTGCGAGACGCGGACGCGATGCTCAATGCTGGGAAGGACCAGGCTGCTGTATTGCAGGCCCTGGAAGTGAGCGAAGCCACGTATCTGCGTTGGCGAAACCAGTACGGTGGGATGAAGGCCGAGGAGGCGAAGCGGCTGAAGCAACTGGAAGACGAGAACAGGCGGCTGAAGGAGTTAGTGGCCGAGAAAGAACTCGACATCAAGATGCTGAAGCATATCGCGGAGGGAAACTGGTGAGCCCTTCCCGGAAACGAGCGGCGGTCGGCGAGCTGCGCGAGGTGTTCGCAGTTTCCGAGCGAAGGGCGTGTCAGGTGACTGATCAGCCACGCAGCTCTCAGCGTTACCAGCCGCAGTCTCGTGATGACGAAGCGGCTTTGGTGAAGCGGATGCGTGAACTGGCCGCCGCTCGACCGCGTTTCGGTTATCGTCGGATTGCCGTGCTATTGCGTCGCGAAGACTGGGAGGCCAGCAACACGCGGGTGCTGCGGCTATGGCGTCGCGAAGGGCTGAAAGTGCCACAGAAACGCCGTAAGAAACGCTACTTGGGCGACAGCAGCCAAGCCTGTCACATTCAGCGAGCCGAACATAAAGACCACGTGTGGTGTTGGGACTTTGTGTTCGATCGCACGGAGGCCGGCAGCCCGTTGAAGTGGCTATCGATCGTCGACGAGTACACGCGGGAGTGTTTGGCTTTGAAAGTCGACCGCAGCATCACCAGCGAAGATGTGATCGACTCGTTGGCCGAGCTGTTCGCGATGCGGGGCGTGCCCGGTGCGATTCGCTCGGACAACGGCCCGGAGTTTGTAGCTGGTGCAATCCGGCGATGGCTAAAGCAAGTCGATGTCGAAACGCACTACGTCGCGCCGGGCAGTCCATGGGAGAATGGTTACGCGGAGAGCTTTCACAGTCGGCTTCGCGATGAGTTCTTGGAGATGGAAATGTTCGAGAGTTTGGCCGCGGCACGGAAGCTGACCACGGCCTGGAGAAAGGATTACAACGACGTGAGGCCGCACAGTTCGCTGGGGTATGCCACCCCGTCCGAATTCGCGACCCGCTGTGCTGCTTCCGTTCCGAAGTCGATTTCGGCTACGCCTCAATCAACTTCTCCACTCCAGCAGCACAGCGAAATACCCCAACCCACACCTTCATAGCAAGTGGTACAGAAATTTAAGGCTGGTCAGGAGCGTCGAAGTCGGTCGGAATTGAAATGGACAGATCTAACGCCTCCCGGTTACGCAAGTCATTGGTATCGAACTGCGTAATGAGGGCGTGACCTTTTGCTTGAGATCTGATGTGAAATGACGGTTCGACCTGTGCGCGTAACGACCAAGCTGGGCGGGCGGCGGCCTGCGATGTCGATTCCACGCTCCGAGCCCAGGCACCGTTCCCATTGAGCGACCCGTTTGCCAGCACCAGAATCAAACCTGAACAACGAATTCCCAGGAAAGCAACGAGAACGATGGGTGAAAGCCAGCTGTGTTTGAAACAAACTCACGCAATTCCGTCAATGATTCTTGTGGTGCAACAGTGGCTGAGACATCTTTCAAATGAAAGCGAAATGCTCCAATGTGTCGCCATTCGCGCTCGCGGTACATGATGACTGTACATCTGTGGAGAAGTCTGTAATCTTCACATAATTCATGAAGAAATCCTGTACCTGTGAGCGATCGACGATTGCTTCCTTTGTCTCATCGAGCCATGCCTTTTCAAATAACGCCATTCTTTCAACTCGCTGATCCCAGCCGCGATCCAACATGTAATCAATTTGTTTCGTGACCTCGGGATCGATACCCTTCAGCCGCTCGACTATGGGCAGATTGGCCTTGGGTACGTATTGAACTGGAAGAAACGATTCGTGAATCGCCCGCGCACAGAAGCCGATTGCCACTTTCCCATAATATGGCGCATGCGAGGGCAGATCCTTGAGAGGAATCTCCGTCACGCAACAGAATTTGTCAGTAGTAAAGTTGTCGGCAACAGGTTCTGTACATGTGGCCCGCAGTTCTTGGGAGCGGAGGATCTCCAATGCTATTCCCGCCGCCTCATTCGCTGGACGTGGCTTGCCTTGGCGTAAGATGTCAGTAGGACACGCTACATTGTGCCAATCCACACCGCTTGGTGAACCTGTGAAATGCCAATAGACGTGCGAGTAGTAACGCTGTGACATTGCATCAGTCTTTTCGGCCAACTCGGTCATATGAAGTGTCCGCCAATCAGCTGGGGACCCGAATGTGCAAGCCATAACGCGGGCAGCCATTCGTCACAATCTGAATTGTATACAACGGTTTGTCGTGCGTCTCGTCATCAGATGCTCTATTGGCGGTCTTTGCCAGACCTGCGTCGGGCCGACGAGACAGCGTTCAGGTGTGCCGGCACAGGAGGGCGTGCCAGTTGCAAGTGCGCTAGCTGCTGAGGTCGCAATCACTGCCCGCAGATACAAGCTTTTCCACGGCGCAGCGGCTGGACCACCACGTGCGACTTCCGGCACAGGCGAAAGCGCCGCGGTGTCCCGTCGGCACTGGCACCTCTTTCAGTTCTACGGAATCCTCAGCCGCACGAGCCCGATGCAACCGCTGCGAGTTTGTGAGCCCTGGGATTGCGTCGATGCGCGGGCAATGTGGATCTCTGAGTTGTTTCTGATCACCGGAAACCATACGGCCAATAGGTATAAAGGGGGATGGAGGTTGCACTGCGTCTGATACCGCCAAGGCATCTGTCTAATCCAACTTCGCCAGATGGCTGGTGAGTGAAGAGTATGGCAGCCCCAATGATTGTCGCCTAAACTCAGCCAGAGGGGCTGCCAAGAAGGTTGGATTTATCTCTTACGTTTAATGCTGCATGTAGTCTCAGAATGTAACAAAGCTAAAATAGGCTTTCTCAATTAGACGAGCCGCTCTCTGACTGCCCAGACAGCAGCTTGTGTACGGTCCGCCACTCCAATCTTTCTAATTAGTGACTGCACTTTTTCCTTGACGGAGGCAGTGCTTACCGTGAGCTCTTTGGCAATTTCCTTGTTCACCTTGCCAGCCGTTATACGGTCGAGCACGATCCTCTCACGTTCCGTGAGGTAGACGTCAGAGTTGTTGTTCTGTCTCAAGTCAGCCATGCCTGGCAATGCTATTCGCATCAACTCATCTGGCCATAGCTCGTGGCCTCGTGACAATTGACGCACCCCATATGCTAGCTGAGCCGCGTCGGAAGTCTTAAGTAGATATCCACACGCACCTAATTGCATGGCGCGAGAGATGTAACGGGGATGGTCATACCCAGTGAACACTAAGACGCTCGCATCGTCATGCCGAAGTTTCAAGTGCTGAAGAGCAGTTAGCCCATCCATATCTGGCAACTTGAGGTCGAGAATTACCACATCCGGGTTTAACCTTCCCCATTCGCGGAGCATACAAGTTGTCGTCGCCAGATCGGCAACGACCTGAATATCATCGAACGGCGTGAGCATGGATCGGATTCCCATACGGACCAGCGGATGATCATCCACAACCAGAACTCGAATGGGTATTGGTCTCATTTACACTGGACCTAACTGAAATCCGAAGAGTTGTTCTGCCTCTAGAAACCACACAGAAAGAGCCGTTGTCCCGTAACGTCCGTGTTTTGAGCCGGCAGCAGCACCCCTAATCGTTGTCTCGTATAGTCCGAGCGATTCGAAAACCGCATTGATAGTACATTGTGGAGGGACTGTCGAATCTGCGATTCGCCGATCGTGTTCCAAGAGCATCCGTAGCGAACGAGCCACCTCGATTCAGTCGACCTGTTCGGTCAATCACAAATAGCGTGTCCTCTTCATCTTCTGACTTGGCCTCGTAAGACAGGTAGCGATCTTGGCACCATTCTCGGACATTGCCGTGGGTATCGAATAGGCCTAAGAGATTCGGCATGTAAGAGGCAACGTTTGACGGCGTTCCTAAGGAGTTTTTCACAATGCAGGAATAGCCTCTATTCACTAACGGATCGAGCCCGAAGAACCATGGGGTTGTTGAACCAGCTCGACAGGCGTACTCCCACTCCGCTTCAGTGGGAAGACGGTAGCCTGTGCGTTCCAAATAGTCATCGAACGGTTTCATGAACTGCTTGATCTCATCGATGGGTGGGTAGCACATCTCTTCCTCGGGAATACCCTCTTTCTCACTCAGAAGCCTGCAGAATTTGACTGCATCGTACCAAGTTACAGCGTTTATAGGCTGCTGTGGGTGATCACAAAATGAGTTAGGCGCGTGCGAAAACTCCGGCATAATCTCTAAGAATTGTGCTTGGGTAACTTCAGTTGTGGCAATTGCAAAGCTGCGATCAATCCATCGGATGCGACTTTGTTCATCCGCCTCTTGGTATTCCGAATCATCTTGCGTACCCAGCTTCGTTGCACCAGGTGCGGGAATCTTGACCATCGTCGTCCCGTTAGCCATCTCGAACCACGAGTTCTGTGGTACTGTTCCCAAGCCCTTAGGCTGGTCACCCACTTTATTCACATTGAATGTGATATCCCATTGAGCTATGGCCCATCTAGCTGCGGAGTGCACCCCGCTGTCTGGGTCTTCGAAGAAAAGTGTCGTGAGGCGATTGGAGACGGATTCAGATAGTTCCTCAGGACGAGCGAGCTGTCCCAGACATAGCACTGCAGCATAACGAGTGAGGGAGTCTACTGAGTGGGTCCAAGACAAGATTTGTTGAACACAATCATCGTAAATCTTGGGTGACATAGGTACGCGTCCAACTCTATCGAGGAAGACGCTCCGCAAAGTGGGATCGACCTCTCCGGCGAGAATGTCAGAATGCACGTCTTCGCCCAGAAGGACAGAAATTATTGCAGCATTGGCCCTGCGTTTTGCGACGAGAATCTTCTGTGGATCAGCTAAGAGCTCGCTCGGGTCTTGGAAAATCGCCTCCTCAATCAGTGGGTAAGCACTTGGCCACTCGACACTCATTACATCTAAGAATGGTTGCAAGTGCTCCGGTTCTGCGCGCAACGCTAGGTCAACCAGGGTCTGAATTGGGAGGGTTTTGCTTGTGGCCAACAAAGTCGCAGACGCTTGCCGCAATGGGGCCGAGGCTTCATTGGACTGGAGTATTTCAGCAAGGAAAGGTTGCAAAAGACGCAGCTTCGATTGGAACATTGAAGCCCAGGATCGAAAGTGTGCTGGTCGTGCTGCCAATTCGCCAACTAATATGAAAGCGATTTGCTTGACGTTCTGAGTCCAGCGATCGTCGATGATCTCAGTTGGGGCACACGCGAGACAAGCACAAGCCAGTAAGCGTTGCTGGTCGGGCAATGTCTCATCTTCGAATTGTTGCCACATTCGATTCATGATCTCGGTTGCATTTCCGAACTGCCAAAGATGGCCAGCAATTACCTCTGCTTGTTCTGGACTGGATACTAATAGCTCGTCTCCGAGTGCATTCAGTTGTGATGGGTCATGGGGGAGCAGTGCCATTCGCGTGTTGAGGTCAGCTCCTGTTGTTCGGTCGGGTGACATCAAGGTGCTCTTGAGCAAAGGAACTATCCTGGAGTCATCCCTGAGCAACTCTTCAACTATTGCAGGTACCTCACGAATATCAGCTCGTGTCAATGTCTCGACGTGAGAGGTAGCCCGTCGCGTATGCTTCATTTCGATGGCCGCCCAACTGCAGACGGTTGTTGCTAGCAGAATCATTGCAAGCTGCCGAAGCCGCATCCTAGAAGCCGCACGAAGCATGCGCTGCTCTTGTTGGGACCTATAAGAACGTCGCGTGAACGCGAGAATACTGAGCCACTCTAGCCAAGTTGGCAGCTGCCGAGGTAAGGGAGACGTCGTCCAAGCCTTGCTGCGCTCAGATAAGCAAAGCTCGGCACGACCTCGCCAAGTTTCCCGTTGTTGTTTTGTGATCCAAGAACGGAGTGCAGGTATGAGATAGTCATGTGAGAGTTGATAGTACAGGCTCACTTCCTGGGCGTGTTCTGGTTTAGAGTCGACTTCGCGCTGCTGCGATGTAGTCTCTTCTCCCTCAGGATGGGTTGGAGTGATCAACCGCAGTTGAATATCGAGCAGCTGCATTAATTCCCGAAAATCGCTTGGACGGTTGCTATACCCTGAGACAACAGTCAACTCTTGGCTGCTGAGCATTCGCCCTCGGATGTCTTGCCCTTCGGGGGGAAGCA